TCATTTTATCAACGATTTCAGCAGTCAAGCGCAAGGTCAAATCACCCTGGTAAGTGCCACGTAAAGGAGAATACCTCTATTTAGTTTTTGTCCTGATAGGCAGGAGTCTCTATCGCCATGGATATCGCCATCCTCGCCATTCCAGGTCTAGGCGCGACAGAGCCTCACAAGTTATATGCTCTTGCTTTACTTTTTGGTGTCGGTTGTATTTTCGCGGGCACGATGGTGCGACACTTTGGCGAGAGAATGAGATCCATGGACTTGCGGTTCGATTTACACTATCCTTTTGAACCCTAACTGACCTTGCCAATCTCACAGTTATATTACCTGCAACGTAAGACAAAGATGTTCATCGTCATTACAGGCATACCAACTTCTTTCTGTGTACTGAGGTAAGCAATATTTGATCGTGATTACTTGTGTCTCTCATAGAATTACTGGCAGTGTAACGGGTTCCATTCTCGGGTTTCTCTCAGGTGTCGTCACAGACTTCAAGCCTTCCGCGCCGGTAATGATTGCATCCCTTACTACACTCGGCATTGTGGTGGGTTTTTTGCTTATTTTGGTGCTCGCTAGTTATGGCCCAGGGCCAGGCAGGATGCGGCCCCAGTAGTATCCTTATCTCGATATTTTGGAGGATATTCTTTAGCGGAGTACTGAAAATATAGGGTATATACTTGGGCAAACACCGTGACAGTGTTGCACAACTACTCAGTCCAGTTCCCGAAACCACAGCTGTATTGTATTTCCGTGCTCGCGACAAGCAGTTCATGGTATCCTGCTCATTTTCTCAGAGCACAAATAAAGGTGAATGAGGACCAAAACTGTCCGTGAAAAGACGTTTAGCCGTCACAATGGACGCAGAGCGGTAAAGCGTTGTCAATAGGCGACCGCAGGGCAAGTTATTACCGTAACCTTTCATCCTTTGTCTTGTTGGCTTCGAGAAACGAGGACTGGATGAGTACAGGCCAAATCAATGGACACTCAGGCATTGACTGAGTATCAGTGGATTCAGTAATAATCAGTATGTACTTCATTTTCAGAACCCCACAGAGGTCAGCGCTCTGACATGAATTCCGCAGCATGTGCCTTTGACTGAATCATTCAGAAGTTCAGACAGATGCGGACATGAATCTAGTATGTGCTTCGACATCACAGAGAATTTCGACGGACTCGGAGCGCTGTGTACACAGTGTATACAATTGTTCATGAAGGGTGGAAGGATGGCTCCACAAGTGGTCCAGGTAGAAGGAACGATTGTCTTCCTTCTATCAAGGTCTGAAAACATACGGGAGACTTGTGAGGTTAGTAGTCGTATCCCATCTTCATGAGGTCATTCTTGACTCTGAGACTGCTTGCTTCTGTTTGCTGATCCGGTGATCTATCAATATTATAGATCTACTCTGAGGTTCTGGCACGTAACAGTGCCAACAAACCACTGCCTCGCGAATGAGATGAGGATCAGTGAGGATCCTGTCATTTACGGTCATGACCAAGTCATGACCCAAGACTCGAGTCATTTAACCGCGGATATGGGGCTCTTTTTTTGTTGGTGTTTCGTTTGCGCCTAGGGAATCCTTTAAACCTATGAATTTAGCGAGGATCTGCTGGCGGGACTGTTCCAGAGACTAGGACCCTCGATCCGGTATGAAATCTTCGATTGATGCTTTCAGTGTTATAACCAACACATTTATGGTTTGCAGGCGGTCCCGCAATTGATATTGAACATGGTGCGTGGTAAAGAAAGCTACGAGGCTGGGTTTGGATTTAACAAGATAGTCCAGCGCCAGATAAGCTACATGAAGTTGCTATGCGGTGTGGGTGCCGCCGTCCCCTTGTTCTTGTCATCACTAAAATTCAGAACTTCCATAACAATGAACAGGGCCAAAATGTTATTCTACAGATCCAACAGTACGCTGGACGCTGGGCCATAAGAGGTAGCATTCTTGTGTCATAAACCTCAGCAGTCTTTCTCAATTTCATCTAGGCATTGTCACTGTTGTATTCACCAAGTGAGCTGCACCGCCTTACTTTGCGCAGCAGCATCTTATGAGCATTTTAGGGATGATGTAGGGCCGTATGCGTTGTTGCGTAAGTCACATGTAACATAACTCGCAATCATATCACTGACCTTTTTGCAGGCAAATCAGCAACTTTGATGGAAGTGAGTTCTGCGGCTGCGTAGTAATATACTGATTCTTACTGTTGTAAACACTTAGGTGCGCTCTGTCCAAAATCTGGACTGGGCAATGGCAAAGCGCACTTCATTGTGCAGACGGCCGGACACTGAAAATGTAGACAGTGTCGTGCACGTTGTGGGAGGACGTACAGCCTACCTCAACAAGGTGTCCAGGGCCGAAGAGATGCTGCAAGCTGCCAAGGATCTCTTTACAAAAATCACAACCATTTCATGCTGTAACCGCTGGTTGTTGGACAAGACCTTTCTCAGCCAGGTGTTGCACAATAGTCTCCACCTGCCAATCAAATCAGCTGGAGAGCTATCTGAGTGGATTCCTGGGACGTACATTTGCCGCGGTCATGCAAATTTACAAGTCCCACCACTTAGTGAACGGAGCACCAGTGTCCTCGTTTGTCTGCTCTACATCACCAAGACCACTTGCTATGCCTTGAACGTCATCTTGTTGTCCTGCTGCATCGAACCAGATGAACTTATCGACATGATCAATCGACCCTTTCAGATGTCCTTGCTCTATCATTTTTCGTGCCGTTGTCTCTGTGGCTCCAGGTGTTAGATCTAACAGAGCACCGAGACCGCTAAAAGTGATGTTGTAGATTTTTGAACAACGACAGGAACATGCAATATGCGGTAATCGTGTTCAAAGGCAACTAGACATTGAGTGAGTTGTGCAGATCATGAATGTACAAGCCATGCAAGCTAACAATAGCGAAACGGAAATTTGGTCATGTCCTGCAGCTTGCGATGGCATCTTGCGATTGAAATCGAAATCGCCCTACTACTATCATATTTGTTCTTACTGGTGGCGGCGTACATGTTGGAGCGAGCCCCCTTCAGAGAGAAGACATGTTTGCGCGATGTCGTAGAGTAGTCACGCAAGTCTTGTCAAGCGCTTGAGGTCATCGTCCTACTCAAATGTCATCACAAAAATTACTCAGCCCAGACATGACTATGTATGGTCATGTCTGCGGTATCAATACCGTCGGATGTATCGGCTGCCGGGCTCAGTATGTATTGCCATCCTAGGGAATGCGAAGTTCGATCAACATATGCGTCTACGTCATACTTCAGCTTGCGACTTTGTTCATCGTGTAGATAGTTCAGAAATTGTTCATCATGTAGATAGTTCAGATATTGTGTATCACTCTGATATATTCATGCAATGTGATGTATTATCAATCTATACGAAGCAACAAGAACTTGTAATACACTGTAATGTACAAAACACGCGTCAATGCAATGAGTCCACTCATCTATTGGGCAGGATCTGGAAGTAAGGCATGCATCGTGAAGAGAAAATGAAACACTTGAACAGAGAACCATAGTGAAAGTGTGAAAGTGTGAATGCTGAGTGGAATGGAAAAGTGAAGGAGTCCTGTAATAAGATATGAGTACTAGGCCAATAAGATGACAGGAACGTACTATGCAACAAAAATATTCACCCGTCTACCTCCTGCGTGTTTGCCTCTTTGCACATTTTACCTGCTGATGATCTTCCTCATCTCCTGAATCCTCGATGCACCTTTGCTTACCCTTACCCTTGCTCTTTGAGTGAGTTTTGGCAGCTGGTGGTCATTTCGACATTCCATTGCATCAGCAAACTACTTCGTTCTGTACAGAACAAAAGATGCACAGCTTAGTCCCTTCTGTACACTTAACTACAATAACACTTCATTCTGTTAGTTCCTGTACAGACCGCCACAGACGCCCACAGAGAATTGTGTTATGTACAATATTTTAACACTGTGACAAAAAATATTATGTGCTACTGTCCAGTAGCACACTGACCTGTAAAGTTATACCATTCTGTCCACACACACAAAAGCACCTGGCCTTCCCAATAAGTAAGCCTTATAAAGCTTGGTGATTACATGTCTCACCAAGTTTAATAAGGCTTGGGTGTTGTAATTCTCCAACACCAGTGTTTAATCACGCACCAAATACCCATTTTACCTTACAGCTCTTCTCTCTACCCCGCCCAAAAGAGTAAGCCCTGTTCGGGTATACATCCCGCCCTCTCTTAGCAGCTGGCACTTCCTGCAACCCCCGACTTATTCCAAACCTTGTGAAAGGGCGGGCGGCTTCCCACGCCCTTTCCTCCTTTCCTCCACATGCACAACGTTCCAGGGCGGTACAACACACAATTGCCGACAACCCAAGTAATCGGACACTACCCTAGGCACTGCCCTACCCCCTCCAACGTGTTCGTTCTCTGTCAATACCACGTCCTGCCGCCATATCTGCCTGCACACTGTCCTCGTCCCCACTACATTCATCAGGAAATCACCGAGTCTTAGGTTTGTCTAGTTACATTTGATAAGATGGTACAAACAAAGTACATCAGGACCAACCTTGTTAATGGTTGACTGTAAGATACCACATAGTTATTCAATGTCTACTCTCTATGATTTGGCTGAAACATTGAGGGCGTTTGGTATGGGCGTGCTACCGCCAGCCTTTTGGGTGACATTTAAGCATAGGTTCATCATCTCACTCCTTTGGTCATCCGCCTCTCAATTCTTGGTGATGATATTGGATGACTATGTAATGTAACACCCCATAGCTACTCAATGGCTACTCTCTATCATCTGGCCGCAACATTGATGGCCTTTGGTGTGGGCCTGCTACCATTGGCCTTTTGGGTGACATTTAAGCATAGGTTCATCATCTCACTCCTTTGGTCATCCGCCTCTCAATTCTTGGTGATGATATTGGATGACTATGTAATGTAACACCCCATAGTTACTCAATGGCTACTCTCTATCATCTGGCCGCAACATTGAGGACCTTTGGTACAGGCCCGCCACCATTAAACATGCCCGCAAACAGGCAGCCCACACAAAAAATGATAGATCCCTTCAACATAGACTCTGCGACCAATCCAGTACCGACACCTTGTACAGCAAGGAAACCGGCATTGATCACCATGATGACCCCTGCCTGTCATAGGGTGTTAAATGACAAGAAATCCTCCATGATCTGAAATGTTACTTACCAAGGTGATTTGCGCATTGTTCTGAATGTTGAAGTCATTGATGAAGTCTTTGAGGTCAAGATAATTGACCAGACCGTCTACATAAATCTGCTTAAGGTGTTCGCGAACCAAAACTGGAAGGCATAACATAGCAACTGTAAGTATGAAAGGAAAAGGTCCCTGCGTTCTAGTCCCTGGGCCCATTGAATGGGTTCGTAATAGGCGGGCTTCAGGTTGGCCAAAGTAGTTCAGGTATTGATGATGGCCTGTATTAGTACTCAGCGTCAATGTCTGTTAAGATGAGGAGACAACTGACGAAGCATGTGATATAGTCTACCTGTCGGTAATGAGATAAGTATATAATCATTGGTTCTTAGAGGCTTACTAACCAAGCAATGCAACACCTGGTTCTGTTATGATTCCTTCAGATTCTGAAAGATCATCTAATATCCGGTCATCAAGGTGCGATAAGATAGAGCAACACGCGGGAACATACCGAGACTGGCTAATCAATTGATGAGTTTCTCCATAGTTTCCCTGTTGGAAAATATAGTCGCCGAGGTGGAACTTTCTAACGTCAATGCGTCTGTTGTTTATTCAGGTCACGCTATTCAGTGCTGCATGCTATAGAACTCACCTGCGTGAAACCAATCAAGTTCAGTTCGCAATTGTCGTAGAAAGATGCGATCCAACTTGAAGTCTCGGGGGAAAAACTCTACATGCTTCCTGTTGTGTAGTTTCGTGAATAAATCATGCTATGCCGCCATCTATGATCACTTACCAAAATTGGGCCTCCAGTTCGAGTCCTGCACAATGTAAGGTCAGGTAGAGACATAAAAAGGTCACATATGTTTATGATTCCATTGGCGGGCAGAGTCGCATTCTCTGAAAAGATGGGTGCCATCAAAAGTTTCCAGCCAGCCGATGATGCGTGCCTCCAGTGCCACCAGATAATAGAGGTAGACATCCCCATCCACATTCTGAGTCCTCGCCGGCTCAGCAACTAATAAGAGATCTTCATGTGCTTGGGCTCGCGTTGCTTTGACCCAAGCTTCAAATTTGTCAAGGCAATCACTAGAGCAATCCCTTACATTGAATCCAGTGTATGCTTTCTACATTTCCAAAAAAGTAAGTGAAATGTGTACATGCAATTGGTGCTCACCCTTGTCCTATTGTAGTAGTAGGTGGCTCCGGACAGATGAACAAACTCCTCCCATTCCCCATAAACCTCATTCCTGCCAATGTCAGAGTCAAAGCGCTACTATTAGAAAGCAAAAACCGACTTAAGAAGGTCGAATTGCAGCCCCTGCACTGTAAAGTCTGGAACTAGAGGTGGCACCCTGTATATGGTAAAAGTCAGCGTGGATATAATGATATCAAAAGTAATGGGTGCTCACCTTCTTACCTTTTGGGCGTACCGCCCCAACTGCGTCGGCCACGCAGGTGTACTGCGGTCCAGCGGAATCTTCTTCTGTTAAAGGCATCGATTAGCTCTTGGTTCTTCAAGACGATTCTTGATACACCTAATACGGGTTTGGCGACGCTCAATTTGAGTGAGCTGGCGTATGAAGGATTTCCTATCTGTTCTAAGATATCATCTCTTGCCAGTGCGGTGTTCCAATTCTCCCTGTCCAGATGCTTCAGATAATCAGTACAGCTGCAATTGTCAAAGCTTACCGGTTCAGTACTGTAAGAGTCGGTTGTTCCGAAGCGTCGAATACAAGACACATAGTCTCCGAGAGCGTGGATCTTGTAAGTCTGCAGGTTGAAGGAAACTGTCCTACGAAGTTTGTTGTGATCCACTGGTTCCTCTACCGCCGTAGTAGTAAGGAGGCCATTGGTAACAGATTTGTTGTTCTTGCCAGCCTGGGTCCGACGAACTGCTTCTTTTGCTTGACAGCGCGAACGTGCATTCACTTCCTTGTCAAGCTCTTTGGCATCGTGGACTGAGCATACCTTGACCTTGAAGTCACGGAGCTGGTTGCCGATATCAGTAGTAGTTGCATCAAAGATATCCAACGTCAAATCTGAATGCATGCGGAGCTTTGATAGGCCGTGCCAATGAGCCAGGGTGAAAAGAAGGTCCTGCACTATCTGGTTTTGAGTAGCGGGAAAAAGACCATCGAATACCGGTATAGCACACTTCAGAAAATCAGCGGAGCTAATCTAGCCTACACGTCGCACGTACCTGGAGGAGATCTTCGAAATTACGCGCTGCCATGTTGGATAGCTCTGATGTATTCGCGGTAAATCTTCTTATAGTAGATCGTCCAAATGATGGAACCAGTCGGTATCTATGAGAGGACATAACAAATGAGCATTCATCTCATTGAGAAGGAAAAAGTTACCAGACCTCCTGTCTAGCTCATGCACTAGATCTTTATCAATAGAACGTATAATCCTAAGTAAATGTATTAGGAGTGAGCGCCAAACTCCAAGTTCCACTTCATGAAGAAGATCCACCACTAGCACTTCAAATATATTGAAGCCTCGACAACTAAGACACTTAGAAAAGGTGTTCTGACAACCTGTCAGCTTGGCCGAAAGAATCAATCAAGTTGCTTACATAGGTTGGCACCCAAGAGCAAGGTTTCAGTAGATTTTCTACCGCAGTGCTGTCTACTCCATAATTCTTTTCATATATAAGTTTCCTAGCGGCGACAACCAATTGTTCCTGATCGCCATCTGAGCGCTGGTGTGTAGTGCGCTGCTGTCTATCTCGAGTCATACCAAGATTGTGCAGTCGACTCTTTGGAATCAAACATCTTGGACAGGGACATCCACCTAGTTGACAGATAGTTGCGATAAGAGCTCTGGTCTCGTTAGCTTCTGACTTTGTCATTAAAAATGACTATACATGCTATGGCTATATATTATATATAACATCGCACATTTTTTGGCCTTTCTGACTATCTCATATCATGGAGCACATCACTGGGATGCTATTGCACCAACTTTTAAGGAAATTGGTGGTCGGGAACATGAGTTATGATCATTTTACTGCCGACCATGTCTTGCTACCAAATATCTATATTGGGATGCCATGACCATATTGGGACAGGCTAAAATCTAATCAGGATGGCTTTATATGTATCATAGTCATGTAATTACATGATCTTGAACCAATTTGGCAAAATCTTTGTCCAACATGGGTGGATGTAGGGGGAGGAGAAGACACACAGCATCACAAAAAATTATTGGCAATCCAAAACTTGGCCCATCATCTTCTGTGACCTTTAAAATGGTGGGGATAAAGTTGTTTGGGTGCTTGCTGATGTTTGTGACCTTGGGTTTCAGACCACCCCCTCACCTACAGATGCACCAAGCCCACAGCCTCACAAAAAATTCCTGGTGTCTCAAGACTTGGTCTATCATCTTCTGTGGCCTTTAAAATGGTGGGGGGAAACTTGTTTGTGTGTTTGCTGGTGTTTGTGACCTTGGGTGTCAGACCACCCCCTTACCCAGACTCCTACCCACTCGGCAAGGGTGTTTTCAGCAAATCCGAGGGCAAGTTGAGACTTTGTACTTATTTGTACCTGATTACTTAACTTTTTTGAACTTTATATTGTGCTGAACACCCTAAGCCGACTGGCACAACTTGCAAGTGTGGTCGTGTTTGTATATCAGTCGGATGGCACAGACCGGCCCATACAGCCATTTTTAGTTGTAAACAGAGTGTGACAGCGTAACATTTCTTTCCACGGCTGCCTTCTTGAGCACGCTCCTGTCCCTGCATATGTCTGCCTTGAAGTTTGTCGTCCCAGAGATGCTCGACATGCAGCACGTTGTCGAAGAGATATTTGGGTTTACTCCATGCAAATGGCAGCTTCAATCTGCACAGGAGCAACTGAAAAGAAATGATGTTTTTACTATTTCTTCCACTGGATCTGGCAAAACTTTGTGTTTCTGGATTCCATTGCTCTTCAACGACAATGGAGTTATGATTCTTATTACTCCATTGAACATCCTTGGCGACAAGAATGTAGATGAAACACGAGTAGCTAACATCCCAGCTATTACCCTAAATGCCACAACAGCAACAGACGAGGCTTACAAGGTGCCATAGCCCCATCCCTGTCACGGTGCACAACCTAATTGAAATTACTTGCAGGACATTGCAAATTTCAAATATCGTGCAATCATCATCAGTCCAGAACGAGCCCGGACCGACCAGCGCTTCATTCGCCTGCTGGATGACAAGAAGTTCGAGAAACAACTTTTCAATGTCACTCTTGACGAGTCCCACTGTGTCTCTGAATGGGGAGATTTCCGGCCAGAGTATACCGAACTTGGATCCCTTAGATGGCTTCTTCCACGAGAGACACCATTCCATTGTGCGTCTGCCACTATGCCCCCCCACGTCATCGACGATGTCATCGAGAAGCTCCACATACGCCCTAACTTGGTCAAGGTGCATCGATCAAATGACCGCCCAAATATTCATTTCCGAGTCGAGAAGATGATGTATCCACTCAATTCAATGTTCGACCTACTTCGAGTCCTGTGCTTCAATGGAGAAGACCCTTTCTTTGTATTTGCAAACAGTAGGAAAGAAACTGAGCAAATTGCGGAGTTCTTGCGTTCACAAGTTGCGCAAGAAAACCAAGATAAAATAGTATGGTTTCACTCGGGAATGAGTCCTCAGTTTCGAAGAGACATAGTAGAAAGACTTCAAAGTGGGGATATCTGGGGGATATGTTGTACTGATGCTGCGGGAATGGTTTTCTTTCCCTTGTTCCAGATCTGCCTCGTCACCCCCAAACTCTCCCAAATCCATTTCCCGGTCTTCCTCTCGAGTCTTATGGCCAGTGCTTGCAGGCGCAGCCCGTTTACGAGGAGACCGCAGGAGCAAAACCACGAGATGCCAAAGGTGAGGCGCTACTGCCTGCATAATTCCAGCAATCCTGGACAAGAAACCTCCTTCTAACTGTTCTGCTGTTGCTGTTGTAGGACGGAAATGCAAACCACTGCGCTCGTGCGCTAACTCCTGTAATTCTTCGAACACTACCTTTGAAACAGTATCCATGGCCCAATCAAAAACCACCGGCCGCGACACGCAGTTTGCGTAAACGTGTCTACATATATTTCCCGCGTCGTCTTCGATACTCCTGCGTGCTACCAGGTGATGTTCATTGGTACTGTGAAGGATGTTGTCAATGAGCTCATTTATCGACAGGTGATTCTCTTCAAGGCTTCGGATGACGTTGGTTATGGCGCTGTCGAAAACCATGGTCTGGTATCTTCTAGTGTACCGAAATGCGATTATCCTTTCAGTGATTGTATTGTCACGCTTCATTAAGGACGGAACCAAAAACGGCTGTTATGGCCGGTCGACGGCTCAGATTACCATTTAGATGAGTATGTAAACAGGACCACACCGTCGCGCCACAGCAAGTTGTGCCAGTCGGCTTAGGGTGTTCAGCACAATATAAAGTTCAAAAAAGTTAAGTAATCAGGTACAAATAAGTACAAAGTCTCAACTTGCCCTCGGATTTGCTGAAAACACCCTTGCCGAGTGGGTAGGAGTCTGCCCCTTACCTCCAGATGCACTGAGCTTACCACCTCACAAAAAATTACTGGTGTCTCAAGACTTGGTCCATCATATTCTGTGGCCTTTAAAATGGCAGGGAGAAACTTGGTTGGGTGTTTGCTGATGTTTGAGACCTCTGGTGTCTGATCACCCCTGACCTCCAGATGCACTGAGCTTACCACCTTACAAAAAAATCCTGGTGTCTCAAAACTTGGTCCATCATCTTTCATACCCTTTAAAATGGTGGGAGAAACTCTCTCTCATGTTTTCTTCAGAATAGGACCTCCAGGGTCAGACCATCCCCTGATCTCCAGATGCACCAAGCCCACTGCCTCACAAAAAATTACTAGAGTCACAAGACTTGATACATTGTCTTCTGCAGCCTTTAAAATAGTGGGGAGAATGTGTGCTCATGACTGTAGATAGAGCAGGAGGGATACAAATGGGATACAGTTTACATGTTCATTAATATTGACTCAAGGAAACACTGGAAATCAGCCACCATGGCCAGACCATGCAAGGACTTTGTATCTGCCATGTTGACAGCATTATGACTGATGCACGTACTGGGCTGTATACCACTAGTCAGATGAGTCACATCACACAATAGTAGTGTCATGTACTTACATCTTGCTTGGTGCCAGCTTGATGGGCCAGTCATAACTTGTAGGCATTCTCCTCAACAATCTCCTCCCACCCAGATACTTACATGATGTGTCAAATGTGCATGCAACTTCTGCCATTGAGTCATGGAGCATTCAGTAACTTTCTTGGTGTTGAATGGACTGTAAAAGTGTCTATGTAACTGTGGTCTGTATTATTTTGTGGTTGCCAATACACTGAGACAGCTACATGCCAATTTGTACAACATAGCACCATGGACATTCCACCAGACTACAGACCACAAAAGCCTTAGAGTCAGATGTGCTTGTTCCCATTCTGCAACTAATTGTATGTGTCTTCCTGCTTGTTAGTGCTCAAAAATCACTAATGAAAATGATATACACACATACCATCATCATGAGCTCTCCGAACCTGAACCTTCACCGTTGATTGCATTATTGAAACTTAGGCAGCACTTTGCCAGACAGAAAAGTTGTTTTCCATCCCAATTGATAGCAAGAGATAGTGGAATAGAGATGTCATCCTGTGCTTCAGCATCCAAAAAATCAGTGAAGTCATGCAGGGCTTTTGTGCAAAGTCCGATGGGTCCTGAAGGCTTGGTCTTCATGTCTAAGTGTTCTCCAAGCCCTTCTAAGGCGCATTTGTAGTCAAGCATACACTGAATTAGATGAAAGAATTTTCTGCCATTCCACTCAACAGCCTCTAGAATGTGCTTATCTGTTTCACTCTCACCAAGGCCCTTGAGCCAATCAGCAAATTTGGAGCAAAGTGATATGGTCTCTGCCACGTCTTGACTTGTGTTTGAGAAACACAATGATCCATCAGAAGATCCTTGGTTATTGTCTGGCCTATACTGGGTATTTCATCAGTGTAGCACATGTATGGGATTTGGGAACCTACCTGTTTCCTTGGAGGCTTGCCTCCAGTAGTTTTGCAAGCTGAAGCTTGGTCTATCATATCCTGTGCCCTTTAAAATGGTCAGAAGAAACTTGTTTTGCTATTTGCTACAGCATAGGACCTTTGGTGTCAGAAATCTCCTGACCCCCAGGTGAACCAAGCTCATCAACTTACAAAAAATACCTGCCCTTTGAAAACCTGGTCTGGTCCATCATCTTCAGTGACCTTTAAAATGGTGGGGAGAAAGTTGTTTGTGTGTTCACTACAGCATGGGACCTCCAGTCCAGACCACTTCCTGACCTTCGGGTGTACTATTTTATAAAGAATTCCTGGTCTTTCGGTTCATTATCTTCAGCAAACTTTAACATGATGGGGAGAAACTTGTTTTGCTATTTTCTATTGCACAGGACCTCTAGTGCCAGACCACCCCCTGACCTCTAGGTGTACCAAGCTTACTATCCTACAAAAAATATCTGGCCTTTCAAAACTTGGTCCATTATCTTCGGCGAACTTTAAAATGATGGGGAGAAACTGTTTTTGCTATTTGCTCCAGCATAGGACCTCCAGTGCCAGACCACCCCCTGACCTCTAGGAGTACCAAGTTTACCACCTCACAAAAAATTCCTAGCTCTTTGAAACTTGGTTTACCTTTTTCAGTGGCCTTGAAAATGATGCAGAGAAACTTGTTTGGGTGTTTGCCTCAGTGTGAGATCTCTGGTGTAAGGTCATTCCTTCATTGCCAGATGCAACAAGCTTACTACTACCTTGCAAAAAATTCCTGCCCTTTTGAAACTTGGTCCACCATTTTCTGTAGCCTTTAAAATGGTGGGGAGAAACTTGCTTTCATGTTTTCTTTAGTGTAGGACATTTAGTGCCAGACCACCCCTGACCTCCAGGTGCACCAAGCTCGCTGTCTCATAAAAAATTCCTAGTCCTTTGAAACTTGGTCCATCATCTTGAGAAACATTTAAAATAATGGGTAGAAGCTTATTTGGGTGTGCGTTGATGTATAGGATTCCTGGTGTAAAAGCATCCCTTCATCACCAGATGCACCAAGCTTACCACCCCACAAAAAATTCCTAGTCACTCAAAACTTGGTCAATCATCTTCAGTAACATTTAAAATAGCATTGGGAAACTTGATTTTGTCTCTGTTTGGGATCTCTGGTGTCAGACCATCCTCCAACCCTCAGGTAGATCAAGCTTATGATCTCACAAAAAATTCCTGGTCCATCATCTTCTGGAGCCTTTGAAATGGTGGAGAGAAACTTGTGCAGATGTTTTCTATAGTGTAGGACCTCTGGCATCAAAGCACCTCCTGACCTCTAGGTGCACCAAGCTCACCACCTCACAAAAAATTCTGGGCCTTTTGAAACTTGGCCTATCATCTTCTGTGGCCTTTAGAATGGTGGAGGGAATGTTGTTTGGGTGTTTTCTGATGTTTGTGACCTCTGGTGTCAAACCACCCCCCTGACCCCAGGTGAACCAAGCTTGCCACCTTATAAAAAATTCCTGCCCTTCTGAAACTTAGTCCATCATTTTTTGTAGCCTTTAAAACGGTGGGGTGAAACTTGCTTTCATGTTTTCTTCAGTGTAGGACATCCAGTGCCAGACCACCCCTGACCTCCAGGTGTACAAAGCTGGTCACCTCACAAAAACTTACTGGCATTTTGAAACTTGGCTTATCATCTTTTGTGGCCCTCATAATGGTGGGGAGAATGTTGTTTGGGAGTTTTCTGCACCACCTCACAAAAAATTACTGGCCTTTCAAAATTTGGTCAATCATCTTTAGTGACCTTTAAACTGATAGGCAAAAACTTCTTGAGGTGTTTGCCCACAGCATGGGACCTCCAGTCAAGACTACCCCCTGACCTTCAGGTGTATTAAACTTACCATGTCATAAAAAATTCCTAGCCTTTTGAAACTTGGTCCATCATCTTCAAAAACCTTTAAAATAGTGGGCAGAAACTTGTTTGGGCATTTTTCACAGCATGAGACCTCCAGTGCCACACCACCCCCTGACCTCCAGATGCACCAAGCCCACCACCTCACAAAAATTTCCTAGCGTCTTAAAACTTTGTCCATCATCTTCAGAAACCTTTAAATGGTGGGGGGGGGGGATGATGTTTGGGTGTTTTCTGATGTTTGTGACCTCTCATGTCAGACCATCCCCAGGCGAACCAAGCTTACCACCTTGCAAAAATTCCTGCCCTTTTGAAACTTGATCCATCATTTTTTGTAGCCTTTAGAATGGTGGAGTGAAACTTGCTTTCATGTTTTCTTCAGTGTAAGACATCCAGTGCTAAACCACCCCCTGATCTCCAGGTGTACCAAGCTTACCACATCACAAAAAATTCCTTGTCCTTCGAAACTTGGTGCATCATCTTGAGAAACATTTATAATAATGGGGAGAAGCTTTTTTGGATGTTAGGTTGATGTATAGGATTCCTGGTGTAAAAGTGTCCCTTCATCAGCAGATGCACCAAGCTCATCATCTCACAAAAAATTACTGGTGTCTCAACACTTGGTCCATCATCTTCTGTGGCCTTTAGAATGGTGGGGAGAATGTTGTTTGATTATTCTGATGTTTATGGCCTCTGGTGTCCGACCACCCCCTGACCCCCAGGTGAACCAAGCTTACCATCTCATAAAAAATTCCTGGTGTCTCAAAACTTGGTCCATCATCTTCTATACCCTGTAAAATGATGGAAAGAAACTTGTTGTGCTATTTGCTACAGCATAGGACCTCTGGTGTCAAGACCACCCCTGACCCCCAGGTGAACCAAGCTCATCAACTTACAAAAAATATCTGGCCTTTCAAAACTTGGTCCATCATCTTCAATGACCTTTAAAATGGTGGGAATAAAGTTGTTTGTGTGTTCACCACAGCATGGGACCTCCAGTCCAGACCACTTCCTGACCTTCAGGTGTACTACCACACAAAAAATTCCAGCCCCTGTGAAACTTGGTCATCATTTTCTGTAGCCTTTAAACTGGTGGAGATAAACTTGTTTGTGTGTTTGCTGGTGTTTGTGACCTTGGGTGTCAGACCACCCCCTCACCTTCATAAAAAATTCCTGGTGTCTCAAAACTCGGTCCATCATCTTTTGTGACCTTTGAAATGGTGGGGAGAAACATGTTTGGATGTTTTCTTATGTTTGTGACCTTGGGTGTCAGACCACCTGCTGACCACCAGGTGAACCAAGCTTACTGTTTCATAAAAAATTCCTAGTATCTCGAAACTTGGTCCATCATCCTCCATACCATTTAAAATGGTGGAGAGAAAATTTCTCTCATGTTTTCCTTTGGGTAGGACCTCCAGGGCTAGACCATCCCCTGACCTCCAGATGCACCAAGCCCACTGCCTCACAAAAAATCCTTGACCTTTCAAAACTTGGCCTATCATCTTCTGTGACCGTTAAAATGGTGGGGAGACAGTTGTTTGGGTATTTTCTGATGTTTGTGACCTCTGGTGTCTGACCACCCATAACCTCCAGATGTACCAAGCCCACCACCTCACAAAAAATTTATGGCCTTTTAAACCTTGGTCCATCATGCTCTGTGGCCTTCAAAATGGTGTGGAGAAAGTTGTTTGGGTATTTGCTGATCTTTGTGACCTCTGGTGTCAGACCACCCCCTGACCCCCAGGTGAACCAAGCTTACTGTCTCATAAAAAATTCCTGGTGTCTCAAAACTTAGTCCATCATCTTTCATAGTTAGTCTGGTAGGTGTTTCCAAGGAAGAGTCAGGCCGATGTTCAGGGGGTTAGTCCGGCCGATGTAAGGAGGGTTCATCAGCCAATGTAAGGAGGGTTAGTCCGGCCAATCATAGGGTTAGTCCGGCCAACATAAGAGGATTAGTCCGGCCGACATAAAGGGGGTTCATTGGCCAACGTGAGGAGGGTTAGTCCGGCCAACATAAGGTTAGTCCAGCTGACATAAGAGGATTAGTCCACCGGACAATAGGGGCTTTAGTCCGGCAGATGTGGCAGACAGAACAGACAGGTGTAAGGACAGAAAGACAGGAAGTCAGGAAGTCCAAGAGGACAGAAGGACAGGAGGATGAGATGTCCGAGAGGACAGGATGTCTGAAAGGACAGAAGGATGGGATGTCTGAGAGGCCAAAGCTAGAGGTAAGACTACACTAGACAATGTACAGAGTAAAAACTGATGGAGGTAGACTACCCAAAGGTAGAGGCGGAGTATAGTCTGAGGAATCAATTCCAGGACACAGAGGTTGGACCGGGAAATGGGGTCCGGTCCATGGAAATGGATCCCAGACCCAAGAGAACAGATTCCAGTCTAGGGAAACAGAATGAGGATAATCTAAGGTGATATTTGAACTGAGGAACTACTACGAGTTTACAAGGTATTATATACTATGGACATGTGCGACGGGGACGGAGTCAGCAGAGATCCAGGTCAATGCAAGGAACATATGGAAAGGTTAAACTGACAGGCACAAGGAAAATAATACAGAAACAGAGATGGAGATGAAGTATCGAATGGATTCAGCATAGGAGATATGATTGGGAATGAAGTTAGATATTAACTGTCAAGTGGATCTGAGAATATAGGGGTTAGGACAAGGGGACTATATGAATGGGGCAATGGAATAGGAGCAGAACTGGAAATTAACTGTCAAGTCGTTCCGAGGCTCAGGATCTGAGTAGGTCCGATGTTTAGGGTCCGATGCTTAGGGGTTAAGTGGACCTGAGTGGGTCTGACATATAGGATACAACCCCCACCAGGTGTGATGCTTATTGGTCCTATCAGTGTTGAAAAGGAGCCTGAGCTAGATGAGGATGTCCTTACACTGGAGGAAGCCCTTACTCATGGTGTTGCATTTGGAAGCTCGAACATTGACCTTACCATTCCATCGACCTCATGTCCTGATACTCCAGCTCTTGTTAGCAGCCCTGGGATTAATCCAGACGATTATCTTCTTATCTATAGGAAGTACATCCACAAGGAAATGATCTGTCAATGGGTGCTCAATAAGTATTTCATTGTGAAGTCTCTCAACAGACAGGAATTCATCATCAGCAATGTTTTCCTCACAATCATCCGCATCAACCTCTTGCTCACTATTGCACTTGTGCATTCCACGTCAATCAAACACCACAGTATTACATGCCATCATATCCTTGTCTCGAATGTTCACACCCCCAATGTTAAAATCACCGGCTAAATTCTCACATTGATCCCTATGCACCGACCTATTGATCAGCACTCCTGGCTCTGGACAGGGAATTATGTCACAACGAACTTGGAGATTCAAGGCACCATGCAAACCATGGAAAAGGTTGTTAAAATCACAGTGCTGGGACGTCTGATAAAACTCGTTAACCCCAAGACAATGTGAGTTCATATGCAGTCTGACATCAATTCCAACAAGTTTTTTGCATTGAATAACCTTGGGAACATGTGGATCATCAAAGAGTCGGCTCTTTCTCTTGCATGTGACACTCTTTGGCACACCGTCTGTGAGCATTCAATTCCTATCAAAAACATTCTCCGTGTCCCTACCCCTTCTGATCCTTCTATGTTTCCTTTTTCTCTTACCAATGGTAAGTTTCTTGTCTCTTAACTTAATCATACCTACTAACACAGTGATACAGGCTCCACAGGTATCTTTTGCATTGAAGCAAGTCAGCAGCTTGCTGCTGCAGAATAGGGACCTCTGGAGGACTGTCTGCTATGTGGTGCAAAGACCGACTCAATGCAAGCACATGTTGGTCTGCATATCTTGCAGGCATCTAACAGCATCAACAAGACTCTAAAGGAGCAGGTGTGTGTCAAGGTTTTGTTTGCAAGCAAGCAAGCAAGACTTACCCATTTTCAGGTTGGTCTCATATACCCTTGTGGATTCTGTGGCTGATCCGGTCATGACGAGTGCAAGATTCAAATCAAGATCTTGAATAGTAAGGGCAGTGTATCACTCAAAACATGCTACCCTTACCATCATGTATTCTGATATGTCAATGCCAATATTGGTTCCAAGAACCAACCCCATGGAATGTCCCACTCAAGTGTAAACTCTGCCATCCATCACTAACACCTGTCACTGGGAAAAAGTCTTGTGCTGAAGCAGTATTTGTGGATGCTATCTGGCGCTACAATATGATTCAGCATCTTGATGATGTTCACCCACAGTACTCACACCTAAGCATCCCAATGGTCACCCTTTGCCACTCAACATCCTCAATACATTCATGCTGACGAGCCTTGAGCAATGTGACACCGGCATTCCTGAGACCCAATGGCTCAAGCCTGTTTTTGATGATGATAAAGAGAATTACCCTGGACCAAGCACCTGCAAGCATAAGATTAATAACGCCGGTGGCACAAATGTGAAGAAAGCTTGTAAATCTGCATAGTCAGTTTGTTTGTTTCATTTTCTTTGCATGCTTTCACAATTGCGTGTACAAGACTCTCACTCGCTTGCTATGATTCTGCTTTCTTACACTTGCTATCTCATGTTCTTGCAGATTTCGTATGTTCCAATTGCATAGTATTACTCAGGAATCAATATATGCATGTTTCTGTCTTGTCACATTGCATACGATGTGTAAACAACACGTGAATATCAAGACACATCTCCATGTACCAGTGAAATGTTCAAAAATTACAGAATTACTGTATTTGGCCATATGACATCATGTGAGGTCACTGTAACGGTGGTGGTGGTGGGTCGCTGAACTAAAAGTGTTAGTGTCTGGAACTAACAAATCGCACACCTCTATTTCATATCATGGAGCACATCACTGGGATGCTATTGCAGAAGAAATTGGTTGTCAGGAACATGAGTTATGATCATTTTACTGCCGACCATGTCTTGCTACCAAATATCTATATTGGGACGCCATAACCATATTGGGATAGGCTAGAATCTTATCAGGATGGCTTTATATGTATCATAGTCATGTAACTACATGATCTTGAACCAATTTTGCAAAATCTTTGTCCAACATGGGTGGATGTAGGGGGAGGAGAAGACATACAGCATCACAAAAATTATTGGCAATCCCAAACTTGGCCCATCATCTTCTGTGACCTTTAAAATGGTGGGGAGAAAGTTGTTTGGATGCTTGCTGATGTTTGTGACCTTGGGTTTCAGACCACCTCCTGACCCCCAGGTGAACCAAGCGCTTACCATCTCATAAAAATTCCTGGTGTCTCAAGACTTGGTCCATCATCTTTTGTGACCTTTTAAATTGTGGGGAGAAACTTTTTTGGTTACTTGCTGATGTTTGTGACCTCTGGTGTCCGACCACCCCCTCACCTCCAGATGCACCGAGCTTACCACCTCACAAAAAATTACTGGTGTCGCAGGACTTGGTCCATCATCTTCTGTGGCCCTCAGAATGGTGGGGAGAATGTTGTTTGGATGTTTTCTGATGTTTGTGACCTCTGGTGTCAGACCACCCCTGACCTCCAGGTGCACCAAGCTTACTGTCTCATAAAAAATTCCTGGTGTCTCAAAAATTGGTCCATCATCTTCCATACCCTTGAAAATGGTGGGAAAAGCTTGTTTGTATGTTTTTACACTGTAGGACTTCTGGTGCCAGACCACCCCCTGACCCCAAGCTTATCACCGCATAAAAAATTCCAGTCCTTTCAAAACTTGGTCTGTCATTTTCAGTGACCTTGAAAATTTTGGGAAGACACTTCATTTTGTCTCTGCTGATGTCCGGAATCTCTCATGTCACAACATCCCCTGAACTCTAGATGTACCAAGCTCAACACCTTGGGGAATCGTCTCCTCATCCAAAATAATGGAACTTTCCTGAGGTCTCAAACATTGGTACATCAACTTCAGTGACCTTTAAAATGGTAGGCAGAAACATTTTTTGCAGTTTGCTACAGCATGGGACCTCCAGTACCAGACCAGCTCCTGACCACCAGGTGTACGCAGCTCAACCCCTCACAAAAAATTCCTGATGTCTTAAAAATAGCAGGAAGACACTTGCTTGACTGTTTGCTCCAGTTTGAGATCTTTGGTGTTGGACAATCCCCTGACACCCAGGTGTGTCACGCAGAATTTGCACGAGCTTGCTAGATATTTGCAGTAGTTGTATATATATCATGTAACATAAATCAGCAAGACGATATGTAAATGGATTGCACCAAGTAAACATGATGCTAGAATTAGACGTATATGCTACAGCCCCTATACTGCCCGACAAGCTCTCAGAAGCTCTAATTGATCTTTGATTTTCTTGCATTCAAGTTCTGCCCTGAGACGTAGTTCTTCTGTCCTCTCGAGGTGCTTTTCGAGGTCTCTGATTTCGTCCTCGAGTTGACCCATTTTGGAAACAGAAAGCTTCCTCCGTTTGGCAGGAGGCTCCACCCAGTCGGATGGCTTCTCATCTAAGAGGACAACATGGTCTGAATCGTCTGATGAATCGGAACTTCCAGACCCATCAGATTCGCTATAGGTATTATTTTTAGTATGATCTGCCTTCGGCACTGCAAGAGGTTTATATACATCAGCACTAGGACATTCTTGCGAAATACTGACTTACCATGACTGCAGAGTGCTGAACAGGCAACGCATGCTGCGCCAGCCCAGCTGGTGCATCGTCGCTTCATTATCTGACAGGACTTGCATCCTGGGAACCTTAGATGACACGCTCGCATGATATAAGGACAGAGCTGCGGCTGTGGGCCTATGAAAACCCATCAGCATCTTGAAAGAAGTTGTTAGAATAGACAAGATCCTTACCCTCTAAGAATGAGCAACGCTTCATACATGGTCCGCATGCCTGGGAGTCCCCAACCTTGAAACATTCTGTTTTGTCTGCAGCGCAGGTGTCACAGGGAGTAGTCTTCAATGCCAAGTTGTTATTTGTGGTAGCCATGGGCTGACTGAGTGGTTGAGGATGAGTTGGTGAATATAGTGTAAAGTTGGGTGTTTGAACTGCTGAAGGGTAGCGAGAGGCTGAGATTAAATAGAAAATCTAACTATTGGTGTGGATGTTCGTATGGTAGAATGTGGATGCTTGTGCACCTGACGTCTGACTTAGGATGCTATTATGTGGGTGCTAACTCAAGACAAATCTGATAAAACACAGGTTCCTGACGCTTGTTCCATCCCACAAATAGACCCCACTGTGCTTAAGCCATATGGTCATCTTCCGGGTCTTCCACATTTTTTGACCTTCTAGAGTGATTGCTTGGTGAAAACGCTGGGAACATGATGATGTACAGGGTGTGACCTACTGGGTACCATACTTGTGTTCTACTCTTTGCGGAATGTGATTCACATATACCAAGCTCACCATTTCACAAAAAATTCCTTGTGTCACAACGCTTGGTCCATCATCCTTGGTGACCTTGAAATTGGATCTCATGTGTGGAGGCAAAAATTTAATTTGTATTATTGTCATTCACGTACTCCTAATAATTTATTTATGATGCTATGTCTGTCATGGTTTCTATATCCACTTTCAAATTTCTGTCTCGGTGTCTGCATTTCTGTCGCCGTTTCTGTTGCATTTTCTGTCGCCATTTCTGTCACCACTTCCTGACGTCTGTCTCTGCTTCTGTCTCCACTTAAGATGAAATTTTCTGAGGTGGATTAAACCATTTTTTGAATAATCCTATATACCATCGACCCTGGGGGGCACATTCACGCTGGACTTGAAGATCACATTCAAATAACCCTGGAATGCGGTTGCTCAGAATGCAACTTTGGCCCCCCATGTTTTGTGACCTTAAAAATGAATGATTTGGTATGTTCCATGCCCAGGTGCTTATATTATTCCACAGTTCCATCATCCTGACGCTTGATTTATTGTGTTCAGAAAAATCAAATGTTGATTAGGCTACTGCATCCAACAATATCGCCATTCTAATTGCTTATGGTACTTACTTATTCTGGACTAGATCTGATGCAAATCCCATGTGCATTTTTGGTCGCATCCGCCATAAGCTCATCCATCTTATATATAATATTTACCCTCAGAGATGCATCGTATCTTCAAGATGCCTGATATAATTTTTATGATCTTGCAGATGGTCTATACGGCCATTTCCACAGAGAATTCCGGTAGACTTGGTGCTTTTGCTGGACTAGCCACAACATCCTTGACGATCTCTGAGGCCGTACTTCACCTCCTATGGAAACAGCTGTCTTCTGTGGAACCTCTCATCCATCTTCTTCCCGAAGATCTTATTTACAACCACCAAGATTCTAATGGTGGATTTGAGTTGGTGGGTCACCCAATACTGTCGCTGAGCCTGTAGCATGCTGGCAGCTGATGCTTGAAATAGAGGTTCTCAGGACATTGAAGCCTTCAGATCTGGCAAGGTTTTATTCATATGCACGCAGAGTCAAAGCCATCTGTCCGGAGAAGAAGGCATTGAGATCCCCATACAAGCATGTTTTTCAGAGCCTGCTGGCTTTGCATGGCCGAATCAGATCTTTGGATTCTCTTCTGCCATTTCTCATCCATGTGGAGCTGAAACACAAGAGAGACCGCCTAATCCAATTTCTGGACAGCCTGCTGCATCCAGGACTGACTACCCTGATACTTCCGCCTCATATGCTCTTACCTCCCGACATCCACAATTTATTACCGCATCTGCAAAATCTGGTCTACATTGCCAACTCATCTGAGACCAGGACTGTTTTAAATTCCCTTTCCCTTAGCCTCCCCATCCGGTATCTTACCTTGTCTTATGTGGAACCCGCAGTGATGACCTCCATATCATCTTTACGCTGGCTCACCATCCTAACCCTTGTCATTATCCCTGGATCATCATCCATGAAGCAGACCTCTCTCATTCCAAACCATCACATCCGCACCAGGGTTCTTGACATCCGGGTAGAACCTGATGAGTGTCCTCCAACGCTTAATCATTCAATGGCCATGTCCGCTGACATGGGATTTCCAGCCATCATATCCCTGTTCTCTAATCACCCCATCACCATGAAAGGACTGAGCATCAACGTACACCAGGAATACTGCTCAGCAGATGCCGTCCTGCATTTCTTTGATGCTCTCATATCTCTCAGGCCAGCTGATGATGACGAGGATGCATTACCGGCTTGGGAGGATCTGGTAGGGTTAAGATTGAAGATGCCATGGGAAGAAGGATTTTTTGTCTTGGATGAGAGCGTTCTTCAGATTCCTCGTCATGGCTTGGCTGCTTTGTATGCCCTGGCCTATTTGACTGCTCTGGAGCTGGAGGACTTGGGCACTTGTAGGATTGACGATGATGCCTTGCTGAATTTGGCCCTCAGTTTACCGTATCTTAAACATCTGTTCTTGGGCACAGGGCAATTTTGGGAAGAAGCTCCGAGGGCCACTCTATGGGGGATATCACACATCCTGTCCTACTGTCGTAGTTTGCAGAAGCTGGGTCTGCTGTTCTACTGCAGCTTGGGACAACATCTTCTTGAATCTGCTGCTAGAAACACCCTCATCACAACACTACATGTTGGATTCTCTCCGCCACACAGTTCTGTGACTGTGGCAGCATTTTTTGCTCATTCTCTGCCCAACCTGAACTCCATCATGGTGGAGCCTAGAGGATCTCATAGCAAACATGCTCACAGCCGTACAGATCTGACTCTTCCTGATCGTGAAGCCAGGATTCAGGAATGGGACAGGATTTTAGAGTTGACCAGAGAGTTTGCAGAACTTTGACATAGTACATCAGCTATCTTGATCTGGACCATTATTACGGAACATGCTTTGACTTGCTAGTGGAGGCTGTGGCAGAAAACAATTTAGAAATATGCCAAGTTGACATCTAGTTGATTGCTATCTCTTCCACCACAGAGAAGTTGGCACTTTCACAAATGTTTCTTGTTTATGAGGCAGAATTACAGCAATCAAAGCAGAATCAAGTGTGACAGTGGAAAGGCCAAAAATCATGCAGATATATTGCCTGGTGCTCCAGCAGTGTTAGATGAGGAAAGCTGCAAGGTTGGTCAGACCCCGGCTGTCAGGGAATTGAAAATTGGCTGCATTCTCTAAAAAAATTCCAGCACCAATAATGGTTGCCCTTATACTCTGATGCTAACTGACCTTGCGCTCCCTCCAAGCTGACTTTGAAACTGCGGTGTGTGACATGTTGTGACTTTAGGTGACATTCACACGACTGCTGATTTCTGCTGGTGCCAGATTGCAGTAGAAGGAACGGCAACAGACATTTGTCTTACAAGAAGTCATCTGCTATCTCACCAGGTAAAGTTCGGTCATCCTGAATCTGACTGTTTTCTGGCTGACGTTACATCTGGAAAACTCTCCTATCACATAGCTCTATGGCCTTGTCACATCACTTTGATCTTCAACACTTTGATGAGTGGTGGAATGAGTCAAACCCTGCTCACACAAACTTTTCCGACATCCCGACATATCATCTAGGAAAATTCATATCAGATACCGGGACTTATGAGCTTTTCCACGATCATGAACTGCTGGCCATGATTCCTGCTCACTACAGGAATGGCCTGAGATTTCTCAATCATGATGTCATCTGTTTCCAAAAACTGCTGGAACATCCCAGACCTTCATACTGTCCTGATCTCTTGCAGCCCAAGTATGAGATCTTTGGAAGGGAACTCTTGGTACTGAGTAAAATAAGGGAGTGGTTCATTCAGGAGGTCCATAGTGAATGTCTGGCTGAGACATGGATATCGCCCATCATGAACTCTTTCTTGGCTTATATGTATTATTGCGGATCTGTGAATCCTTGTCATAAATCCCTCATGATGAATAGGGTTCTAGATGATCCTCAAACATACAGTGAGTTGGAAATCTGATATGCATCTGCTCAAGGATCAAAGTTCTGATCCACAACAGATTGATATAGTTGGGCAGAAAAGCAAGTAGTTCCAGGTTTATGGGGAAAACTGCCAGAGCATCCTGAAGAATACCAGGCTGCTATGTTGTAAGCCACCGCAGCCAACATTGCACTGGAGCCTAATACAGAGTCTCCTGGGCCATGCTCTGAAATGTGGTGCAAGGGCATGATCAACATGATGATTCAAACCAGACCGGAAATTGAGAGTGATGTTGCTGTGGTGAGTATATTCTGTTCCGTTCATCTTCACCAAAATCATGGCTGATACTCTCCTATTATCAGGACAAGTCTGAACAAAAGATGCCAGGGTATGCTGTTATATATGCTCTGTTTTGATGGATAAAGAATGCTGACATTGTGGTTCAGGAATTATACGTCTAATGAAGCAGTGAGAAAGGCAAGGGGTCGACCCAAAGGAGTGTGCAATAGCATAATTGTGGTGCCTCAGATGCAGTCCAAATCCCCCATGAAACTTCGCAGCATGAATAAATCTGGATGTTTATCTAGATTATCAGCCATATCCATCAGCAGGGATCTTGTTCCAGAAATACCCATGACTGAAGATGCTGAAGGTTAGCGTGCTTACTCTGATTTGGCACCCCGGTCATTGAAAAATATAAATCAGAAATGAAAGAGCTTGGCCAGGTCCTGAGATTAAAGACTTCCCCGCCAGACTCTCTCCTGGCTGTAGCAACACCTACCAGAAAATCTGGTGCTTTGGCAGATAGGTAAGCGGTCCAAATTGATTTTGATCATATGTCTTGTTTCTAAACATAGCAGGAATACCCTCTTAGATCTGGCATCGTTGAACCAGGTGCTTACTCTTTTGTATCTCAACTGGTTAATCAAGTGGCTGTGGCTGACATAACAACTACAGGCAACTCCAAGCGCGGCACTGGAGTCTCCGAAGAAGCACTTAAGAATACCAGCAGAGAATGATGTTTCTGCTCTGGATTTGTCTATCTTTTTGTTGAAAAGGTTGCATCCGCGTTCTGCAAAATCTATGTCACTGTCACTGTTGCCGGCAAGTTTCTTGCTTTATGATCGAGAAGCCATACTAAACTTTCCATTAGGCGCAGCCTGCCAAAAGGCTTCATGTTTTCTCGAACAAGAAACCATCTGAACCAGGCCAGACATCATCAGACCTTGCAGCAGCTGCTGTTGCACCTCCATGTGTTATGGAAATAAGATCTAATTATGGTACACCAAGCTCCAACTCCCCATTGTTTTCAGAAGATTTGCCATATGATATGGATGTGGACCAGGATGTAGATGTCAATAGTTCGCTTGGATATGCATCTCTGGCCACCCCTGATTCATATCCAGAAGATTCTTCATATGATATGGATGTGGACCAGGCTATAGATGCCAATAGTTCACTTGGACATGCATCTCTGGCCACTCCTGATTCATGTCCAGACTTGCCAGGGAACGATGCATCTTTGCCAGTGGATTCCAACCACCTAGAAGAATCTGTGGCGTCTATACTCACTCCTCCAGGCACACTGCTTCTATCAAAGGATGATCTACAGATGTCTGCTATCTCTTCTTCTTCCTGTTCCAGGATAGATCTTGAACGGTCTTCACCTATTCCATCACCCTCTATGTCCAGTCCTGATGAATCTGCTCAAAAACCTCTGATCACTAGCAAAACATCCAAAGGCACTTTGGTTTTTACCAAGAGTCACGATACCAAGTTTTCCTATGATTCAGTCACATTCATACCCAATGCACCCAGATCCAGAGTCAAATCCAAATCCAAATCCAAATCCAGTTCAAAGGTACCTGTGAGTATTCTTTCTCATTTCCACGTTTGGTTTGGTTCGGATAGCAATTGATGTATTCTAACCCACCTTCTCAGATACAAGTCCCATCTGGCCAGAACAATGAGAGTCGAATGTTGAACAAGGGCAAGGAAAAAGCAAGGGTGACACGTTCAAAAGTGTCTCAAAAGTGTAGTCTGCAGGAGAGAGCAAAGAACAATGATGAGAGACATATGGAGATCTCAGATGAATCCCCAATGCCTCATCCTGGTCCCAGTACCAGGTCCAGGATCACTGAGACACTGCCTGCAAACATGTCAAAAGTGGCTCAATCGTGTCAGATTGCTCAGGAATCTGAGAATTGGAAATGGAGTGACAGAGTGGGTTCTCATTTCCTCATTTCATCGAGTTCTGATCATAATGATGTGTCGCCATTACAGTTTCTTACATTCTTCAAGTACCTTGGGCGTGATTGGGCCAGATCGCCTGCACTTCAAAATGATATAAAATTGCAGGTTGGCAAGGCTATGACCTCTAGAGATGTTGAGGTATGCCTCATCCATGGTGTTGCTGTTGCTGTTGCTGTAGATCTGATCGTATTGAATGATTGGCAGAAGCAGATCAAGAATGACATGCATGTGATAGTCAAGTATGTCTATTGGATGAAAAGGCAGAGGGGAACGGTCAAACTTCAAGAACAGTCTGAAGTTGGTTTCAAAGTTCTATTTGAACTTTTACAAATGAGGTCTTAGTCTATGGTCTGGTATATGTTGGATTGTTGAGTCCTCTGTACTTTGCTATTTACAGCCAATATCTTGGGCAGGTAGGACATTGGTAATAGATAGTGTGGGCCAACCGTTGTGTGGGTACAATCCATCTTGTGTCAATCTGATCCATATGCATGGTCCAGTCTACAGGCAGACGATGGCCTTGGCCTACCAACTGACTGTGCCACTCACGTGCCTGATGCATTGCCCATCCGTTCCCAGATACTCCAGCTGTAATTCCACGTTCAATAGGACAGCAAATGAGTGCTTTGAAAAGTTCATCCACCAAGTGGTCTGCATGAACTTTAGTTTCTGGAAGATGAGATTTGATAGAGTCTGTTGGCGACAGGACTCTGAGACATCTTGTATGATACCAGCGGTTGCAATTCAGACAAAATCTTTGGATCTCCTTGTCAGGACTGAAAGGCTTGTTGCATGCGGAGATACAAGAGAGGTGGATTAAATCATCCTATGATCAGATGTTGGTCAATTATGTTCCCAACCTCTTGGAGCTCATGACAGACCTGAAGTATGGGAGTTGAAGAACTTGCAAACCAGCGTGTGTAAAATTCATTTGAACACCAAGGCTTTTGTACTCCAGACATGTCATCGGACTTGACCACTTGGATGGTGCCTTGAACTTTAATAACAAATCTTGGTTGGTCGTGCAGATCTACTACAAAAGCTGCGGATTGTTCTCACCAGCTAATACTTTGGATTCTTCCCAGATGAACATATCTGACTCCAATAGTTCTTGGCGTCCCATGCACAATAATCTGGAGTCTGACTGAGAAGCCTTTTTAAAAAGTGGGTCTTCATAGTCTGCCCTCCAATACCAACGAATCTTGACCCCTATAAAGAAAGAAATGATTGTGAAATTATGATATGCTAGCTGTTGATGGATGCAGACCTCTGAAGCCTTTGCACGCTTGTCTACACGGATACATTCAATGATTCCATACCATAAATCATCGAGATCCACTCCCTTGCGCCCTTTTTTGGGGGCATACACTGAAACGCTATGTGCAACATGACTCAGATGAATCAGACCTGCATATGAATTCATGCTAAGCATCCTCCTAGAAGAAACACACCTTTGTCCAACTTTGTATTCGGTTTTTTTCTCCCCTTCTTCATCTGAATCAAGTTGATAAACTAGTTTATTTTCTCTGAATCAGAAACAAAGTTATAAAAGTGCAGCAACTGACTCACGGATTGTACGTGTAGTTGGTAAGTCATCGAATTTCTTTTGGGACATGCCCTTGGGCAGCTGTGACATCTTCAAATTGTTTTGGGTGCTAGTGCAGAAGCTTGAAGTTGTGGACAAATCGTATCAGTGTTTTCATTCTTTATCTGTTAGCCTGCACTTTAGCCAAATCTTGATTGCTCACGTGCCTGTTTTAGACTGTACTACGTCATATCAAAATCAGTCTCTAAAAGCCCAACTTAACTGTGCACCAATTCCGTGCTCTCTTATCCTATAAACAGTGACTAACTGCTAGGTAATCTTTAACTCTTAATACCTGGCAAAAAACTGTTTATCAATTTTCAGTGTCCACTGCATATATTCCACCACGGAGTCACAGATATGTCCGAATCCCAACCATATTCACCCCAGCATACTTCAGCATGGCTGGATATGCAGCTATCTTCAGATTCTGACTTGCATGGCAGCTCTGATCGCACAAATCATGGAATCTACATATCACCATCAACTTCCGCTTCACCCACACGCGAAACAGAGACATCTGAAGATGGCTTGAACTTTGGCAGGTCCTCTGTTCAAAGTTCATGGCTTCAGTTGGAGCTTCCATCAGAGGAGAGCTCAGAAATGAGATCTGATGCTGGTGATGATAAAATTCTTCCTACTCTATGGTCTTCTGATGAATCATGATTAGATGTTGTCACTGGTTCTGATACAAGAATCAGACATTCTCATCCCATCTGCGATGATTTGTTTGATATTCTGGAAGAATACATGCAAAGACATGAGGAGTCATCCGATGCTGGTACACCAGAAGGCCCACTGTCAGAGTCAGATCAAGATCGTGCTGATGATTATCGCCCTGAAAGCTTGGAGGAATGTGGTCCAGCATGGACCAGATCTCATCTGGCTGACGATTCATCTGCAACTTCTGAGCCCCAAGATGATATGGAATCTCCAGGTGAATGAATGACTCAAAAAATACCAGACTCCAAGCCCATCTAATCAAGGCTGTAGCAGATGTAGACCCGATGTTGAACTTGGCACGCCCCACCCTATGGGCTCCTGCTTTGAGCAGCTTCACACGTTGAATCCTCAGATGCCTGTTGGGGGCGCAGTCCTTAATTTCTTCCTAATGACCAAGTGGTATCCCACATGTGGACTAGGCCCTTTGCAGTATGCCGATATAATGGCTGTGGCCCCTCCAATAGTTAACAATTTGGGTCAGATGCCACACTTGAATGAAATACGGACTTTTCAGCAAAGGCACTTTGTGCCTCCTTCTCAGAAACATCCCGTGGCCCAGGTTGGCTTCATCTTGGATATATCCCAGCACTACTGTGTAGCCATCTTTGATTATCACCGTCAAAGTGCTCATATTTTGGGACGCCATGTGACTTCAGAGGCCAGACCTGGAGTCAGTCCACAAAGTAACTGGGAGGAATGGCATGGTCCATCGTACTGGAAACGCTTGGCCATCTTGCATGGCTGGCCTCATGGAGATCCTTCCGCTGTACACGTTCATGAAGATCCTAGATTCCGCCTACCACGAGCATCAAATTGTGACTGTGGGCCAATTGCTTGTTCCATATTGGAGCATTTTCTAGACAAAGGGTTGAGCCACTATGTAGATGGCAGTTTGCAGCGCCCAACCATACCCTGTGGACATACCACTCGTCTCAGAATTTTTGAGATGGTGAAACTCAGCTGTAGACACCAGTGGCATCACTATCTATATCTTGGCGGCCATCTTCCAGATAATTGGGACCCAACCGATCGTATCTCCAAGGCTGCATTGGAAACCAGAATGGAAGCACCTCCGCAGATGGCTCACAATCACCAGGTCATAGTGACTCAGCTTGCCACTATATTATACAACTGCCCAAACTGCCGTCCAAACTTAACCCGTACCACAACCAGCATCTCATCTTCTGGTCAAGCACCAGGGAATGGAACCCAGAATGATGAGGGTCTGGATCCTGATTCTGAAGACCACAATCCAATCAGGAACTTGATCCGGAGTGACCGGATGACAGACAATCTAAAGCAGCTCTTGGATTCCCATTCATTGACCTCCGGTACTCATATCCGCGATACGGGCACCAGACCATCCAGATGGCGGCCTTTTGATCCAAGATTTGATCAATACTGGGGTGGACCTACCCTGGAGTCCATGCGTCCCATCATGGATGCTGGTGAGATCTGGTCTTCATCCCGCAATGCTTGGATTAGTGCGCTAGGGTCATCCATGCTCTTCAGAGACTACGGTTACAGGATTCTCCCCAGCTTCTCCCAGATGTTCTGTTTGGGCCCTCCAGTGGACACCCTGAATTGCATAATGGGTATTGGAGTATCTGATACATATGATCCCAGCTTGCAGGTTTCTCGCTGGAATAATGAAGGCTACAGTCTGTCACGTTGCTCCCTATTTCCTGATGACAGAACAGTTGTTGCCAGTGACGTGCGTATCATGGGAGCATCTGAAATGCTGCAACATGCCAATCAGCTGGTTTCAGAGAATGCTGATATATACGAGACTCTCTTTGTGTATGGGGCATATCCGTTCACAAACCACCGGATCTCCCTGGACCTGGAGCTTGACATGGATATTCCTAAAGAAATCAACATATCGGTGGACATTGACAGCTACATCTGGGTTACCTAAGACTTTCGCCCAGTCCTTAGCATAGGGATCTACTTGGCCCCCGTGATCGAGCAGAATGCCCCCATCCATAAACATAACCATGTTTATGTTGACATTCTTGTGCCCCAAAGTGCTGAGGATCAGGGTTTACATGGAGCTCAAAGGAATGAGTGGTGGACCAAGTCTGTCCCTTTGAGCTCCATACCTCATGTGTCCTTTGGAGTATTGAGCACAGCAAATCACACATCCAATCTTCTCCTCTGCTTTCCCCATATGATTCATAATCGTACCAACTCATCTCGGCGCGCCACCCGCATTCCTCTTGACGTCGTTGATTTATTCTAGAATGAAGTGGTGCTACCTTCTATATCTCAGGAGGCACCAAGTTCTTCCCTGCCTTATGTGGACACCACGGTGCTTGAGATCAGATACAAATCGCGCAAAGGTGGCTCCAGAGGTGCTGCCCCATTTGAAAGAACGGGTAGGTCTTTGGCAATTGACTCTTGTTACCATATTGCTTATGTATGTGAATCAGACCAAAGATTTTATGTAGTCGCGACCTATTCTTTGGATCCCTTCCAGTGTTTGGTTTGGCCTCATGGATGGTAGGCTGGAGGGCTTGAGGCGTGCCCAAAAAACATTGAAATTGGAAAACCCCCTCAACTATGGCAACAAAACCAGCATCTTGTGTCATCTCCTTCGCTGCTTAAGTTCCACACCTATTGTGATGGACCTTCATCTACGAGAGTCTCTCCGATGTCTGGATGTTGAAAGAATTTGTGACCGAGATGGCATGCTCTTTCTCTATGACATGGATGAAAAGATTGTCTCTGAGGACAGTGCTGATGTCCGAAAAATCATGGGTGCCAATGCCAAAAGCCATTGCAAGACATGGACCCTGCCAGATCCCACAACCAGTTCCAACAACTGGCCTATTGGTCCACAACCCAGCTGGAAGGATGTAGTGAAGACGATTGAAGATCATCCTCAACTTCTAATGAGGCATTGGGTTTATGACCCCATCTGGGATCCAGGAGATTTGGATGTTGGCCTACTTTTTATCCAATTTACACGGGAGTTTTGGTTGCAGCTAGCTGTGGCTCACACCACCAATAACTTTGCAGATGCTGCCATAATCAATCCCAGGATCTGCAATGATCTGGAAGAAGCCATGACCTGCTGGTCCTTGGATCGTATAAATCAGTGGATAATCTCCATCCAATTCCAGGCCTGCAGTGCTGGACTGGAGGGAGACAAACCTGGCCGCCCTCATCTCTCATTTGTCCAGAGACGTACCACATTCTTCCCCAGTGAAGACTCTGCACCATTGCAGTCATCAAAGTGGAAAACTTATTGGACAGAGGGGTACATTGCACGATATCATGAGCTGTGCTCTGGATTACCTGAAGCACGATTGCTACATCTACATGATCGCCTGGACATACTATTTGCCAACCTTCAATGTCTACCGGATGTCAACAAACCCACCGCGAAAAGTCCTGGCTCTACTTGGACACTAGCTTCTGGTCATGACAGTATCAAGATAGTGACCAACTCATGTTTCTATCACATACAAAGAATTGGAGCATGCAAGCGCACTGCTAAGAGGCTTGCTGTCCTCAAAAGACCACTAGACTTTTGAGCAGCTGTCATGCAAATGCAGGGACAAGATCCCAGGAGGAATAAGCCAAAAAACACAAAGAAGACCCAGATTGATCGCCATTCTACTAAGGCTAAGAATTCTAGAAAGCCACCAAACAAGCCTATCAAGGTATGATTAAATCAGGACAAATACTGAAGATGACTCATGTTCACTGCATCAGATAAGTGTTGGTCCACAAAAGACACTGGCTTCCCCTGAGGTAATCATCCTGGACACCATCCATTCATAGGCTTACAGCAAATCTCCAGGATATACAGTCACAGTCTCCGCATCATAATTATCCAGGTCATGAGGGCTGCAGAGGAATTTTGTTGCTTCAAAGGGCCCTTTACCATCATGGGGGATCTTTGGGAAAAGAAGTGTCCGGAGTTGGATGCCAATGACTGGAAAGAAATAGGCATTCTGTCCCTTAGAGTCATGGCGTGGAGGAATCAGTACCCCACCCTGGGACACTGAGGCACATGGGGTACTGAGATGTATACTTGGCCATGGCCATGGACAATCCTTGGTGGTCCGGTGCCAGGCCATCTGACCCTCATCTAGGGGACTGAGTGTGGATGAGCAGCAAATGCAGAGAAGACTGAATGGAACTTACACCAGTTCAGGGGGCAGACCTACTGCTATAGGACAATCCAGAACATATCTGTGCTCAGTTTGATTGTTTATGCCCAAAATCAAATCTCTTATCACCCCAGGGACATGAGGTTGAGCAGGATGTTTGGCTCGAAGCTCCATGTCTGAGCAACAAGGATGAGCAATGATCACATTAGAATATTGAATGTCCAGAACCTCACCATGTATATCCACAGGCATAGTGGCATGAATTCCATAACGCTTCTCCAGATACTCCATTGTAAGGTTTAGGGGCCCGGGCCTCACTGCCTTGTGCACAATGACGCACTTTCCTGCTGCAAGACTAGACCGAATTTCTATTAATAATAACTCATTTTCTGTAATGGCCCCATTGAGATGGGTCACAAATTCGGACCCTGGTTTGGAGGCAGGAACTGCCGCAAGTTTCTTTGTGAGGTGGAGGTCTTCAATCAATACATTTTGTCCATCTCGCATTATAGTGGGCAATATGGTGATATGACCATCATCCCATGTCACTACCTCCGTCTCCAGTGGAACCTGTGTGCCCAGCATACCTGAGGCCAGATCGAGTCCCCTCATTCCTGGATCGTTTGCTGATGCCACTGCATGCTGGGGGAAATTGTAGGTTTGTGAATGGATCCTATCTCCTGTTTTATCCTGGACTGGAGAAGGTGTCCAGGAAAATGCAGGTAAAAGTATTCCAGTTGCGGCCAAAGTGTTTGCTGGCTGGGGCTGGGGCCCTACATATGAAAGAGTTAGAGGCAGACATAGCCATCAACATCAAGATACTTACCTTCCCTACAGGAGGAAGTCGATCTGGATCATTGGCCAGATAGGGTGTGACGACCTTTCCATGGATTTCAAAGTGATGACTAGGCTCAACCGTCCAATACCTGACACACCTGGAATCCTCAGGTTGATCATAGCACATGCAACAACCTCGGGTATTCGGATCCACATTATTGTGGAACTTTGTATGAAAACCTTTGGATAATTCTTGTTGTAGGCTCCTCAGCTCAGTAGACAACTTTAGAACCAAAAGCAATTCTTCATCCAAATGAAGGGCATCCAGATCAATGATTGAGAAACCACAGATCAAACGGAATAGGTGATTCAATGAGGTTTTGTGTATCTGTCAAACAAGCTAGATCAATGTGCTTATCAGTACGAATAAAGGAGTGGACACACCCATGTGGTAGATGGGGTCTTTGCAGCCAGAGTTGGTAACATCCATCGAACAGCTTCAGCCAGGAAGCATCTCTCAGATGAAAATGCAAATACTGAAGAGTAATTGGACCGAAATGGGCACACATTATGCCGGGACAGGAGTTGCAGGAACTCTTTGGCGTTTGCATTTGTAGACGGGCTGGTCTCAATTCTAGGAGGCAAGACTCGATCAACCCATCCAAGCATACAACTAAGTAGGCTCTCTTTCCAACGATATCGCTGGAAGCTGAGGGACATATAAGGGGTCCTGTTTTCCAAACCCACCTGTGGGTTGGCGATCCGTAGGATTTCGTGACCAAGACCGGAGCGCTGAGATTAGCGTCAAAGACCATGACAAATGAACATAAAAAAATATGATGTTTACCAAGATAGCAAATTCCATCCTAGACCTGTGGGCGGTACTTGGGTTGCGAGTCCATTTTCTCATCTCCTGCAGTGCGGTTATGGCTGGAGCCTCCAGCTCCTGATATGCTTCCAGATGATTTTTCTAAGGAAGTGTCTGAAGCCTGCCTACCTGGGTTCCTTGAGAGAAGAATTTGGAAAATGCAATTCTCCATCTAAGACAGCAGCGCTCCTCAGCCTCACAGGACAAATCAGATATTGCATTTTCAGCATCAATGAGTTCCAGGGGCATGATATCTTCAAATAGCTGGTCCTGTGTGTTCAGCTGATGTGTGTTTAACATCGTTTTGGCAGCAGACAGGGGAGGCGGAAAAGCTTCTGGGCCACTCACCAACAGGCCTTTTAAGACAAAGCCCTCAGCTACTCCTTGTAGTAGAACATTCATAGCCTCCTGTTGATGACACATTTGCATCAAACTGAACTGAATATAGGCTCGGCATATTGATTCGTCTGGCAGCTTAGTCCAATGTAATTGACAATGTTCTTGATACCAGGCCATTGGTCCAAGCATCTATGATATGAGAAGAGAGCATTATACAGGTTAGACTGAGGCATGACAGGAACTCACTCTTGGATCCTGGCGTAGAAGCACGGACATGGTGTCATCTTCCCACAAAGAGGCTTCTAGTTCGGTGAAGCATGGTTGCAGCACAGCCCTGGATGCCAAGTAGCTTGTCCAGACCATTGAACAAAATATGGCACTGAGGGCAAGATGAGATCTCAGAGGAGTTCTCTGGGTAATTCTATTACCAAGACATGGTGAGAAACACAGCCCAATTGAGGAAATCAGATGTTTGTATCAACCTTATCTCTGGGACGGCGATCAGTCACACCAGTCCGCAACACTACAACCAATACATTGGTTTGGTCGGGGTTTAGCAGTTGTACTTCTGCATACAGTTACTGTGTACTCTACAAGTGAAAACAGGGCAGAAACCCAAGGCACTAGACCCTTATACATAACATCATGTTCACTGTTGTAAATTTAGTATCTTACAGGATTGCCAATCATAGCAGGTCACCTTGAAAATATTCAACTTGGGGAGCAAGGTTCAGTGTACCAACGTAAAAGCCCCCATCTTGGCGTCAGAGCTTTTCAAGGACACTAAGTTTGGGCATTACAGGTTTAGTTGGAATAGAAGAGTCAGAGGGAGAAGGTGTATCTTTGGACATGGTTGCCTTTGATTTATGCTGGACCATGATTGGGGATCTGGGGTATCGAGCAGAGATCAGGTAATGCCCAAGTTTATATGACAATTTGTGTCCACCAAGGTCCGAAGAGGATCTAGTTCTATCGCCTGAGAAAAAAAACCTTAGAACCTCCGAGTTGGAGCATCAATGAGGAGTTTTTAATAATCATCCTTGAAAATGATTCACTCAAGTCCCTTGATATGATCCGGTGTCCCCGGTCTAATCCTGAAAAGTATGTCATTGGGAAACTTAAGGTTTCAATCTGCGTCAATCAGCTTGAATTTTGAATTATCTAAGTGGAAGGATGAGGTGATATGATAAAATTTGAACGAAGAGAATGGAACCGGGATGGTATGAGGTTTAGTTATTGTCGTCATAGCGAAAGCTGAACTGGTCGCTGTAGTTCCTGGAAATACGTTCAGGACAAATGTTCAAAAACTGACGTGGCCACATATCATGGATATCACGCACAAACTACCAGACCATATTTTGGATATGATACGCCGAGCTACAGAGCAGAAAGATGAGGAGCATGAGAAGGAGCGCGAGTACAAAGCTGGGAGGAAAAGAATTGCTAGGAAGTTTCGATGTGAAGCACAGAGGAGTATGATAGAAGAAGCTGATGTTGAAGAGCGTAATGATGGTGTCAACGACCATGACTATTCGAATTATCTTGGATTACCATCAGAAGAAGACGTGAAGAAGTGTTTCCGAGCATACATATCAGCGACGTCAAATAGAGCTCTTGCCATGTTGATTTGCCTTATTTGTGCGGATCGATCTTTCCGGAACTGCAGGCAGCGCATCGTTGAATAAATGCACAGATGCGCAATGAACAGTGGGCATACTTGATACTGCGTAGGATTCTTGATGAGGTCGTTCCAGTATGTCTCGAAATCCTTCGTAAAAGCCCGCTGTTTTGTCTGCTTCATGTCCGCACACCAGTTTAGCGCACACAAATTCTTGTATACTGGTGGAAGATAATGCAGGCGGCCCTTGTATGGTTCACGTACCTTCCTATAGTGCTAGTTTTGTTACGACGCATAATACTAGTACCATTAACTAGCGTGAATTCTCACGGGGTGAAAAAGTGGGTACACACAGCCACAATTAATGTAATCACAAGGTAATCATCTTGTCAAGATTATCGCACATTAAACATGGAACAATGGAAACACATACCAGGGCCTGCGTTGCTCAACTCCACATCCTCTGAACTGGATTTCATACAGGCATTCCGTCAACTTCGCGTCGCAGCGCCACCCGATTTCGTCTGCAGTAGTCGTCTGAAGGAAATTTCCACGGAGGAGCTGCATTCCAGTGGATCGTCTCTTCACAGGCTTTGCAGCCTGGACCTGGATACTCTCCATCTGGCCCAGATGGAGCATACACGGCAGTGGGCCAGGGACACACTAAGTCACCATGGTCCAGTCTTGAATGGCACCTCCTGGACCCCAGAAGCAATCGGGCGTTTGTCAGCAATGCCCGTCAGGATATATGACGAGTTTAATGTCGTCGAGTACCTCAAGTCCGCTTTTATGGGGCCGGTGGGATGTGGGGCAACCTGCTTGTTCCAAGTATCATGTCGACCCGGCGATAACCCATTGGGTTTTCCATCCTCCCTAACAGGGTGTGCCATCCAAACTAAATCCATGAGCGGGCCTTCTGGAAGGCCGGATGCAGAATTTATTTGGGATTTCGAGACTTGTGTCACAGTGGAGGTCAAAACACAGAAGGCTACCGGTGTGTGTAATGCAACAGCAGATATGCTGCAAAAGCTGGGAGATTGCTGGAGTGAGTGGCACCCTGCAATGCTTGTAGACCAGGCGGTGCATTTAGCTCCGGCATACCAAATCCTGGTTCAGATACAGCGAGAAAAGAAGTGGAAGCCAGAAGCCAGAACTACAGGTCCATCTCAGCTGGAGGAGGTGACGGGGGGCGCCTGGCAATCCAAGGTGCTTGGTACAATATACCAGGTGTGATCTACTTTACTTGAAGTGTTTCATGATGGCTCAACTGTTGTTCAGGTTTGGCATCAGCTTTCAAGCCGAGAATGTAACCATGGTATCATCTCTAATCAACACATGTTCTTGTTGGTTCATCGCTCTGGGAACAACCTACACATATCCCCCTCATACCAATACCAGCCAGATGATTCCAATGCACTGGCTGCCACACTGTCAGATCTGAGCTTTTTCATAGCCCATTCCTTGGTGGCTAGATCGGGTAACAGTGGCACTGCTCAGTCGCCCGGTCCATTTGTCACAGCATTGGGCATGCCTCTGGATAATCCAGACAATCACGGTCACAATTTGCCACAGCCTGGTACTCCAGCAACTCCAGGTGTGTCAGGGGGAAGTATCATGATGGTAGGTATTCCCACATCTTGCAGCTGTGTTTATCTGAGATTTTTGACTCCAGAATAACCTGGGATCACATGTTTTGAACTGGGTGACTTCATGGTGGAGCACATTCTTACCACTCCAAATGTGCAGACCTGGAAAGGCCACTATAAGATCAGAGGTCTCACCATCCAATATGGATTCCCCCCAACTTATCTTCACCACATCTGGGTGCTCATCAGTCCCCATTGTATTATCTGGTGTGGACCAATTCAATCCGCCCTCCCACTTTTCTACCCCAGTGGTCCTGGATAGGCGGATCTCAGACAACCGCCTGACAGTCTTTCGTGGGCACGTGGGCGATTCTGCAGTGGTGATGAAAATGGCTGAGGATGATCTATGTGAAGAGCTGTTGCTTGAAGCCGAGATCTATCAGGCCCTGCAGACCATTCAAGGATCAGTGGTTCCTACATGTCTAGGAGTGTATTCTGGGTCAGGCGCCTTGTTCCTTCTGACGGATGATGTAGGGGTGCCACCAAATTCTTTCCTGGACCTGGAAATTGATCAGAGGTGTGTTCATTTCAAGAATCATCATTGGCCCACCCACGCATTTGATTTTTCTTTGCAGACACCATCTTCTCAGGTCACTACTTGCTATACACCAGCTGGGAGTGAAGCACAATGACATGGTGGCTGCCAATGTTGCAGTCAACAAATCCAATGTGACCATACTGGATTTTGGGGCATCTGAGCTTGGCCATGTGTGTCCTGGCGCATTCCATTGCCTGGAGTTGCTTGAATGTGCTGTTACTTTGGGTGTGGATATGAAGGATTTACATATGACTTGAGATGATGCATCTGCGACCCTCCAGGAATGCCTAAACATGTTGTTTCGCCAGATTATCAGTTCCTAAAAATTCTGGTCATGTATTTGTAGATAGTTGATCAGAACAATATCTTTTTGGAGGAATGTAATTTTCTGGATTCTGCGCCTGCACCCTGCCTATGATTGATGGTGATTATTTACTGTATTGTTGGTCCTGCCTAATTTGCCTGCCATCCTCACAACTTGGCAAGGTAGTGATGAATTGCTGATTGTCTGGTTATGATGATCATGTGATGCAAGGCTCTTTAGGATTAGGGCGAGCCCGATTCTGCACTTGAGAGTTGCAATGTTGAAGACTTGACCCAGTATTGCAATGATTGCATCAACTTGGATTCAATTTGCGATACCTTTGAGTCATGTGACACACATTTTTGCTCTTATGGCGCAACTCTTTCAAGGCAAATTTTTGGTGAACAACAGCACCACCAAAGTAGCCGCAGCCACCGCCAAACCCCTTCCACCTAGCTGGAAACACTGTCAATTTTCCCATGCTTTGTATGCACGTGAACATGGGAACTTATCCACATAAGGTAACTTCAAATTTTGCTTGTGATCGATGTATCATTAATACACTCACTCAATGGATACCCATACTTCAGGTATGAATGAAATTCAATGAATGATACTCAACCTACACCTTACCAAATATTTTGATACAATAAATAGATAGTTTTGTGGCTGATGATACTATATTTGAACTGGCGGATGATTCCAAGAGCATCAGGTCCGATCAGGATCTGAGTATTGACGGAGCAGCAGGTAGTACGGTGGCATCCAACACCACCAGTAAGTCCTCCATTTTGGATTTAAATCCTATTGACTGGCTATATATGTGAAGATGATATAATCACCGAGGCGCTTGGCGCCATCCAGATGTCATGGGAGTCAAAATTGGATGAGCATCTGGCCACCGTGCAGATGAAGTTGCAGGAAAAAATGGACAAGCATCTTGATGCATTGCAGATGAAGTTGGAGTCCAAAATGGACGAACATCTGACTGTTGTCTCGCAACACAATGCCAATTTTGTGGACGATTTGAATTTCAAAATGGACGACAATTTGAGGCATCTGACGGTTCTTGCAGAAACTAATACCAAGTTTGTGGACCGCATTGTCGAAATCACTAAAGAGACAAAACAGGCTGCCAAAAAATTTGCGGAGGAGGCAAAGGAGGCTGCAGAGGAGGCAAAGGAGGCAAAGGAGAAGGCAAAGGAAAACATGGTTGAACTCCGGTCCCAGATACAGGAGGTCAAGGTGCAAATCCAGGAAGTAAAAGATCAGATTGACGCAGGCAAAAGTATCTTAGAGAGGATTAGGGATACTTTGCAAAGAATATGGCAGTAGAAGCACTTGAACCTAGTACCACTAGCTGGCCATGGCATGTATATGTAGGAGTTTGAGACGTTGAACGTTGAACCGCCATGATCAGCTCTACCGTGCTGAGTTTAAAAACACACTATATGTCAAGACTTTGGGCAGCAGTCACCAAAATTGGTAACGTGTCCATACAACAATACAAATATGAGGGATAAATTTTGTACTCCAGAATTCATACTGTTCGTGTCCCAATTATTCGCGCCTTTTCACCGTGGACAAAGTCTGATGATATATACTGCAGTGAAGTAACGTCCAAGTAATGAACGTTCGGGAAGATTCAGGATAGCTAATTCATCCGGAATGTCTCGAATCCAAAGCCTTGGTCCCGTTTTCTAGTGCATGTAGAGGGATATTTTTAGCATAGAGATGCTCGGGGGGACATTCAGAACTGATTGTTCCCCACTTTTTTGGGATTGGTGTTGATCTATTGCATATTTGTGTAATAGCATTCCGTGGACTAGGGATTCCGCGTGATATCGAAAGACAGGAGTAAGAAGGTACAGGAACATTCAGAAATGGTGACAGAAACAGTAACATAATTGGGACAGGTTGACATAAACGGTTGACATAAACAATTGGGACAAGGTTGACGGCGAGAGAAACAATCGGGAAAAGGTTGACAGAAACGGCGACAGAAAAAAAAAACAAATAGGAAAAAGGTTGACAGAAATGGCGACAGAAAAAAAAACGGAAAAGGTTGACAGAAACGGCGACAGAAAAAAAATCGGAAAAAGGTTGACAGAAACGGTGACAGGAATTGGCACATAAGTGGCGACAGAAACAACCATACATATGGCAACAGAACAAATATAGGCCATGGCATTCTCCTGATCCTTGCACAAACGTTCATTTCTAAACCAATTTTTGTTTCAAGAAATTGACGGAAGCTTCCCGTATAGTTATATCGGCCTGTGTAGTATCACTCACGACCGAAACGTTGCCTATCTTCCAGATCCTTGCCCAACACGACTGCTGAGCGTGCTCCTCCAGAAGTGCACTACTCATGCTACGGAACGCACTCCAATACGCCACGTACCAGCTACCTTCTCGACATTGATTGTTTGGACGATTTACTCAATACATTTCATCTAATCGGCCAGTGTTATTTTTGCCCTCGTCCGGGATTCGTTCTCTTCGCATTTACGAACAGTACACCACGGGTACCAAGGACCGAATACTAGGCCCTATTCCTGGAACTGTGCTCCACCGCTCACTCTGATTGGTTGGTTTTTTAGTTATTGATTGCAATCAATCCCACAGACACTTATGATCCTATTGCACAAGTCTTTGCTGGCCAAGAATTTGATTTGGATCACTTCAACTATAACTCTGGACCTGATGCATCACGTCGATCTACGATTATCCCCGGTGACCCTTACGCTGCAGCAAATTTTTCCCTCTCATCATACAAGCGATTCCTGAGGATTTGACGGGCATCACCGTACCGAAAAATGGAAAGGATACAATATACGCCGTGAAGGAATTTTCGGTGCTGTGGAGGGATACATCGGCACAGTTGACTCCGAAGCACAAGGCCAAGGCACTGTCCACTTGCATATGCTTGCGTGGTTTCAAGGAGCACCCATGGCTATTGTGATGTAAGAGAAATTGCAGCCCCCAGCATTCCGGACAAAAATGACGAATTACATCGGTTCCTACATTCGTGCGCATCATCCGGAGGTAACAGAAGAGACAGTAGCAAATATCCCCCGCGAAAAAGCCATATCTTATTCAAGACATCTTGATCCTTGCAGTCCTCATTTTGCTTCTGATCATGCGAACACCAAACGGAAGCTAGTTGATGCAGTACAAGTTTACAAGTAGGTGGATATTGGGAACCACACGTGTACACCGAACCTTTGCCTTCCTCAACAGCTGATCCTTGGATATTCATGGCAGCACTATCAAACTATGACTGAAAGATCACCATAAACGGTGAGGACACAAAGCATATATTGTGGTACATTTCATCCTATGCAACCAAACGACAACAAAACTCCTCCAACGTGTCAGCTCTCAACATGAATGAGGAGTACGGCTGGGGCACAAACAGATGTAATCCTCATCCTCCGCAGTGAGTGGAAAGTGATGAGAAAAAAAAGAATCATGGGAAGAGAATTGATGAAGCCAGCCGGGTTTGGGTTTGTAACCACCGGAATCCCAGCCACAATGGTGGCACCGGAACTTCACGTACTTGGCGCCTTGTCGAGGCGCCCGTTTGGCTTGGATGTCCCCGGGCCCAGGATTGCATGAAATATTGCCACACCGGGGGGGAAGGCCCCACACACAACCAGAAGGAGGGGACGCTATGTATCTTCGGCTAATCAGCTGCCTTTGTTGATTCCAACAGACCAACACCACAGGGGTATGGGACAGCAAAGTCCAGTTGACAATCTCCTGCTCCAGGGCTAGCTCAACAGGCATTTGATGAATGTAGACCTGTATGATCACCCTCAGCATGAAGGGCATGACCACAGAGGGTTGAACCGAATGAGCAGTGAAGCCGATAATGAACAACAGGCGGTTGCTAAATTCACTAATGTCATCAAAAAGACCCTGTGGCAGGGGAAATCATACCTGGAGACCAATGACTTGATTGTCTCAAAATGTGAGCGCATTGTGAACACTGCACCACAGGACAGCAGGATCATTCCTTTTGTGCTAGTCATGTCCGGGGACTGCTTCCACAATTCCGGGCCCAAGTAATGGCGGAGCACCTGAATCCGGGTCAACAAAAGAAAACAGGAAGAGTCAGCCTGGGCCCACCTCTGAGGTGTCCAGAGTCCAGACATTTCCATGTTTGTCAACACTGTGGACCAGCTCACCGTTCTCATAATCTGAGTGTGTGTCTAACAGAACCAACAAATCAGTCTCTCTTCTAGCCTTCACAAAGGCCAGGGCATCGCGGACACAGGCACGGACGTTAGGGAGGCAGGCAGCTCCAGTGACCATTTCAATGTTGGTGCACTGCAACTGACACATATTTGATGTCAGTCATACATCAGCTCAGGTTAACAGAAATAATACTCACCATGTTTTTCCAAGGCGAAAATTCTTCCTCCAACTGACAGCGCAACAGACGCTCTGGGTATCCGCCAAGTTTTAAGGCGATGGTGTGAAAAACCAGTGGGCGGTGGGTGTGACTTCGGCCAGTGAGGTAGGCACCTTGTGCAACCACTGAGTACTGTCAACAAACCAGGGTCACCCACAAGTCCAAGATTCAGTTATGACTGACTCACCGGCAGTGGACTGGAGCACCTGCGGCTCCAACATGGGGGACACCAAAATTCACCCTGGCCTAGATTGCTGACACAGGGGTGCAAATTTGACTTCTTGAAGCACAGGGCATGAGGACAACCTGGACGGGCACATTTCTTCAACTCTCCAAAATCAGAGCAGCTGCTGCATTTGGTCATGGTGCCATCATCTTGCATCAGTGAAGACACCTCCAGCGCCAGTGCCTCAGACCTGGAATCAGCTGTCCATGAGCTGGGAGGTCAGACTGCGGCCAACTGGATCTTGTCAGGTAAACCAGACACCCACCAGGCAACCCCTCTGCCCACCATTGTATCAGCATACAGTGGAACAATTAGTATATGACAGTGTCAAGACCTACCTCCAGTGTCAATGGCCTGACTCTGGCCATGAACAACGCGCTGATCCCATGGAGACACAAGATCATCCATGTCAATATCTGATGAGGGAAGCATTAGCCACAGGTGTAGTCGAGTCAAATCATTCTCTGCGGCCTACCCATCGCATCATCAGTTTCTAGGAGAAAAGAGTTGGGGAGTTTTCTTGGTATTCACAACAATCTGGACTGACCACACAATATTGGACGTGACCTGCCTTTCAAAGCCCGGCCCAGGGCCTCAGGTAACTGTTCTGTGGCGCCCCCTCTAGCGCCTCCTCTAGCGCCTCCTCCTCTAGCGCCTCCTCCTCTAGCGCCTCCTCTAGCGCCTCCTCCTCTAGCACCTCCTCCTCTAGCGCCCCCTCCTCTAGCACCTCCTCTAGCACCTCCTCTCCCTCCCCTCCCGCCTTGTGCGACAGCGGACGTTGCACCCGCAGTGCTGCCACTGTGCCCCCCTGCTCTCCCGCTGTTGTCCTCGTCATTATCACCTCCTCCCTCTTCTTCATCATCTTCCTCGTCATGGTCTTCGCCATTGTGATTATGGTCACCAGCTCCGCCGCCATCTCCGTTATCGTTAGCATCGTCCTCGTCCTCATCCTCGTCCTCCTCGTCCTCCTGATCCTGGTTATTGACTGCATTGGTGCGGGCAGTGCTGGAGCGTGTGACACGGGAAGTGGTTGGACTGGGACCACTGGAACATGCGTTGGCACCGGGACCCGCGTTGGCACTGGGACCCGCGGTGGCACTGGGACCTACGGTGGCACCGGGACCTGCATTGTTGAATGCTGCGCCTATATTGATCGTATAGCCATCTCCAGCATTAGTGCCAGGTGCAGGCTGGAATTCCATCAGATCCGCCATGGTTCTGAACGTCTGTGGGATGATCAGGGTAATAATACTGTGAGGTTCACTTATGCGCTATTTGTAACGGTTATGGTTAAAGGCACTCAGTGGTCTGGGTTGTTTTTGAAATATCTAAGTTCCAAGTTCTCAGAACTGCAAACAACGAAATTGTAATTATTTTCAACAACTGAATGTAGCAGATTTCTTCGATGTTGTTGGTTTGAACACTTCGCCATCATTCCATTGAGAATCGTGACACTGCTCAGATCTAAGCTACAAGCTCAACTTGTCTCCAGTCAATTAGCAAAAAGGTGCTCTTAGTCTAGAGTTGGTCGCGCTCCAACATCAGGAAATGTGCAGAGTGAGAGCCATTTGACTCGCGCTCGTTTAATTCGAGCCAGAATGGCATAACGCTCGTAGCCCTGAACGGGGACAACAACCCCCACTTCCACCACCCCATCATCGATGCATCGATTAACCAACAAGTACGTGGACTTCTGAAACCGTGTCACACTAAGAAAGCTTATTGATAACTTGTGATAGACACGGCCACTGGAAAGAAACACTGTCATCTTCAGGGACAGCGGCTCAGGGAAAAGTTCAGTCATCAATGCAATCGCGCAATCACAACTAGTGAAGACATCCAGCAGTGCAACTAGAAGCAATATCTCGCCAGTCGTAACTGATAAAAAAAGGAAGAAATTCCAGTATACGGTCTTTAACATCTTTGAGGCTATGATGGTCTTCATCGAGGACTTTCTGAGCTTGTGTGATGGAGTAGTTGTCGGGAGTGTGCTGGCCCCATGGTATCTGCAACGCAGGTGTCAAGTAGGAAACAGGTAAGCATGGTAAAATATGCACCTGAGTAAGCCATTCGACTCTGAAGCAACGGGTTCCAGTCCCATCAATTTGTTTTGCTCATCAAAGATCTTCCGGACACCCTCTGGCATCTTCAACAAGGCGGCATGCTCCTTGAATTTCTCAATGAGCTTGTCCTTCCCGCCTGACTCCATACTGAGCTCCTTTTTGATTCCCTTGAGCTGCTCCATCAGGTGGTATTTGCGCTGGCGCTTCACAATCTTGCTGTGGACATCACGTAAGAGTTTAATCTGGAGCTGAGCATTAATGAGCTCTTTCTTGAGAAGAGGAGGGTCATGCGGAGTTCGTCAGCCTGGAGTAGTTCCGTTATCTTGATTCTATGGTCAGGCTTAGTGCACCATGCAACCTCCTCCTGCTCAGTATTGCCGATAGCGGAGTTGGGGATAAAAGGTGCCCACAAGCAGAAATAAGAAAAATAAGAAAAGTCGAAAATCATTATTATGAGCGTTATACGGGTGCGGTGTCCGCAAAGGACGCACCGTAGACGTGGTTCATCATTGAGGTGTGGCACGTGGAATTCTGGTTCTCGGTGGTAGAGTTACAGATGTTGTAACCAACCTGAGGGCCACGATAGCGACAGTGTTGTAGTTGACCTGTAGGGCTCGGAAAAGCGGCACCTGAGTCCTGTGTGAACACGGTATGCAACGAAAGGGGAATTGAAGCTCACAATTCCTGACGGGCAAGCATAGGACTTGTCGACAAGGGGGTTTGGGTCAGCTGGGCCAAGGGCAAATTTTGGCGTGTAGCGATGACCGAAAGTACGGAAAGAGTGGAACAAGACATGTCTCAAAGATTGGTGGTGGTGAGAGCAGAAGGAAGACAAAGAACGGTTGTGTTGTTGCGATCGGTGAAGTGTTGGTAACATAAGGAGTGAAAGATGATCGAGTAACGATGAGAATATGACTGAACATAATGCGCAAATCTGTGGACGAATGAATGGATATAAAAAATGTGGATATAAGGAGACGAAAAATGTATGTGTAGATTAGAGTGATTGGTTTGGTTTGAAGAAAAGAAGATGGAATGAAAATGTACGTGTATGACAGAGAATCCAAACCATGCCAAACTCGAGAAACGTCAGTGCAGCTGATGCAATGACTGGCCACCCCGATGGTTCCATTCGGGGCCACTCTGCACGTCTCGTTGGGAGCCAGTGAAGTAGTCAGATCCCAGAGTGGGGTGAGCGTTCATAATCAGTGCATTTGGTGCAAACGATCCGCGAGAAACGCCCAGCTTGACCGTGACCCCCATTCTTGATATTGCACTGATTGTCCTGCGATGTTGGCGACGAGGAGGTACATTATATTACATTGCTCAAACATCGGCTGCATAATTGCACTACCGGAACCTAGAGAAATGTTTGATGGGGCTTGCACATGCTTGTTGATGCTGAATGGGGCATGACCTGGCATCCGGCCGCACGGACCCATCATCGGAAAAGATCCCGAGTTTGGGTGCTGAATACCTGGTGGCACTGGTATACCATGTGCGAATGTAGGCGGAGGATACAGCCTCCAATGATTAGGAGGTTGAGCTGGGAGAAAAGAGCAGCCTCTATGGGGGTCGAAGCTTGTTCGCCTTGAGCGCCAAACATGTATTGATACAGAACGTCTGGAGGATAGACAGGAACCAGAATGCCCTGATCTTCGTGAATGAACCCCGTAGGTATCAGTGGTGCTTGCACTCCACGAGCTGGTTGAGCATCTGTGCGAGTCGCGCATTGTTTGTGCCTGCGCCGACAAGGCCCATGGCAAAGATGGCGTTAAGTGCGACTGCAAGGTCGTGGTTATGACTGCATTTTGAAAGCATGTCGAGGACAGGGAGGTGTGAGTTTGAGGCGCTTATGAGGCCGAGATCAAGAGGGACAGATTTGCGGATGATGGGATCGCCGTAGTGCATCTGAGAATGGCACGTTAGTAATGCGACTGGACATTAATATTGTTTCTGCCGAAAAGATATACCAAGTGGTTGAACTGCATGGACGTCTCTACACCGAGATCCTCTCCCATTGCAATAATTGCAATACCAAGAATGGTCAACAGTTGGAAAGTATCGTCGGGTTTCTTCTCCACTTTCTTCTCCACTTTCTTCTCATCCTTGGTCTCATACTTCTTCCTCTCTGCGCTCTCAGCTTCCTCCCTCTCCTTGAGGGCATCCAGGTGCTCGCCACAGAAATACAGCAATATCTGCACCCGCAGGACGTTCCCGGTGGTAATGAAGGACCACACTTCCACAAGAATATGTGCCCGCCTTGAGTATCGGGTGCTGGATAGCCTTCAGCATCTTAAGTGTTGCATCTGAAGCATCCTGCAAGCCTGTGACTCCGACTCAACACGCATCGCGACCCGAACAACCTATGAGGACGTACCGATGTAGAGCAGTGCCAACCCCAACCACATGAATCGTCCCCACTTTTTATCTAACTCCTTGTCATCCCTCTCCATCAGCGTCTCCAAGATAGCACTCGTAATCTCCCGTTTCCGCTGCCCATGAACACGAACCCCAGAGCGAGAGCGCTTAGAGAGTAGCGATCACCATCAAAATGACGTCGTCCACGACCGCAGGAAGGAGGAGAGTGAGCACGTCCTCGTGGTGAGAGCCTGAGTATGCTACCTGCCATTGCCTAGCGGCCTCAATAGCCCAAAGACCGCACCCACACCCGAAATCAAGAATCATAGATGGAGAGCCGTCAAAATCAAGCTCCTGCAGCAGTTTGTTATGAACATATGATCCTAGTGACCACTGGAACATCATTGGTAAGAATGACGAAAGTTGAAGCTTGTTTTAAAAAAGAACTCACAAGTTCACGATGTCATTTGTATATTTTAAGGGCCAAATGATATCGCCAGGAAGTCCTACACTTCGGCGATGATACTATTAGCTCGACGTCGATGGTTGTATGTGGGCCATCATTCATGAAGGGGGATAGTGCACGGGCATGTATGATGGGCCAGTTTATATGTCGGCAACAGGACCTGGGAAGCAAATGAGAATAGGAACTGAGAGGTTTCGAGAGTTAGCAATGTAGCCTAAATTGTTGTGATAGATTGATTTACCTTGAAGAAAAAAAAGTGGAGATGGTGATGAGTGAGGAAGGCCGCATGTTCCCCAAGAATGTCATGAAGGTTGTACCATTCATGCAGGGCCACGAAGGTAGGAAGCACCGCTGCACTGTTCCTTAAAGAGTTCATAGACGGCATAAAGGATGGTCAGGAACCCTCCATCTGATGGGCTCACCTTAATATTGCTGGGATGTAGTATATGGAAGGATCGCCTTCAAGCCTCCTCTCGGCGTTTGAAGATGGAGAGTCCGGTGCAGGAACACGGTGAACCTGATAGAAGAGCAAGGGCGGCGTCCTTGTCCGGGCATTTCCGATGCACATGTTTTCATTTTCGATTCCACATAGTTATCAAATCAGCTGTAACATATTGTGTCCGCATAATCATTTCTACCAATACATAATCGGATGACCTGACCGACTTATATTAAACCCCCATTCGATTGAATTGAATAGACGGCGAATACACATATATTGTTGCCGTTGTTCTGTTGGCGCTGTTCTGTTGGCGCTGTAGGGAGTAATATCCCTACAGGCTCGTATCCCCTGATATATACATCGACCTCATCACTATCCTCATGTAGGCGCAGTCCAATAGAGTCGCGCGCAACACGCGCGACCTTCCGCGCTCTTCCGCGACGCACGCAACCTTCCGCGCCCTTCCGCAGACCGGCGCTATCCTCGGCATATCCTCCCATGTCCTGTCCTGTCTGTCCGGTACCGTTGGTGCGTACTCTCACTGTCATCTCCGTCTCTGACCACATCCAGGGTCTTTTACATAGTGTTACATACTTATCCGCTTCCTTGCGCGCTTCCGCGCAGCCTATCCGCTTCCCTTACGTCTCAATACCCTGAGAGCTCGCGTAGCGACCTACATATCTAGAAGACTCAGAGGATTTCGGACTTACTTACTTTTCCTTTACTTGGACTCACTATCAGTTTCCTGTCTACTCGCGCTTAGAGCGCTAATATCATCGCTGTCATTGTCTATCATCTTCTTTGTCTAGTGAAGTCTCGTTCCTTATCCAAAGGGAGCTCCTACGATCCTCTGCAACTCTTCTCCCATCGCGCACGTACCGCGCGCTTTCCGACCCTTCCGCACGGCTCGCGCGTTCCGCGCGTTCATCACATCAGCCTCGCGCGTTCCCGCGCACCTTCCGACTTGATTCTTTCTCTTGATCCCTCTCATCATTTAGAGAGATTGACTCAGTAGCATCCCCTAAGGGATGATTCTACTAGCTCGCCTCTCGAGGTAGATATTCTTGTGACTCTCCGGAGTTTGCATTCCTATTTCCTCACCCACAGCGCTTCCATCACTTATCAAAACCAACCAGCTAAAACAATCACGGAACCCTAGCGCCAGTCTGGCCATTTTGGGGATTTCATTTTGCCTTGTCGCGTCGCGTTGAATTTCCTCCCAAGCAAGATGGAGTCATTTCTGTCTGTCTCTCTGATGGATCTCAACATCTACTGGTCCAAGGCCGGTACCATGCCTCCAGATTGGCGTCCAATACTTTATCACTGCGGGGCTTACGATCCAAAGCGAGATTGTTTTCCTGTCTTGCGTGGTCATCATCACGTACTGTATATACCAGCCACGTCAAAACCCGTCTTGAGATTTGAACAACACACGATGTATGGGCTTTGGTACATGTCACTGTGCTCACGATTCAACGACAACACAAGAGCAAATTTTTTCCGAGGATCCGCATATTTGCACTTCATACGCGAGGCTTTTTTTGAGGAAGTCCGGATCAAATTCTACCCTCCCCAAGCTGAGAGCGGGCACCAGGTCCTCCCCATATGCAACAAAATGACGCGGCAGTGGTTCTCCGACGTTCTATTCTCCTGGGCGCAGGTTACTCATCATACCGGCCGGATAAGTCCTCCAGGTCCTGGCTGGGTGCCTCCAAGTGATTGTCCAGTGACAATCAAATTTGGCAAGTGTCCCATTTGTTTGGATTTCTGCGTTATAAACTAGATCACAGACTGGGCCACTTGGTCTAAAAAGCCTGATATTGATCCTATCATCCGATCACTTTACGGTTCTTTTCCGGACCAGAAAACTGAAATTCTGGATGATGCGGCAATGAAGCTGGAGGCCAAAAGCAGCGGAAATGATTATGCTCCGATGGTGGAGACTGATGAGGACAGTTGGCGCAGGTGCCTGGGGGTTGCCCTGGAACTGTTTGAGGCGAATCTCAAAAAAGCCACAGCTGAGGCTGCTCTGCCTACACCCACACCTCTCAATGTGCCTGTTCCCGGATCGTCATCCAAGCGTCCGGCCGTATGTTTCTCATCAGGATACCCAGTATGTCGCTAATTGATTGAGTAGTCTCCTGCACCTGTTGAAGTGAGGAACAAAAAGAAGGCCAAAACGCTACAGGTGGGTCCATTGTTGTCATAGTCCCACCTTCTCATCAGTATGTTGGATGCAGCCTGTTCCCAAAGATGCCGGCTCCAAGCCGCCTCCTACTCGAACTTACGGCCGGGACAAGGGCAAAGGCAAGGCCACAGAGTCTACCATGCCATCAGGATCTGGGACGCAGGTGTGTAAGATTATTCAAATATTGTATTTCTGCTCAACCCACACCTGGGGATGTTAGCATACTCAAATTTCCAGCCGAGACAAGGGCAAAGGCAAGGCCACAGAGTCTGCCATGCCATCAGGATCTGGGACGCAGGTGTGTAAGATTATTCAAATATTGTATTTCTGCTCAACCCACACCTGGGGATGTTAGCATACTCAAATTTCCAGCCGGGACAAGGGCAAAGGCAAGGCCACAGAGTCTGCCATGCCATCAGGATCTGGGACGCAGGTGTGTAAGATTATTCAAATATTGTATTTCTGCTCAACCCACACCTGTGGATGCTAGCATTCAATCCATGACGCCTTGGGCCACATGAACATTTCACCATCCACACCTGGTGAGGTGACTCTATTGTTGAAAAACTGGGATGAAGTGTTAACAACTTACTGCATGCATGGTTGGACCTTAGCCGAACAAGGTGCTGAGATTGATGAGGAAACCCGGCAGGGAGAAGAAAGTTGGAAAAGATTTGTGAGCAGGGCGCCAACCAAGCCCTCTTAATAGCACTACATTACTTTACCCAGTGGCAGCAGTGTTTGCATGCCTAATGTGACAAATTCTTCATAACATCTTCTCTCAGTGGTTACTGTAGGGCGGAACCTTAGAACTTAGTGAAAATTTTACTGGCAACAATTGTTGGCTTGTATTGGTAAATACAAGGTTTGACGGCTTTTGATTTCTTCAACCTTTGGAGACAGATCTTGCGCAGATTTCTGCTCGTTATAGCTGGAATTTCCATCCTGTGGTACAAGGACCCTAGATCTGCTACATGGAATACCGCTGGATTTGTAAACCATATAATTCTCTCAGCTTGTTTTATTGCAAACCTACAAGATATCTATTGCCCAAGAGGATTTATGTACATCCCCTTCTTTATTTTCAACTCTCCTATCAAGAAATGGACGTACCGTGGACAATTTTTGACGGTCATGAAACCTTTCATAAGACGCTCTAAATGTCTGAGTGATTTCTCACGGTATCACTGACAACGAATCTTTAAACTAGAGGATGGGGCCGAACTTCGTCGGCAGGAACCTTGTTTACTGTTTCTGTACAGTGTAAACAAACGAGCTTCCGAAGTTCTGGAAAGTTTTGTGTACAAACATTACATAGTGAGATACATTTTTGTACAGAGGTGCGAGGCTGCAATCCTTGAGTTATTTACTTCGATTTGTTGATGTGATGATGGCAAAATGCCATGTGAACTTCCACAAGTGCACCTTTGAGTTTTGATTCGTATTGAAGGGGTGGGATCAGAACGTGGTTCTCATCGTATGCTGGTAACGGGCATATATCATGAGTGGATATAAGATCCTCCAAATGACCTTCACACCATTCCACAACTGGCCAAGTCGCAATGTTAAATTCGGACCCAAGGCTACTATCTACAGTTGCTAATGAAAATAGATAAATTAGCATATTGACAGTTGAGGATTGTCGTTGTACGTACTGGTCGAGAGCGCGAAACTCACTCCGTTTAACGCATATGTTGCACTATCGCGTGGACATGGCAAAGCTCACATACGTTACTCCGAGATTTTGACAAGCGCCTGTTTACCACACATCCGTGTGAACATCTCAGAGTGGAGGATGAAAGGCTGGAGAGATTGGATAAAGAGACGAGAATTTAGTGGGAAGAAAAGCAGAAAGTCGGGATGTAATCATTAGAACAGATAATATTGATATTTCAATGCGTTTGCATGCGAGACGCCCCGGCGCAGAAAGATCGTGCGTTTGACCAGATACCTTGTACTTACTACAGCCTAGAATGTCGCGGGAGCTGATTCGGTGTTGAGTCGTAACTCGCGCCACAATTATGCCTCTGGGTGACCTTGGTAAACAAGGTAATATGGTAAAATATCTACAACGGCCAGGACGTCAAACAGATATTTTTCAACTGCGAATGAGTGGACAAGAAATAAATCGTAGGCAGCTAAAGTCTTGTTATTGATCGCATCAAAATCCCACAATGGTGTTGTTTCAGTTGACATTAGCAACATTTACCTGTGTGTTCCACATGGTCTCATTGGTGACCTTGCAGGAATTAAGAATGTGATAGAAACCTCTGGTCAAGTGGTGTAGTATAGAATCCATTGGTACTAGCATAGTTCTGCCGGACATTTGAAGTCCTCCACCTGAACCGGTTCCACCGGTCCTACAAGTACAAAATGAATGGGCATCAAATCATCATGGAAGAATACCCAAGGAGAGACCTCTTGGATACGCTCTCCCCAGGACTTGCCCCACCGGTCCTATACGGATCCGATGAACTGAACCTCGGATCACAGAACACAATCAAGTCCCCCAATGAAAGACCTCATGGAGGTGCTCTCACCAGGAATGGCCCCACCGGTCCTATAAGGATGCAGTGACATGGACCTCACATGATCATGGAAGAACGCCCAAGGAAAGACCTCATAGAGGCGCTCTCCCCAGGAATGGCCCCACCGGTCCTATAAGGATGCAGTGACATGGACCTCACATCATCATGGAAGAACGCCCAAGGAAAGACCTCATAGAGGTGCTCTCCCCAGGAATGGCCCCACCGGTCCTGTAAGGACGCAGTGACATGGACCTCAGATCACAGGAAATATTCAAAACACCCAAGGAAAGACCTCATAGAGGTGCTCTCCCCAGGAATGGCCCCACCGGTCCTGTAAGGACGCAGTGACATGGACCTCAGATCACAGGAAATATTCAAAACACCCAAGGAAAGACCTCATAGAGGTGCTCTCCCCAGGAATGGCCCCACCGGTCCTGTAAGGACGCAGTGACATGGACCTCAGATCACAGGAAATATTCAAAACACCCAAGGAAAGACCTCATAGAGGCGCTCTCCCCAGGAATGGCCCCACCGGTCCTGTAAGGACGCAGTGACATGGACCTCAGATCACAGGAAATATTCAAAACACCCAAGGAAAGACCTCATAGAGGTGCTCTCCCCAGGAATGGCCCCACCGGTCCTGTAAGGACGCAGTGACATGGACCTCAGATCACAGGAAATATTCAAAACACCCAAGGAAAGACCTCATAGAGGCGCTCTCCCCAGGAATGGCCCCACCAGTCCTATAATGACGCAGTGATCCATATAGTATTGTGGAGCAAATGATGCCAACGGTTTAACAAATGATTCAAACGCAGATTTGGTTGTTCTATGTTTCAAGCTCCGCCATAAATATTAATAAGCTGTAGCGCCAGCTAAAGTGGCAAAGCCCGCTACCCACTCGGCAAGCCGCCTTTTCTCACGACCAACGGTGAAATCTCAATGCTTAGAGCGCACAAATTTAATCGTAGACACTCACCATATGCCTACGTTGAATGTCTGAGCAAACACCTTTATGTCCTTTCTCCACCTGTACCTCCACGAAATCACGATCCAGTCTCCTTATCTGTAACCGAGTCACTACTACCGAGGGATGGCACCGCACGTCCGATCGACTAAATTATTACTTCAGAATTTGCGGCACACGGTCAAGCATAATACGGTGGATAACTCAAACAAATTCTTGCCGGGTTCAATAAGGGATGCAACACCGTATTTTACAAGTCTGGAAAGAAGCAGGACCTGATAGAGAGGATCGTACAGCAGTTGGAATCATGGCGTCAAGCTAACAACATCGACAAATGGACTAAAGCGAAAGTTATACTATACCAGCTTCGCAATACCTGAATGTGAGTGCCCCTTCATGCCTTTGACTCATTTCACGTGCATGGCATTTCTCATGCGCTGCGTTTATTGGCTCTTCTTGATTAGCCACAAATTCCTGTGTAGTAGAACGACTTGACCTGAAAAAGATGTCATGGACAATTGAATCTGAACGTCTACGAGACGATAAAACAGCCCCGATGAGGGACGAAGACTGGGATAGATAACCATCATCGGCGGGTTCTGGATAATTTTCATTTGCATTAAGTATACATGATTTTACTGAAGCAGTGCATGAAAATCAGTAGTGTCATAAAAGGAGACAACAGTACACAATCACTTACCTGGAGAACGAGACATAGTTGAAGCAGCGCATGAAAATCAGTAGTGTCATAAAAGGAGACAACAGTACACAATCACTTACCTGGAGAACGAGACATAGTACGAGCATAAGGATTAGAAGTGAAATCCCGGTCGTCCTGACCCACTGTTCGCCATAAAGCAATCCAATTCATCCCGATCAAAACATTGGAATCAAGACCGAGTGCAATCTCGAACTCGACGTTTGCGAACGAGCAACTGAAGAAGAAACGAGAGAACATTGTGATGTTGAGTCAAACTCAACAGATACAGGAACACGGCCGATAAACGAAGTCATGGTAGTGCAAAAAAACGACGGCGCTACCTAGGGGGCAACTTGTTCAACCAATTTCAAACTCAGACGTTGACCGTCTTCAGGCCTCAGGCCTAGATTGTTCGATCAACACTAGTGTACGGTCAAATAGAGGGGTGTAAATTTACACCTGTAAATTAGCGTTGATTTACATGTGAATCTGGGAATTCGGGTGTTTTGGGGGTGTGAATTTGGGTGAATTTGGGATTCGCACTGGGCGTCTCCGTGGTGGTGTATCTGTGAATTTTTGTAAATACCTATAGCGGCGCTGCGGCTAGCTCGTCAAACGTTAACAGACAATGGATTGTGAAACGAAAAATAAACTACAGCTACTATCTCTTTATCTTCAAAACCTCCCAAAAACAATCCCTCTCGCAGACCCTTCAAGCCCACAGTACGGCTTCGACTTCTTTATCTTGGATGACGAGAACATCGAGGATTACGGTCCTATTAGCGCACTGAATCGTGAACTCGAACTGCGCATGGGTCAGCGTGACAAAGGTCCTGTTTCTTTCAAGGAACACGGGCCTAGCCTGAATACTGTGACCGATGTGCTCGGGGGCTACCTAGATCAATACCACGAGTCTCCCGAGACAGTACTTCTCATCAAATGGGTACTTGCCGGCAATTCAGTTACCTTCTCACACGAGAAAGGCTACCGTATTTACGCTGCTTCGCAAGTATAGCACATGCGATATCTAAAGTAACTACATCAATCACAGGGCATGGATCGGAAAAACTAGAGGGACATCATTCCTGGATGCAAGCCAGTTCCAGGCACATTAAGTGTCTTGCAGCCAAGCCAGCGTGACATGAAATATTTGTCTGGGGAATGAGCCTTTCCATTGAACATTTCCAGCCCTTTGGCAGATCTTGTACTAAGTATGCGATTTTCCAAGAAAATATTGGTATTACAAGTTGAATGACGTGCATATGGGTGATAAATCTTATTAAGCCTGGGTTGATCTGGGCCCAATTCCTAGCATACTGTCCGGTCCAACTCCCAAATTCCATGCCACACCTTATTGAAGTAGTCGCACATTGCTGGATAGCGGCAGCTTGACCAGGGCTGGCAGTCTCTGAAGAACTGAGAAGGGCTGAGTAGTGACATATATGTAAGAGGTTGTCTCCAGATGGGAAACATCTAATCCAGCATGCTAGGTCAGTGTGGAATGAGTTCCATACCACATGAACTCATAAGACTACCTTACATGGGAAGCTCGGCCGAGGTACCGGCTGTGGATGCAGGCTGGGCCGAAGTACTGACTGCAGGTGGAGGCGATGAGGCTGACAACTGGGAACGGGCCCATGCAACAACACGAGCCACGTCCTGGGAGCCTACAGTCCGGTATCGCCGAAGATCATCTATCATCTGTAAACCAACCCTGCGCCACCAGTTAGAAAAATTCCACCCTTACATTGATATCCAGTGGAACTCGGGATCACCTGGATCGAAGTTCCCAATTATCCCGCATAGGTCCAGATGCATAGGACCTCAATTCATCTTCCTGGGACTCCCCATCTTCAGCGGAAACATCTACGAACTCTCGGGCAATTCCATCCATCAAGGACACCACAGCATCCTGGATGACCCTCACATAGATGAAAAGGTGATCTCCTCGTACTGAACTTTTTGCCCGACACATTGGGCATGTATCAAAGCCTTTGCGCAAGGAGCATTCCATTAAGCAATACATACAGGGAGCATGCCCCTCCGCGCAGTAAGTCACTGGGGCCGCACTAAGCAAGAGTTAGCTGAATGGAAAGACTATATTATCTTCATGCTGACAGGACATCCAAGCATCTGGTCTTGACATGAATGTGGCAATTCGAGATATTTTGTAAACCACTTACATTGGGCACATATAGTTTGCTTCAATTAATTTCCGAAGGTTTTCAGCTTTCGCATTAGCTTGGTGTACGACTTGTTGTGTTGGTGGGGAAGGCGGTTCGGTCTGTACTTCTTGTTGAGCCCAAAATTGTGGCTGAGAGTCCATTACAGGCAACCGGAACACTTTCACAACCAGAGCTTCTGCAATGCAAAATTTTCAGCGATATTGTTAGATGGTCCTGTCAAAACCTACCATGATTGACCACAGGCATTGAAACCATGACTAGCAAATCACGATGTTTGATGAATGTTAGAACCAGACCTTATGTATCCCGCCTTTGCTGAAATTCTGTCAGATCAATGTGTCTGAGGCACCAATTTGGAAATTATTTCACTCTCTGAAGTACCACTGTGTGATTAGCGCTTAGCTTCCGATTTGTCCTTGCAATACACTTAGAGGTGGCAACAGAAAAGGTGACAGATATGGCACTGCTTATATAAGCAAACTTGAAACTTTTCTCTTTCTTTCACTGTTTCTTTCATTACACCATTGTTGTCTTTGATTGTTGTCCAGTGTATCCTGTCCTTTTAGGGCTCGAGGCCTTTTTGGGGTATTTGAATTTGTTCTTCTTTCATACCCGTCATGACTGTGCCTTCCTGGGTGTTTGAACTAGAGTTTTGGATGTGACACTCCCTTGGGCGATAGCACTGTCAGATAGCATGGTCCCCACAGGTTGGTGATCATGTGAATCTTAGGTGGGGTAGCCCGGAGTATCTGATGCTGGGAAATATGGGCAAACCATTTTTTCAATTCACGTCCAGTAGAACTGTGCCCTCCTGGGGCCGGTTGGACCTCTCCAGGTTTAGCGTCTCCATGAGGCCTTGACTGGGTGTTTGAACTAGGGTTTTGGATATGACACTCCCTTGGGCGATAGCACTGTCAGATAGCATGGTCCCCACAGGTTGGCGATCATGTGAATCTTAGGTGGGGTAGCCCGGAGTATCTGGCATTGGGAAAGATGTTTAAACTGGGGTTTTGGATGTGGCACACTCCCTTAGGCCATAACACTGTCCCTGGTGCCCACATTAGTGGAAGAGAGCTTAGTCAAACACAAATCACCCTTTCACTACTTTTCTCAGCGTCCAATTTGATCTGAGTCTAGAATTCCTGGTTGTTTTTGTGACTCTGCATCTGTTGTTATTATTGCTCCCATTGTGGTTCCCCCATAATGGAAACATGCCTGGTGTCATCCTCTGCTGAAACAATTTTCTTGGTCACATTAATATTGCTGCTTTCCTTAGGCCAAACAAGTCACAGCTTAGCTTGTGGTTGTTCATATGATTTTTATTGGCACCCGGCAGTCTTCACACAACAACCTTCCATTTGTCCCGTGTTATCCCTATGACAGTAAACCGTCCGTGCTATACATATATTTGTTTGATGCCCGTCCAGGTATTTGTTTCTTCACTGCTCTCATCCATCACATCGTTTACTATCAATTCTTGCAATGGGGATCCTAGTTCTCTATGTGCTACCATGGTCAGTGATGATCCTGCATGGTTTTTCTTTCCTGATGACCATTATTACATGTCCCTCGCTGACTTTCCCGCAATGTGGTCATACAGGCGGCTTGTCAAATTCCTATTGTCTTTGTCCGGAAGAAGCATACCCGCCGCATCAGTCGCACTTCTGATTCTTACACGCAAAGTTGGGTGCACCACCTAAAGAGGCTATGTTTGCTGGTTATCTGCCTTTTGATCGATGACATGTGCCCTTCGTTTGTGTCTCATCTTGGATTACATTGAGATACTGTATGGAGAGGTTGTTCTGCGCCGTCCATACACCAACTTCTTTGCTGACCCGGATCCTATACTAAACACCTAACCAGCCACTGTGGTGAGTTTTGCTACCTGCAAAAGAGTTGGTGCGGTGTTTGGAGCAGCTTGATATCACAGACATTCATCAGATCATAAATAATAATCATAATATTTGGACGTGTTTTCCCATCTATCAAGCTGTCAAGTCAATGTAGTCAATCAGCAAGGTCACTAGTGCGTACTTGAATATGACTATACCCTCAGTATTGCTCGAACCCCAATATTGTGGATGCTCCGCAGATATGATCAAACATAAGATGGTACGGCCGCCACAGGTTGGCAATCGTCATGTGAATCTCAGGTGGCATAGCCCGGAGTCTCTGATATTGGGCAATGTGATTCACTTCATGGAGGTCTTCTTTCGAACGCTCAGCGCTCAGAGAATTTGTGCGCAAAACATCATGTAGATTACCATGGAATGTCGTGGCCTATATTTGTCTGTTGCCATATTTGTGGGTGTTTCTGTCACCACTTATGTGCCAATTTCTGTAACCATTTTTGTCCCAATTATTGCTACTGTTTCTGTCACCGTTTCTGTCAACCCAATTCTGTCACCGTTTCTTCTGTCCCTAATTCTGTCCGAATTTCTGTTTCCATTTCTGTCACCTTTTTCTGGTGCTACCTTGAGTCCCTGATTCCAATTTTTCTCAATTTCCTGGTAACTTGTCAGTGACTATGCGATGATTTTGAATGTTCAAAAAATAGAATACGCACGGCCAGCCCTTGATAGGATGGAGCACAAGGGTGGCACATAAAACAACATAATTCAGTTTTATGGGCATATTTGGAAAGGTTTTAGAAGAAGGGAAACAAGTAAGAAAGGAATGAGTCGTTGAGGGCAACACGGCATTTATGACAATTGCGGTATAAAGACATATTATAGCGGATTTTTCTATATAGGTTGGGTTTATGAAGGGGTTATTTTGGGGGTCTGACCAACAATATTCCTCCAATGGAACGAACACCATTGGAGGGACTGAGCCAATACTACTCCTCCAATGGAACGAACACTATTGGAGGGACTGAGTCAGTTCTATTCCTCCAATGGAACGAACACCATTGGAGGGACTTATATGGTCAAAACAGAAATAGGTTTCAAACTTGTGAAACAATATCTTTTGGTGGGCTGGTACATATCATGGAGGGTACTTCTGGGATGGATATGAGCCAACAATTAAGAAAAACGGCGGTTGGGTTGTGGAGATATGTCCATATTACTGATATTTGAGCCCACCTCCCATATCACATGAATGCCGACCTCCGGAAGGTCTGGGACCATTCCCAATCGATTCAGAGGCCTCAAATACCTTAGGAGAGATGTTTCCAGTATCGGTATTGAGGCGGAATACCGGGATAGTGACATACAGGAGGTCAGGAGGAGGGGGAGGACCTTGTATATCTCAGGAACACGATTTTTCCAGGCAATTCTGGCATGACCATCGTGTTCAGAGGGCTCAATAACCCCCAGGAAAAATGCTTCTGAAGGACAGGCTAGTCATATGAAGTCTAGAAAAATCGATCTTTGGGTCGGGCAGCATGACCTGGGTGGCCAACTTTGGAAGATGATTTTTAGAGCAAAATCCGGCTCGACCAACGTCTTCAGATGGTCAAATAACCTCAAGAACGAGTCCTAGCTACAGCCAAGCAAGCCATATGAAGGCTGAAAAATCGATCTTTGGGTGGGGGGAGGATGACGGGGGCAGCCAACTTTGGAACATGATTTTTAGAGGGAAATCTAGCTCGACCAACGTGTTTGTATGGTCCAATAACCTCTAGAACGAGTCCTACCTAAAGCCAAGCAAGCCATATGAAGGCTGAAAAAATCGATCTTTGGGTGGGGGAGCATGGCCTGGGTGGACAACTTTGGAACATGATTTTTAGAGGGAAATCCGGCTCGACCAACGTCTTCAGATGGTCAAATAACCTCAAGAACGAGTCTTAGCTAAAGCCAAGCAAGCCATATGAAGGCCGAAAAAATCAATCTTTGGGCGGGGCAGCATGACAGGGGTTGCAGTCAACTTTGGAACATGATTTTTAGAGGGAAATCTGGCATGACCAACATGTTTGTATGGTCCAATAACCTCTAGAATGAGTCCTACCTAAAGACAAGCGAGTCATATGAAGGCTGTAAAAAGCAATGTGTGGGGGGGCCAGCATGGCCGGGGTTGTCAACTTCAGAATCTGATTTCTTCGTGCAAATCTGGCATGACCATGGTCTTTGGATTGCTCAATAACCTCGAAATCAAGTCCTACCTTATCCTCCCCAAGTCATATGAAGGCTGTAAAAATCGATCTTAGGAGAATGTGGTGGTGGTACTGCTTACATAAACAAGAATGCGGTACTCTCAGAGGGGGCCTGCTCACCACTCTATGCCACTGTGATGCACCAGCGAATACATCTTGCTGATTTGTTGCCAAGGTTTGGAGTGTTAGATCCTGCCTGCATTTGCCTTATAAAATGCGAAATTTGCGAATTGGGGAGGTGTTGTGCAGAAATGCACAGCAGGGACCAATCTGTGGCGCTCTTGAACCATATCACGCTCAACCATCCTTTCAGAATCTCGAAATAAAGCCCCACATCAAGCCCAGCAGGTCATTTGGCTTCTTCCCTCTATGGGGGACTTCACACACATATGTTGTCCGAGTCCTTGGATTTGATTGACTTTTGCTTCTTGGCTGGTATAGGCTTGCATGAGTCGGGCCGGGGCGCATTAGTGATGTTCTGGCACGGCTTGGCCCAAAAGCCACAGCTTTGGCCTGGCTTCAGACAGCTCTGGCCTGCAAACAACCAAAGCCGCAAATGACAGCTGGCTTTGGCCTGAGCCGCAGCTCAAGTAGACGATTCTGACAAGACTCACCTGCCAGTGTGTGCCTCAGAATGGAGTCACAGTGATTGATAGCGGCGGTGAAATGGTTGGCGGCTTCTTCGTGACATGCACCACCCAAGGCCACCTCTATCAGAGATGAATTTCCCATGAAGGGGAGGAGCCCTTAGATTTGACCGACTTTCGCTTCTTGGTTGGCTTTGCCTTTATAAATGTCTCACTCACTCCATCACTCCATCACAATTTGACCAATTTTGTTGGAATGGGAATGAGGGCCGAATGACACCCTCAGCCCGAGATGATGAGCTGGTTGCTCATTGTTTTGCATGCAAATACTGGAGCTCCAACTTTGAGACGAAAATAAGTTGAAGGGAATGACATCAAAGCAGGAGGTCACCTCTAATTCCATGATATGCATGTCATCTGATGAAGACTTGTTACCATGCCCATCCACCAAGATTTGTGGTTTTAACACCTGTAGGTTTACTACACCATTTGCCCATAGGCTTTCTAAGATTGGAAATTGGTACAAGTGAGTGGGGATACATATGAAAGGCATCAGTGTTGGTGAGGAAATAGGAATGTGAACTCTGGGGAGTCACAAGGATATAGACCTCGAGAGGCGAGCTAGTGAATCTAAAGCAAAAATCCTGGTCGCCTCTATCAGAGATGAATCCCACATGAAGGGGGGAAACCAGGACCTTGCTACCCAAATCGCCACCAGAGCCAACAAGACAGTGAAAAGGTAAAAAAAAAGCGAAATTCCTGGCCACCTCTATCAGAGCTGTTTCCCCCTTGAAGGGGAGGAACCAAGATCTTGCTACCCGAATACCCCTCAGAGCGAAAATCTTGGCCACCTCTATCAGAGCCCATGAAGGGGAAAAGCCCTTAGATTTGACTGACTGTCGCTTCTTGGCTGGCAAAACCTGGACCTTCCCACCTAAATAGCCCTCAGAGCGAAAATCCTGGTTACCTCTATCAGAGATGAATCCCCTATGAAGGGGAGGAGTCCTCAGATTTGACCGACTTTCGCTTCTTGGCTGGCAAAACCATGTGGGCCAACATGTGGCCGACTGTCATATGAATAAGTTGCCCTTGGGCAATAGATGGTACAATGGAACATGATTGTATCTCTGACGGAACCATGGGAAGAAAGTTAATGTTCAAGGATATTCAATTCACTGGTTGGGTTATAAAGCGGTGTCCGTGCTTACCTCTATCAATCTGCTGCCCAATCGTGTTGGGGCTGTTCATCAGCATCAGGTAGTTGCTACAGCTGAGCTTGATATGATTAGCAACCCATCCTGATTGTTTTCCATTGCGGAATATTTCTGGTATGGGTAATTTCACACACACAAGAGTTGTCCGAGTGCTTAGATTTGACTGACTTTTGCTTCTTGGCTGGTATTGGCTTGCGTGAGTCGGCTAGTGATGTTCTGGCATGGCTTGGCCCCAAAGTCATAGCTTTGGCCTGGCTTCAGATGGCTCTGGCGTGCAAAAAATCACAGTCAGGGATTCATCTCTGATAGAGGTGGCCTTGGTGGCCACCCAGATAGCCCTCAGAGCGAAAATCCCGGTCGCCTCTATCAGAGATGAATCCTACATGAAGGGGGGAAACCAGGACCTTGCTACCCAAATCGCCCCAGAGCCAACAAGAAAGTGAAAAGGTAAAAAAAAAGCGAAAATCCTGGCCACCTCTATCAGAGTTGTTTCCCCCTTGAAGGGGAGGAACCAAGATCTTGCTACCCAAATACCCCTCAGAGCGAAAATCTTGGCCACCTCTGTCAGAGCCCATGAAGGGGAACAGCCCTTAGATTTGACTGACTTTCGCTTCTTGGCTGGCAAAACCTGGACCTTCCCACCCAAATAGCCCTTAGAGCGAACTTGGGGGCCGTCCATCAGCATCAGGTAGTCACTACAGCTGAGCTTGATAGAATATTTCTGGTATCGGTATTTTTGTGTAAGGTTGGACGCCAAAACTTGAACCATGCGCATCAACCCCAGCAAGTTAGTCCCTCCATGGGTGATTTCACACACATAACAAGCATAGAATCCGATGAAGACTTGTTACTACGCCTGTCCACCGAGATTTATGATTTTAACACCTATAGGTTTACTACACCATTTGCCCACAGGCTTTCTGAGATCGGAAATTGGTTTGAGTGAGTAGGGATAGACATGAAAGACATTGGTGTGGGTGAGGAAATAGGAATGTGAACTCTGGGGAGTCACAAGGACATAGACCTCGAGAGGCAAGCTAGTAGTATCATCCTTGAGGGATGCTACTGAGGCAAATCTCTTCAAGTATGAGGAGGATCAGGGACTAGCTAGAAGCCGAAGATATGCGAAGGCGTGCAAAAATTGTGATGGGGTCATGAAGAAGGAGGTTCAAGAAGTCAAAGCCAGAAAAGGAGGATCACAACATTCTTCCGAGTCGTTTGGGTGAAGGGATGGTAGATGAACACTTGAAAAAGGGTCGTACTCACCAGATTAGGTGTGTATCAATTCGTCCCATGCCTCACTTTCTATCATTAACATTTTGCTAAGCCTTGGGGAAGAATCACCGGACCAAGAAGAACAGACAATGTACAGTCATTACTGGGATTCGGACTATCCTGCAACTATCTTCATTTTCAAATATACTTCATTGGGTAGGTCATGGTATTTTCTATGTGTCCCCACTCATGCCAACCCCCGACCCCGCCTGATTCAACCCTCAACCCAAGCGACTTTTTCTTGACCTTGCTTGCATCATTGCAACAACATCAATGACATTGTAATTACATTGTGGCAAGGGACACTTACAAAGGCAAAGGCAGCCAAGAAACAAAAGTCAGTCAAATCTAAGACTTGGACAACCTTTCTGTGTGAGAAGGCAAGGTAAGCATACCTACTTTTATCATGGGCCAACATGTGGCCGACTTTCATATGAATGAGTTGCTCTTGAGCAATGGACGGATAGACTGCATGAACCTGACAATGAATCAGACGCTGATATGCCATAATGCTCTGATTATCTGTACCCTATGCCAAGCAACAGCCACATCACTCCACAGAGCACCAATATGATCATCATTACTGACCATCAGCCCTCAGCCACATGCAGCCCTCAGCCCATGGAAACCCTTTGCCAAATTCAATCCCCATCCAATCATGCCCTGGGCCCAATACAACCTCAACCCAGGCGGCTGAGCATCAGTTACTAACCAAATGCGAAACCCTCAGCCCAATCCAACCCTCAGCCCAGTGAAGCCCTCTATCCAATCCAACCCTCAGCCCAGCAAAGCCCTCTGCCCAATCCGACCCTCTGCCCAGTGTAACCCTCTGCCCAATCCAGCCCTCAACCCAGGCGGCTATTTATTGACCTTGTTTGCACCATTCCAACAGCATCGGTCAAATCCTGCAAAGCCAGCCAAGAAGCGAAAGGCAGTCAAGTTTAAAACTCAGACAGCCTTTGTTTACACACAAAGGTTGTCCCAGTCTTAGATTTGACTGACTTTTGTTTCTTGGCTGGCTTTGCCTTCGTAAATGTCCCCCTTTGTAAGGTCATTATGATTTGACCGAAAAACTCCAACAGAGTCTACATTAGCAAACCCTAACTGACCTAAATTGAACCATCATTTCTCAAGTTCATCTTTCTGTCTTTCACTGTCACTGCCCCTCCCCTAGCTTTGATGAGTCGTCTCTGTCCCTGAAATATAAAGACAAATAACCTTGGGTTAGCCTGAATCAAAGTCGTCATTATACATGTACATTGTTAGTTTGTCTTGTTCAGGCACTTCTTCCCCAAGGCTGAATCGACTTGTGAGGATAGAAAGTGACTCCATAGCCTATTGAAATGAAATACACCCAATGTGATGATCACGAACCTTGCCTTTGCACACACAAAGGATGTCCAACAGGGGCACGAGGTAGGATCTGACGAGATGACGATCTGGGTAGTGAGGCTGATGAATCCCCTAGAATCAGGTAGACCCGGCTGTTTCTGCATCATTGAATGGAGCATCCTCGGAGGATATCCTGAAGGCCATTGCGAGGCCAGCAGCCATTGCAACAGCGGCACTGAGGGTCATGCATCCTGAGCAGTACTGGGCAGGGTTACGAGCATTTTCGAGCCTCGGAGAAAAAGCAAGAAGCAAGGAACTGCCGAAGATGTCAGAGACTCTCCAGTACTGGGCAACAGTGTTTAACAGCCTCACCGTCATTTGCAATTGGGAAACCCCGAATCATCGAGACCATTCATCAATTCCCGAGTGCTTCGATATTCTCACTAGTGTTGGGAATTATACTAATGCTCGGATGAGCATGCCAAGCCTTCAGCTGGAGTTCATGTACGATCCGGGCTGCATGATTGCTTTTTCGGGAAGGATTGTGAGACATGGGGTTCATGCAGTGGAAGGGGATCGAATTGCCTGGGCATGGTATATGAGGGATGCTGTTCATGTTTATGCCGGGATTCCGTCATGTGGATGGGCAAGGTTGGATTGGAACAAGTAGAAAAGGTAGTTACCTGTGTTAGTACCCATTTTCAAATACATCATATTAGATCTCAGGCACTGCTTCGAGTCTCGAATGTTGGGCTTCGGGGTTCACGGTTCGGGTCTCGAGAGCCGGGATTCGATTGTCGGGACTAAATAGTCGGGGTGCGGGGTTCGGGACTCAACAGTTGGGCTTCGGGTTTCGAGCCTTGATAGTCGGGCTTCGGGGCTCGGGACTCACTTGTCAGGACTTAATAGTGCCTCGATTGTCGGGACTAATTAGTCAGGGTGTGGTGTTCAGGACTAAATTGTCGGGGTGCGGGGTTCGGGACTTGAGAGTTGGGCGTCGGGTTTTGGGACTCGAGAGTCGGGCTTCGGGTTTTGGGACTCAATATTGACTCGATGGTCGGTACTGCATGTTAAGGTATTCATATTTGGGATTTGATAGTCGGGCGTTGGGTTTCGGGCCTCGACAGTCGGGCTTCGGGGCTCGGGACTCGCTTGTCGGGACTCGATATTGACTCGATGGTCGGGACTGCATGTTTGGGTATTCATATTCAGGACTCGATAGTCGGGCTTTGGGTTTTGGGCCTCGACAGTTGGGCTTTGGGTTTTGGGCCTCAACAGTCGGGCTTCGGGGCTCGGGACTCGCTTGTCGGGACTCGATATTGACTCGATGGTCGGGACTTGATGGTGGGTTTCGGGTTTCGGGCCTCGATGTTCAGGTTGTCATATTCGGGACTCGGGTATCACGACTCGAGAGTCGGGCTTCGGGTCTTGATATTCCCGTCTTCATATGAGGTACTCAATGTTTGGGACTCAAGATATCTATCTGGCTCTGGATACTCAACATTCGGTATGCGGACTCAGATATTTGAAAGTCAGTATTGAATTTTCAGTATGAAGTGCATTGTATACAGAATTTAGACTTCATTCTGAACTGAAGGACTACAACTACTCCGGTCCCCTAGGCTTCAATTTGGTTAGGACGGCTGTGTACATCTCAATCTCAGCCATCTTTTCGCGGATGCCATCTTGTTGATCCTGAATCACTGTCAGGAGGTGTTCTCTCATCCACCTCAGTGCCTTCAGTGATGCAACCGAGGTGTCAGCCACCTTCTCGGGAACAACAATACGTTCATTCTCAACTCCTGACTAGAAAGGATTAGTTATCACCCAAGGAAACTTTGTAAAGGTCTTACAAGCCAATACTGGTAGTGACATATACAATTAGCGAATACCAGATCCCATTCCCATACTTCCTTTGGGATTTCAGTTGTCCCGGTCCACCATTGAGCTCCATAGCATGATACAATCCGGGAGGGATCCCCCGGATCTGAATCATCATGAAACTCGCACAGGTGGGATGAAAAGACGTCGTCCAGAACCATGTTCCAGGTGAGCTCGCAAATCAACAGAAGAATATGAGTGACCGGGCTCGGAACAACCAAAATGATGTGCCTGGCAGTTGAGTACTGCAGGATGGGAGTCACAAAAGTCTGTTGGAAATGTCAGCATTGACCATCACAGTCATCAGTCTCTTACAGATATCTCCCATTGCAGCCCGGCTTTGAAGTGCATGATCTGAGCAGCAGAAGGCTCCTTGGTGTGGGCAGCCTCCATCTGATATTGAGATATGCAGGCTCGGATCCGAGATCCAGCCATTGCCATTGTAGCTGCAAGATCTGCCTGAGTGAGTGTGAGGGGTTTGAACCCTTTGCCGGAATTCTGAGAATGAGAAGATGATGCAGGGGGAGGATGCACTACAGACATGCTTGATGCAGTATTATGAAACTGGAAATCACAATCACAATGGCAGTTGGTTCGGAGGTCAAGATATGAGCCACTGGTTGATGGATAAAAATTTTCAAACTACGACATGGGTTGATCCGGGCAAACTCAGATAGGGGTCGACCCGGCCAATTCCCGGGATTGAAATGTTTGGGTCCAAGTAGCTGTTTCATATCTATGGCAAAGAAAATTCATTGATCTCGAGCCTCTATAAACCCGCCCTTCAGGTCTTGAAATGCTGCCTGGGCATCCTGTGCCAGCAATGAATACATTTGGGATTGCCTTCCCGAGTAGCATGCATGACCCGGAAGGTGTTTCACCAATGACTCGCGCATCCTGTCACCCCATTGGGTTGCTTTCCACAAGAAAAAGTTGTATGTCCAATCCATCTCCAATTCAACCAACATCATTTCTTCCTTCCATCTATCTTGTAGGGCCTTTGCCCGAAGCCAATGCACTGGGTAAACTTCGCATGGGTCCGTCAGCTGAGCAGGGGATATGTCAAGCATGCATAAACTCACATTCCTGATTCCACGACTGATCAGGACCCCCCAGGTCAACTTCGACAGACCAGAACCAAGCGAGGGACTCGTTTCGCTGACCTCGGGCATTTGGATTGCCGACGGCAGTGCTGATTTTGAGCTGCTCACGAAGCAGGGGTTTGTATTTCTGCACCTGGTCTTCACTCGGCTCAAGTTGCATCATTTGCTTCCTTGTCTTCATATATATACTTGCATGCAGGGACACTGCCTGCTGCACGGACGTCACCTGGGACCAAGCTCGAGTTTTTAGGGCCTGGGATTTTGCTTGCCTAACTGTCGTTCGGAACAGAATCACCTTGTTGCACAAGTGAATTCGGAGGTCGTGAAGGGAGTCGTTGGCCTGCCCTTCACGATGGCTATGAGGAGGGCATGCGCATACCTAGTGTTTTAAAGTCCAGTTGCAGGACCGCAAAAAGACCGGCAACCGGACCGGGTCCTAAGAAGGACTGGTTGCAGTCTTTTCCAGTTGCAAGATCAGTCCAGTCCAGTTGCCTGAAGTTTGTGAAAAATAAATAAACCGGTCTAAACCGGTTAAAATCGGTTTAGACCGCAACCGGTTCATATGTACATGTAAACTTAATAAACTAGTAACTTCAAATTGTTCTAAAGGAGAATTTATATATAAATTAGATTGAATTATATTCATCAACATTGTTATAATTAAATTTTAATACTCGTCAGCGCGGTTCTAACGGTGGTCCGATCATGTAAAACGGCTAAGATTTGACAAAGTTATGAGCATTACAAGAAAAAGCTGCAAATTCACGGGATGTCTTGTATCTTAGCTTTTATCTAGACCAAACCATAATCAATTGACAAGGTAAGACCAGCTATAGACTTGTCTATACTAAGGTTACAAGTAATGTTGACATACCTAAGCCTTATAGTAACAACTTTGATTTTGTGACATTTCATATACAGCAAGTCAAAATCAGTCAAAATCACTGATTGGCTCATAACTTACCCAAACCTTGAGTGTCCGACAAGATATGAGTAGCTATAGACTTGCCTAGACTAGGACTACAATGAACATTAAGACACCTAAGCCTTACGACCACTTTTATTTTTCAAAGACAAGCCCGATAACGATTTTTTGTCAAGCTTATATCTTGCTTATATCTTACCCTATTGACAAGATAAGACTAGCTATAGTATCGCCTTGACTAGCGGCACATATTTCGTCAAGAAGCCTAAGCATGGTAATGACATTTCATATTTGACTCACATGCAGGGCGGAGTTTGGGAACCCTTTTTTATAATGCTCGTATCTTGCTCAGATCTTAATCGTTTAATACAAATAAACCACCGTTAGAATTGTGGGAAGGAGTGCTACACTCCTACAGGACTGGTCTCGGTTGCAACCAGTCTAAGACCGGTTGTAGGACTGCAAAAGACCGAAAACATCGGTCTTTACAGGTCCAGTCCAGTCTTGATGATATCGTGGGAATGAAAAGACTGGTCTGGTCTGGTTGCCTCCAAAAAAGGCAAAAAGACCGGACTGGACCGGACTTTAAAATACTACGCATACCAGTATCTGTCTTGAACGGATGTGGTGACTCCTTCATTGCTGCCAACGAAAAGAGGGAGAAGGCGAGTACTCGTTTCTTTACCGATACTGGCCTCATGGCACTGGTTTGCAGACATGATCGTGTCCTATGGATTGCAAACCTGACATCTGCGGGCAAAAAGCAACATTATGCACTTGCTCTCTTGGACTGGTTGTTCAAACACATCCCCACTCAGATGACAATCGGGCTTTTGTACGACATCGGATGCCAGCTCGAACGGAGCTGTCGCAAGTGGAACTTCATGGACGATTCCATTCTATCTCGCATCACATTTGCTGTAGCTGTGTTCCATGCCTATGGTCACCAGTGGGCGTGTCAGATTGTTTACCACCCCAGGAAGCGTGAGGGATTCGGCTTGTCTGATGGCAAGGGATGCGAGCGGTTATGGAGTTTCCTCAAGCCTCTCATCCCTTCCTTGCGTGTTTCAGGGGTGCGTATTCTTTTTTCTAATCTGTCTATTTATCTCACTCTTTGGTGAAGTTTAATCAGCGACTTTTTGTCCTCAATACTCAAATTCACCACTCAAAATTGTTGCAAGGATTCGGACACTGGCTCCATCGGCGTTGGATCCACTGTCAATCGAAGAAGAATGATGCGCTGGACCGTTTGCACGCCTTGGAGTTGGACGAGAATGCCCTCCGTGTAGAGTGGAAGGCCCAGGTTGATCACCAGATGCGACCCACACCACGTATGTAGATAATTGAGTGTGCCTACTGCTTAACTGAATGCCATGTAGGACAATCTAGGAACAAGGCAGCGGAGGTTATCACTATCATCCTAGCACTAGAGAAGACACTACAAACTCAGGAGGCCTCCATACACGAACTCGAGATGCAACTCCATGGTGTCCGTGTCCCTAACATTGGGGAAGTCAGTCTGCAGCTTGCAGATGCTCGGTCCCGGTATAAAAAAACCTCTGACACTCTCCGACGTCGTTGAGCGGCACTTGGAATGGAGGACAAGGTCAACCTGGAGAAGATGAAGAAGGATACTTACCTTACAGTTCGCTTGAATGCGCTCGCAATCAAGACTCGCATCCATGATCGCCTTCGTCAACGAAAAATTGAACTTGAGAGACTTGAGAGATCGTACAGAGCCACGGTCAATGGTGTGTTGATAGTTTGTTTACAGTGATGCATCTCATAATTTTCCAGCTGAGCGTAAGCTTCATGTGAATACCGAACACTCAATCAAACACTGAGAGCCTGGCATCCTCAAATTAATTACTACCTACAATAGTTTGTGCTCTCAACTACGGTCTCTTATACAACAGCGGCGAGCACCCCGTTCTGCTGTTCCACCTCATATCATCCCGCGCAATGGCATCTTCCAGCTCGACATTGATGACGACATCTGGCAAGACGTTGGGCTGGATGACGACACTTTGAACCCTCCAGCGTGGCTATCGAATGACATGGTCAGGAATGGTATCCGGTTGCAACTTGAAGTAGACCGGTGCAATGAGGAGGAGGCTCAACTGACGTGGGAGAGGGCCGTCATTCAAGAATGGATGTTAGCAGAGTGGGACAGTACGCAAACTGCCTTGCATAAAGCAGGTGCGTCAGCGTGCAATGTTATTAACAGTATCTAATATTACTTCACAGTCGCAGATCCAGTGATGTTTTTCCACCTTCGATCTCGCACAGATGAACTTCTTGACATCTGCGTCATCTGGAAGAAAAAGGTTCAAAACATTCCGTGCGCGTGGCCTATGATTGCGAGTTGGGGACCCTCTGACGAAGCTTTGGTTCAAGCCGCTTATAATCAGGCGCAATCGTCGTTTCGGGGTGAGGATGATGACGAGAGTCTGGAAGGAGACGGAGAGGATGATTGTGAGAGTGACCTTGAGTATGGCGAAATTGAAGATGAGGAATTGATGGACGCTATCGAGGAGATTGCATTAGCGGATGAATATAGGTATGGTCAGAATGCGGAGTTCACGGATGACTTAGATGACTTGGATGACATTGTGGATGACTTCATGCCTTCTTCCCCTATAAAATCATTACACAAGTGGTGCAACATTTAGAATACAGTGTATTTTTTAATAAGATTTTCTCTGCCACTTCCTCTGTTCTATTGTATCTGAGTTGTACAGAAATTAAACTGGTTGACATCAACCTTGGAAAACTTCGAGCCCCCCCACCCCCTGTCACAGCGTGACTGTAACACTAATATTACCATATATGGAAGCTTAGCCAGTTAATTTACCAAAACACATTGTGCAAATTGTGCAATGACAAGGCACATTTCAAAATAATGTAGAATAGCTAGGCTCCTAGTAGTAATCATAGACATTGTACATGAATGACAACAGCAATGTGAGGTCATTTCGAAGGTAGGGATATGGCCAACTCAAGGACAGGACCTTGTCGTGTGTGTGCACCCCCTGTGCTCTTCGGTTCATCACCCAGTCCTCACCTAACCATGTCCATGGTTGTGCGTGTGGTTTATAACCCATCTATTTGCTAGAGCGCCCCCTGTCCTCCCCGGTTTATATCCCATTTTTTTGAGAGCACCCGGTTCATCACCCATCTATTTGCTACAGCACCCGGTTCATCACCCATCTGTTTGCTAGAGCGCCCCCCGTCCTCCCCGGTTTATATCCCATTTTTTCAGAGCACCTGGTTCATCACCCATCTATTTGCTAGAGCGCCCCCTGACCTCCTCGGTTTATAACATATTTGCTAGAGCACCTGGTTCATCACCCATCTGTTTGCTAGAGCACCCCCTGACCTCCTTGGTTTATAACCTATTTGATAGAGCACCCGGTTCATCACCCATCTGTTTGCTAGAGCACCCCCCATCCTCCCTGGTTTATAACCTATTTGCTAGAGCACCTGGTTCATCACTCATCTGTTTGCTAGAGTGCCCCCCATCCTCCCTGGTTTATATGCCATTTTTTTTGAGAGCACCCGGTTCATCACCCATCTATTTGCTGGAGCACCTGGTTCATTACCCATCTGTTTGCTAGAGTGCCCCCCGTCCTCCCCGGTTTATATCCCATTTTTTTCAGAGCACCCGGTTCATCACCCATCTGTTTGCTGGAGCCCCCTGTCCTCCCCAGTTTATATCCTGTCTATTTGCTAGAGTACTCAGTTCATCACCCATCTATTTGCTAGAGCACCTGGTTCTTCACCCATCTGTTTGCTAGAGTGCCCCCTGTCCTCCTCGGTTTATAACCCATCTATTTGCTAGAGCGCCCCCATCCTCCTTGGTTTATAACCCATCTATTTGCTAGAGTGCCCCCATCCCCCTCGGTTGATAACCCATCTATTTGCTAGAGCGCCCCCGTCCTCCCCGGTTCATAACCCATCTATCTCAGATGGTCTGCCCTACATAACATATGGTCCTCCCTATGTAGTCTATAATGGTGTGGTGGTCCGCCCTACATGGTGTATGGTCTGCCCTACATGACATATGTTCCTCCCTATAATGGTGCAGTGGCCTGCCCTACATGAAGTATGGTCCGCCCTATGTAGGCTATAATGTCTTTGCGGTCTGCCCTACATGACATATGGTCCTCCCTATAATGGTGCAGTGGCCCTCCCTACATGGTGTATGGTCTGCCCTATGTAGGCTATAATGTCTTTGCAGTCTGCCCTAGTTAGTCTATAATGTCACTGTGGTCTGCCCTACATCACATATGGTCCTCCCTATAATGATGTGGTGGTCCGCCCTAAATGGTGTATGGTCCACCCCACTTAGGATATAATGTCTTTGTGGTCCGCCCTAGTTAGTCTATAATGTTGCTGTGGTCCACCCTACATGATATATGGTCTGCCCTACCCTGTCTATAATGTCTGTGCGGTCCACCCTATATGACATATGGTCCTCCCTAATTAGTCTATAATGACACAGTGGTCCGCCCTAAAAAATATATGGTCCGCCCTAGTTAGGCTATAATGTCTCTGTAGTTCGCCCTAGTTAGTCTATAATGTCATTGTGGTCCACCCTAAATATCATATGGTCCGTCCCATAAACTTGTGTGGTCACACCTTGTTTCCCTTTGTGGTCTTCCCTATATCATGACTGAGCAAAGGGTAATAGTGGGTACAGGTCTTTGCATAGGTTTGAGCAGGTACAGGTCTTCACATGGGTACAGTGGGGTACGGTACCCATGAGGGGTATACCCACAGGTATACAAATTTTGCTACTAGACATGCATAAACTATACATTAATATCATCCCAACCCTCATCCAACTCCCGCTCTTCTCCTTCAAGGTCAGGCTTACATGTCACGGTGTAACATCCTTGTTGTTCACCAGACTGAGGAGCCTCCAACTTCCAAGGCAAAGAAAAGCTCATGTCATTTGTGCCGAAATTCTTGAACGCAGAGCCATCCACGACAGAAAATATGCTCAACATCAACAGACATTGCAGCAAAGCCACATTAAACACATTAAACAACTTACCTGGAATTGTCAAGTAATCTAGTGCCATGCAAGAGAGACATTGGGTAACAGGTACTCTGGACTCGTACCCGCACCCTCAAAACTACATCGAGCTGTTCCTGATCCCCTTTGAACTCTCTGTCAGCCTTACATACCTGTGAACAGCGAGAGATAGACCAAACTGAGCAAGACATGATTGAATCCACAAAGCTAGCCATTATATGCTTATATATGTTAGATATAACACAGAGGTTCATTGTAGTTTGAGGCTATTCACCATCAGAATCAACAGAAAACTACCGCAAACTATTAAAAATTAGGTGGTTTGTGGACCCCAGACACTCATATATATTTGGGAAAATCCATAAGACTAGCAGTAACCCGTGGCTTTGCCACGGTGGACTATCGTCTGACTCAGAGTAAAAGCAAAGGTGCACCGATAGATTCAAAACATGGCATAGCAAATACATGTATAGGTAAGTAGCAAATGTGAAAATAATGTACAGTAACCGTGATTACACTCGCATTCAGCTTCAAAATTAGGTGCGACCACGTTTGGATGGTGTACCGTCCTCAGAGCTATCGTCGAGTAAAGAGTGTTTGTTTGCTGGCGTGCGGTCGACCTGTGAGAAGCTGAATTTCAACTGCAATCGGCCTGGAGTCGGGGTTGTAGAAGCAGCGCCATGCCATGTACAGTGTGTAAGAATGATTTAGCCTATAGTGAGAAGACGGAAAATTAGTACTCACCATGTGAACTTGAACCAGTCGATGCAATGACAGGACGGCCAAGGAATGTGATGTTATCCACCTCAACAGCGGTGTTTGACAGCCTGTTCAAGGTGTCACAGAGTGGCTGAGATATGCCTTGCTGCTGGATGGTAGTAATAACAGAATAAGTAAACAAATGAGTCGAATATCACGTTACCTGGAGAATGATATTCTCTTGCAAAGCATGTCGACTGGTGGCAGACGTGTCAGATAGAATATCTGTCGTAGAACTGGTGAAGCCTTGAGTCACTTCAGAAGACCACAGGTTAGCTGAAGGTAATCACATACCTCGCAGATCTGATATTAGCTGCACATGTATGCATCTGAGTCATCTGTAACGTGTGTGCATCTGAGTCATCTGTATAAGCTGCAGCACTGAATCTGTATGTAGCGCTACGCTTGTAGTTCGTTGTACGCCGAGCGCCAAAATCTGGTTGGCCAGCGAGTCACACACGTGATGAAAATTTAAAATTGAGCCAGCCAATGAGAATGTCTTTCGAGTTTGTCTGTCAAGTTTGTCTCTGGTGCACGTGACCGAGCGATTTTATTATAGAAGATATATGGTCCAAAGTACCCTATGGTACTTTCCATGACATGTTCCCAATCGCCTTTGGTCTGTGTACCATACATACTCCTTTGGTCCACAAAAGTAATAGGGAAGGACCATGGAACATTGGAGAGACCATCAGAAACATACCTCTTAGGTACAAACCTCTATAGGTCACAATCAACCTAAGAGGTGTCTATAATGGGGTGACCAAAGTGCCGCGAACAGCACGAGGAGGGAGACAAGTGAGCTCGTGGAAGTCCAAAAGCTCATGTGAGATATGGACTGAGGCCCCGCTGTCGAGATAGAAAGGAGTGGTCTCGAGGTTGACAGGCGTGTATTTGGGATGTTGAAGGGCGTCATTTGCGATACCGGCGAACTCAACATCGCGGCTGTTGGTGCACCAATCAACGGTCGCCTGCAGGTTCTCCCAATCGAGGAACATTGTGTCCCACTCCGCTAGATCGGCATCAGATAGCTCCTGGATATGCGCTGGTGTCAACACGTCATGCGTGAGACCCGCGAATTCCTCCAAGGAGGGTGTGGCTATGTAGAACACCTCACCCGTGACACTATCCAACAGGTAAGCTCGCCCAGACGAGTCCATGCGACGAGTAGAGGTAGGTTTAGCAGTGGACACGGGGGTTGGCTTACTGTTGGTTTTATTGTGTTTGTCTCGTGTGGCACGCTTGACAGCAAGAATCTCATCACGGCGTCTGTGCGCAGCTCCTCCTTCAGCGAAACATTCACTAATGACATGCCCACGTTTGGAGCAGTGGGAGCAGCAATTGCCTTTGTGGGGCGGTCCTCTGCAAGTGAGACAGTTCTTGGACCTGCCTCCTTGAGTGATGAGCGCGACGTCGGTGGATGTGCGATGCTTGTCAGCGTCAAGGAGTTGTTGTTCCATGTCAAGGCGAATACGAATGTCGTCAGGAGTGAATGGGTTGGATGAGGTGCTGGCGGTGAGAGAGCTTGCGACGTGGTCACGGACGTGTGACATGTCCCCAGTGAGGGTGTTCAACATGATGATGGAAAGAAAGACTTGTTGTGTTGGGATGCCCATGTCAAAGATGGCGCAAATACCCTCTGTGAGGCGATGGCTGGTTTCAGCGAGGTTCGTGTCTCTAGAGTAGCGTACATTGAGTAGCTCTTGGATCTTTAAGATCTGCGCGATGGGGCCAAGTTTCTGGTGGCGTGAACGCAGGGTGTTCCAGGCTACATGAGCGTTGGTGATACCATCGAGGACATGTTTGTCATCAGGAGACACACAGTTGCGCAGGGCAGTGACGATTCCAGCGTTGTTTAAATCCCAGTTTCTGGCCACTACTGGTTCGTGTGCTGTGTCTGGACGCGTAACCGTACCTGTGGTATATCCCTCAAGGAGGTTCATGTGGAAAATTTCCAGCATGAGTTCCGACCAGGAGGTCCAGTTATTCTTCACCCTATCGAGGAGCTCAATTTTATCGAGATCAGTCTTCGAGAGCCGACAGGCGGTGATGGATACCACTGACGAGGTGTGCGTTGGGTAATACCCGTATGACGCATGGGTGGTTGTCGTGCTCGCTTGTGGTGTGACAGGAGTTATTGGAGGGTTGATGCTAACTAATGTAGCTGGGACGTTTAGTCCAGATTGTACGGGACCGGTCCCATCGAGTTCGGTTCTCGCACGCGTGTGAGGGGCCATGATGATGGGAAAGAGCAAGTGTACCGAAGCGAGGCGTCGAGGTATATATACGCGCAGTGCGCCTTGAGGATCACTTGAGGAAGTATTCCCAATAAGGGAGGGTTGATGGCCCGAGCGTAATGTACGATTATATGTACTTGTGCACGCCGGTGGAAAACGCGTGTTTAGCACCTGCTAAAATGTCATGGGTGTATGGTCTGAGGGTGTAATAACCGCTCAGAGAGTTTGTTATGGTCTTGGTACGTCTAGAGGTTCTGGCTCATTAAACAGAACCAGGGCTCATAACCTTTTAGAGCTAGACAGTGATTAGACCCTCAGTTCGATGAAAGAGACTTTATTAGTGTACCTAGACAGTGATTAGACTAGGTACACGTTAGTATTAATACGGGCGGGAATAAAACAGACAACGTACCCCTCAGTTCAATGAAAGAGACTGAGGGGATAAGTATGTCTGCGTGAGTCTGATATATAGGGAAAATGAGTTGGTATTCCAACATTAGATTCCCGCGGTTGTCGTCATCATAAGCTCCAACAACCAGGACCTGTTGTTACGGAAAACGGACAAGCAGAAAACTTCATAGAACGCATCATCGACAAGAAACGTGTTGGCAGAGGCAGGAAGTACTTGGTCCGTTGGGTTGGATACGGCGCTGATGAAGACAAATGGTTACCGTGACGTGACTTAGAGGACTGCGAGGCGTTGGACGTCTGGGAGAAAGAAAAAGACTCTTCATAGGTTGGGAGGGTGTAAGTGTGGCTTACATATCACATACTGATTGCATCATGGCAGATTGCATCATAGCTGATTGCATCACAGCTGATTTGTTTGCATCGGACACTACTTATACCAGACACTAACACATGTATCAGGCATCGTCCCTTATTCCCATTCAATCATATATGCTTGACACATTATCACTGTTTGATCTCTGCTTAGTGTTTCTACCCTCATGGGTAGCTTCCAGGTGTGAGTATATGAATAACAAAGACAAAGTAACATACCTATAATGGCCGGAGAGCTCGTAGTTGTGGAAGCAGGAGAGTTTGCGGACTCAACTGATAAGATGTGTGAGTATATGTGTCACAAATTTAAAAAAAAAAATACAACACCTTTCACGTGCTTTTTAGTGCCCTCCAACTCAGACTCAGGGCGCCGTAATTGTTTCTTATCCTGAGAGTCTAATTCACTGTCAGTGTTGTCCTCTTGTTTGGCTTTCTTGGATTGCTTGATGTAGTCTCCATTAGCATTGAGATGGTTCTTCCGCCACAATGGGTAAGAGGTACTGCATGGTGGGTCTAGTTTCCACCCGTCCACTGTGAATCTAAACAAAGGATGTTTGTTCTCTACAATATTGTGAAAAAGTAACCTGCTTGAATGGATTAATTTCCTCCAGGTCATTGGGAGAAGTCCTCTGGTCCTGAACTCGAACCAGATGCAACAGATAGTCTTGCAAATGGAATTGAGTAACTCTTTAGTGACTGCCTGACTATTCTGGTGTTCCAGGTAAGGTGTAGGCCCACATATTACCTACTGTCTGAGTCCTGTTGGTATTACACACCATTCTTCCCATTCTGCGCAAGTCCAGAATCTGATGTCCAGATAATCATGCTTGCTGACAGGAGGTGATATCTGGGTAGTTGAAGATGCCCGTGGGGAGTCAGATATACAAGTGGTAGTCCCACATCAGGAAAACTGGTTCTTGCAATTTTTGGATCTGAATGGCTTTAAGTGCATGTAGTGCCACTAATGCTTATAGATACATATATTGCAGCATAGAGAAAAATTGACTCCAAATCCTGATCCCACCACAATCCAAACCCTAATTCTAACCTTAATCCTAATCCTAATTCGACAGGAGGCTGACTAATTCTAACTTGATTAGGAAATTGGTTTCTGCCCTTTTGCACTTTTTGGTTTTGGATGTATATTGTGCCAGTATATGACTATGGTAGACCGTGGGAATTGTTTCAAAAAAAAATCAAAGTTGTAGCCCTTGTCAAGGGGAGTCTATCCACAATCTCGAAATATCAATAGGATAAAATGCTAGTGAGATATAGGCAAAATACTCGAAAATCATCAGCTTGTTTTGAAAATGTCTCAAGTAATAACTTGATCAGTTCTTATCCTATTGATGTGATATGGCTATGGACAGACCCTCCTTGACAAGGGCTATGACTTTCATCACCACCTCACTTGAAAAAAAAATCAAAAAAGTCAAATTTTGCCGATGTTTTTCAAGCATTTTGCTTATATCTCAATAGGATCTTATGCTATTGATGTCATGAGACTATGGATAGACTCCCCTTGACAAGGCTACAACTTTGATTTTTCGAAATAATTCCCACAGTCTACCATTACCCATCCTAATGGTTACCCTTATCTAATAAGCAAAAATGCGAAAATTTGTTGAAGTAAATGTGTAGCTTATAAGTTGTGACTTGAATCATTGGTATATATTGACATTCTGGTTGGGATATATAAAAGAGACTATGGTGTAGTGATCTTGATCACCTTTTAACTTGCATCACAAGTCATGAGTTCAATTCCCCCTTGGTGCAGTTGTCAAAAACTCGAAAATGTCAAAAAGGCAAATAAAGTCATTCATAGACATTCAGAGACAACTACAGCAAGGTGGGTTGAACTTTTATGACCTGTCTTTAGTTGGCTATTTGTTGGAACCATGCGGGAGATAGATTGATGCATCCGGGAGTCAGGACATCATTTTCTGAGCTTGGTTTGAACCACTCTTGATTTGTACGCCAAATCCCATCGAGCTTCACACTTTTTCCAAGCATGGGAGAAAGCAAATCTGAGGCCGCCCAAATTTCCTTCTGTAGGTACCATTTGAGGTTCAATATCCATCCAGTAGCAATATATATAACACACCTGGGTGGCATCTGTCAGGGCGTCCGGGAGGTACCATGCGATGATTGCACCGGATGCATCAACAATTGTCGCGGGTATGTCGATCAACTTTGTGCCCTCATGGCCAGGAGGACACCTCTCCAGCAACCTCGCCTCTCTCTCTTCATTATGTCCTGTGTCCTTCGGGGAGATCAATTTGCTATATCTTGCAACATCCATAGGCATCTGAACTGTGATGAAGCAATTTCACTGATCAAACGAATTTTCCGAATCTGCAGGAAGACTCACTGGGATTTTTATATGCCTTTATGAGCCGATCAACCAATTGATCACAAGCCATCACCAGATCAGTGTCTAGGTTCGGAGAAGGTATGACTGGGTCTCCTCCTGTCTTCTCTGCATTGAACTTCTGTTCCGTATAATCACATGCCACATGAGTGACACCCAGGGCCCAAGTGTTCAAGATGGTTATTTCATCTTCGGAAGTGGAAGAAACATCCATGATTGAATTGATCTTGTGAGATCAGAAGCTGAATCCTGGATGTCCGCACTTTGGTGTTCAAGGGGGTGGAGATAGAGAGGATCAGATAAGGGAGCCTTGGATGATCTTAGATTTCAAAGTTCTATTATCTATTATCATCTATTGCTCAACAAAATACCACATGATTGGAAGTCTGTTGGATATCTGATATTCGTTTGTTGAGACCCGGGCCCCGGATCTTGGTACACTTCACTCGATTTTTGATACCCAGGACTCCATAGCCGGAACTCGACTCTCGGGTTTCGGGTCTCGATGGTTGGGACTCGATGTTTGGGACTCAAAACGTGTAAAAATATGGTTTTCACATTTTGTGTTTTGAGTTTTGAGTTGTCTCTCGATGTTTGGGACTCAATAGTCGGGGCTCGGATCTCGGGTACACTTCACTCGATTTTCGGTAGTCGGAACCTGGCATTTGGCATGTGGTAGGCTTGGATGATGTTGGCTTTCAAAGATCTATTATCATCCATTGCTCAATGAAATACCAGATGATTGGAAGTGTGATGCATATCACATATTCGTTTGTCGAGACCCAGGTCCCGGAACTCGGTACACCGCTCGAGTTTCCACTTCACCCCTTTGCAGATCTCCGTGCCATACTGCAAGACCTTCCTCTTCCATCTCAAAGCTTTGATGAACAGGGCCTGGAACAGTGCCATACGACATCATTAGATGACTTTGTGTTATTACCTTCTTTGATTTGGATGATATACAACTACCTGGGCTCCATCATGTCTACAATTATCATTCTCCTGGGCCCACCCGTCTATATTATATGCCCCATGTCATGACCAGTGTTTGGATGAGGTATTTATCAAATTTCTCTTTGTTCTCCATCTCAGAATTTCTGGTGAGCAGTTATGGGGAGGAAAAACGACACCCGAAGTTGTTAGCAGGTAGCGACTCACGAACATGGCCCACCTGTCTATCTAATATTCCCTACGTTGGCCCACTGTTAAGACCGTGTTCAACGGGTCGGACCGGAGGGGCTTAGCTTCAGCTCGTGCGCTGCGCTCTTTACCCGAGTACGTGCCCCTAATTTACAGGGGGTTTGGATATCGTCGGCCGAAGGGTATAGACGGGCCGGACGAGAGAGAGAAGACTACCCGAGACTTCGTCCGGGTAGAAACTAACAAGGTACAGACTACCCGAAGGTAGAGGCGGAGGTATTTAGCCTTAGGGATATAATCCCGAGGCTCGGAGGATCGGACTAGGGTAATAATCCCAAGAGCCGAGAGGACACGAGGTTTGAACAGAGTCTAAGTTAATATTCGAACTGAGGAAATACTACGGGTTACAAAGGGTTTATATACTGTAGTGTATCCGACGGGTTTCCGGCCGAAGCGCAGTCTTCGGATCAGAGGGCTATGTAGAAAATGTACTAACGGATATGAACTGCTGCGGACGATCGAGAATGGAGCCGGAGATTAAATGAAACAGGGGGGACAAGTTAAATGAAAGGAAAATGAATAGACTAACGGACGGATCAGAATGAACCCGGATATTAACTGTCAGAAGGATCCGGGCGTATAGGGGCATCAAGAAGCATATACAAATGGGGACACGGGGAAATGAATTCTAGAATGGAACCGAGAGAACGGACGGACCGGACCGGACCGGACGAGAAGCTTCAGGTACGGAATATGACAGTATCCCCCCATTAAGGCCGAGCCCATGAGGCCGAGGCCGGTTGTCCGATCCGATGATAAGAGCGCGAGAACGGACCCGGGTTTTATTGAAAATTTGATAAAAGGGTTGAGGGTTTTGATGGGACGCCATTCCCTTTGATTCTTACCACCCACCAACTCCACTACCATGTCCCAGACCCCATCCGACTCTACCCAGGCTACCAATGCCCGGCTTGCGGCCATCCGGGCCCGGCTAAACGCAGCGCAGCAAGAGCTGGCCCAGGAGGAAGAAAGAGTACTCGCGGAAATGGAAGCCGAGAGAAAGCGTTTGGAGGAGGAGAAACTGAAGGAGGAGGAGAGGCTGAAGGAGGAGGAGAGATTAAGGGAGGAGCAGAAGAAGAAGGATATAGAGGAGACCCGGAAGAGGCTTGCTGAGAAGTCCGCTTCGTCCGGGCCCTGCAGTGAGTAGCGAATTTTCTCGGCCGATGTTTTTGTCTGATGGACATAGGTTTCTGTCGGACCCAAGGACGTCGGACGACCCTGTAAGCCCTGCTCCGATAAGAAGCGGGCCTGCGTTTACTCGGGCGTGTCTGCCACGGGCCGGGTGAGTGGACTTCTTTCGTCCGGATGTGAGTTTTACTGATGTTTTTGAAGCCGGTCAACGCGTGTGACCACTGTCGCACTGCGAAGATGAAGTGCCATGGTGGGGCGCCACCCGCCCGGATGGATACTGACAAGGGCAAGGGTAAGAAGCGGCCCCGTGCTGCGGGGACTCCGTCTCCTAAGGGTAAGGCAAAGAGGCGTCAGAGGAGTCCGGTTCCTTCGGACGATCTGTTGAGATCGTCCCCGGCCCCTTGCCCAGCATCATCGGCGAGGAGCTGGAATTCCAGGAGTATGACGACCAGGCCTGGGTGGCGGCTGTCAATGACATGGTCACAGAGTTGGCCCGGACCAACAGTCTTCTCGAGAGGACCGTTGAAGCGGCCGAAAGTAGCACGGGTGCCATCGGCCGGCTCCTGGAACAACAGAGGGTCTTCCAGGCCCTCTTTCTGACTGAGATGAGGATGTTTTTCCAGAGGGAGAGGGAGTTGGAGAAGGGGCCGGAATACTGAGGAAGAGACTGAGGAGGGTGAGGAGGAAGGGTCCGGAGATGAGGCTGAAATGGAGGAGTAGGGTGGTCCGGATGGTCCGGATGTTTCTTCCCTATGTACAATGTATCTTTTTCTTCGTCTTTTACTGTACAACATAGGACCCCGGCTTGTCCGGATATGCTGAATGAAAGTCTTGTACGAGTTCGGACGCGTTTCCAAGTTCAGTAGCGAGGATCCACGATGTTTCTTCGTCCGTCCCCTGATAACCGGCCCACCTAACCAAGGTAAAGAGTTGACACGTCCGTCTTCTTCGGTCGATTTTGGTATCAAGGATTTCAGAGATCTCGTATTCCGGTTCCCCGTCGACTGAGACGGGTGGGGGAGGTGGTTGGATTCGGTTAGGGATGGTGTTCGGGGTTGCGGGTTCGAGCTGGGAAACATGGAAGACGGGATGTACGGATCGCATTGCGTCCGGGAGGCGGATTGTGAAGGAATGGGTGCCCGGGCGGGCGATGATATCGAAGGGTCCGAGGTTCTTTTCGGATAGTTTCTTCGACGGACGGGTGGAGCGGAAGTACTTGGCTTTGACGAAGACTTGTTGTCCGACCTGGAGGTCCGGTGCGGGCTTACGTCTAGCGTCGGCCGGGCCTTGATATCGATCCTGCGCATAAGACATCTCATCCCGAAGGAATTGATGGAGCTCATCGAGGTCAATGGCGTATTCTCGGGCCCGGGCGGATGAGAGGTCTCGTTCTGGATGTATGGATATGTTCGGGTGATATCCCTTATTAGCGAAGAAGGGAGAAAACACCCGTGGTAGCACTAGGGGCATTGTTGTATGCGAACTCTGCCAAGGGCAAGAGCTCGGACCAGTTGTCTTGCTGGTAATTACAGTAGATCCGGAGGTATTGTTCGAGGGTTTGATTGGCGCGCTCGGTCTGACCGTCGCCTTCTGGATGATAACCCGAGGTGAAATGCAGGGTCATGTCCAGTGCTTTCCCGAGGGAGCGGAAGAAGTGAGAGACGAACTCCGTGCCTCGGTCGGAGGTGACATGGGACGGGACTCCGTGCTTGGAGAATACATGTAACAGGAAAAGTCGTGCGAGATCCGGGGAGGTGATTGTATCGAAAGTAGGGATGAATATGGCTTGTTTAGATAAGCGGTCTATGACGACCAATATGGCCGTGAAGTCGGCCGAGGACGGGAGTTGTTCTATAAAGTCCATGGAAATAGAGTTCCAGGGTTTCTCGGGGATGGGGAGTTGTTTGAGTAGGCCGTAGGGTTTATGTCTAGGGACTTTAGCCCGAGAGCACGTAGTGCAGGACTTAACATAATCCTTGACATAGGCACGTACTCCCGGCCAAGTATACTCCCGACGGATTAGCTCTAGGGTCCGGTTCTGACCGAAGTGACCGGATAGGGGGTGGTCATGGGTATTCCGTAGGACCCGTAAACGGAGGTCGTTGGATTCGGGAACAAATATGCGGTTATCGCAACAGAGGAACCCATTGTCGTCCACTGTCCATCTCGGGTCCGACGGGTTCGGGAGATGAGTTGAAGCGATAGGGTCGTCCGGAAGGGCGGATAGGATATCCGTATGGAGTTGTTCAACATCCATTAATACTGATGCGCGTAGTACTGGGATTGCTAGGTCGGATGCTCGTAGGGACGAAGCGAGTTGCTCCGTGGCAAATACGGGCCGGAAGTTGTGAGGGTTAACTCGAGCGTAGTCCTTATCCCCCTCTTTGGGGTAGACGTCCCAACGACGAGTTAGGGAGTCGGGCTTAGCACCGAGTTTTCCTGGCCGAAAACGAATGATGAGGTTGAATTGATGAAGGAATTCTGACCAGCGAGCTTGCTGGCGAGAAAGGAGTTTGGTTGTAGCGAAGTATTCAAGGTTTTTGTGGTCCGTGACAACATCAATTGGCTCGGCCGAGCCTTCAAGATAATGGCGCCAGGACCGGAATGCTTCGTAGATGGCGAGGAGTTCTTTGTCGTGGGTATCATATTGAGCTCGGGAGCCGTTAATGTCCTGGAATAGAATGCAACCGGACGAAGTTCTGTGTCCGGGCAAACAATAGAAAGGATTCCAGCGATGGCATAGTCCGAGGCATCTGTCTCCACAACAATTGGGACATCGGGCATCCAGTGCGTGAGCACCGGGGCCGACGTAAAGGCGGGTTTTGAGGGTGGTGAAGGCCGTCCGGCATTTATCAGAGAAATCCCATGGCATCTTTCCGAGTCAGCCGGGTGAGAGGTACAACAATGTCCGAGTAATTAAAGATAAACCGTCGGTAGAAATTGGCAAACCCGAGGAAGGACTGAATGTCCTTCACCTTCCGGGGCTCGGGCCAGTCGATGATGGATTGGATCTTCTCGGACGACATGGTCAGGCCGGTAGGGGAAAGTAGGTAGCCGAGGTATTCAACCGAGTCGGAGTGGAATTCGCACTTCTCCGGTTTTGCATATAGGCGATGCTTACGGAGCCGACGAAGGACTTCAAGGACATGTTGTTTGTGGGATGCGAGGTCGTGAGAATAGATAAGGATGTCGTCAAGATATACGATGACATATACATCCAGTAGGTCGGCAAAGATAGTGTTGACAAAACGTTGGAAAGCCGCCGGGGCATTAGTGAGTCCCTCGGGCATAACCAACCACTCGTAGGACCCGTAACGGGTCCGGAACGCGGTTTTCCACTCATCACCTTCCGCCATGCGGACAAGGTGATAAGCCGAGCGCAAGTCGATTTTGGTGTAGACCTTTGCACGGCTCGGAGAGTCTAGGAGGTCGGCTATGAGGGGAAGTGGGTAGCGGTCTTTCTTCGTGATTTTGTTTGAGGCCTCGGAAATCCACACAGAGCCGAAGTGATCTGTCCTTCTTCTTGACAAAAAGGACCGGAGCTCCGTGCGGGGAGGAGGAGGAGCGGAGGAGACCGGTTGCAATGTTCTCATCAAGGAACTTGCGGAGAGCTACCAGCTCAACCGGGGAAAGGGAATATATGGTACCGATGGGTGGGGCAGAGCCGTCCTCTAAATCGATCTTTAGGTCGTATGGCCGGTGAGGAGGAAGTTGGCTGGCTTTGCCTTTGTCGAAAACGTCCGCGAACTCATGATATTCCTCGGGGATCCCGGACATGTTTGGGGGATCCGAGGAGAGTGATGCGGAGCGCAAATCAACGCCGGTCGGACGGAGGTAGATGCTGAACTGGACCGCCCCCTCTAGTTTGCAGGCCCGACAAAAGGCTACTGCATTGACAAGAGATATATGGGGCGCGGTTTTATCAGTAGATGGGTCCGGGGTAGTTGGTAGAGATATATCCGGATGAACCGGAGATGGTGACGTCGGAGGAGGTGTTGGCATTCCATGTGGAATCGTACGGAACTCGATGCTGCCCTTAACCCAGTCAATCAACGGATTGTGTCGGGAGAGCCAGCTATATCCAAGAACGATCAAACAGGATGAATCCAACGGAGTTACATAAAATGTATCGGAGGTAACTACACCAGATGTGAATCGGATTGGTAGATCTATAGCTTCAGTAATAGTAGCATTAGAAGTACCGTCAAAAAGATGAAGCGAGAGTGGAGGAATGGCATAGGTACTAAGTCCGTGCTTACGGACGAAGCTGGTTTCAATAAAACAATGCGAAGACCCGCAATCTATTAAGGCCGGAAAAGCGGCAATGTTCGGATATGCGGATATGGATACGGATGGACGGAGTGATGATGGGTTCGTGAGTGCGACAGCGTTGAGTCGTAACTCCAGTGCGCGGGTTGAGTCAACGCGACCCTCGTCCCGCGCGGAGTCAGGAGGGTCACGGACTAGTTTTTTGCCTCAACAGGGGCCTCGGGAATAGCATCCGGGGCCACTGTAGTTGCACAGCCTTTGGCAGCGCGTGAGGTCGATTTGGAGCAGTCCCGGGCCGTATGGCCGGGTCCACCGCAGAAAAGGCAGAGCCTCATGTCCATGCGCCTCTGGCGCTCCTCGGATGTCAGTTTACCGTCCTTGCCTAATTTTGAGGACAAGTCCGGTTGCTGTGAGGAGGAGGTGGAGGGCTTGGAGGGTTTACTTCCGGAAGGGGTTGTCCGGTCAGTAGCGGGTGCGAAGGATCGGGGAGGAGGTACGTATGGTTTTGTTGGAGGCGCGGATGTGGATGGTTTAACCTCGCGGGAGGTCTCGCCCTTGCGTTCCCAGTATCGGGCGTCGATGGACTGGGATAGGGATCTGAACTCGGCGAGGGTCACGGGTTTACCCTGACGACAAATCTCGTCCTTGATGCAGGCCGGAAGTCCGTTATAGAACTGACGGCGTAATGCTCCGTCGCCCCAACCTCGGACCTGGGAAGCAAGTCGTTGAAACTCTACTACATATTTATTAATGCGCTGTCCGTCGCGCATAACGAGTTGTTCGAGTTGCATTTCTGCATCCCCGACCGGGTCATGGGGGCCGAAGTTGGTCTGGAGTTCTAGCATGAACTCAGCATAGTCATCCATCCAGTCCGGGCAGTCATTAGTTGCACCGGACAGGAGGTCAGGCTCAAAATACTCCAGGGCCATGCCCTTCAAGTAGGACTGGGCGAAGTTGACTTTAGCCCGGTCCGTGCGGAAAGAGCGGACCTTGTTCTGGAAGTTGAGTTCGCATTGGACGAAGAATGCGCGGAGTTTGCGAGGTTCGGACCCGTCAAAAGTATCGGGTTCCCGAACCTTGACTTTGGAGTCTTCGGATGGGGATTTCCGCGTAGTGCGGGCAAGGTTCTCAATGGCTTGAGAGAAGCGGAGGAAGATTCTGTCAGCGGGGGTTAGCCCATCGTCTTCGTGACCTGGGGGCCCACCAAATGGGTCATCCCCATCATCGCCCGGCGGATCTGAATCACCACCGTCGTCAGGCCCTTCCGGGTCTGATGGTCCGGGGGTTGTCGGGCGAGTAGGAGTTTCTGGGTGCGGGCGGTTTATGATTTGCGAAACGCTGTCCGTGGGGGTTCTTAGTACGCTCGTACGACGACGAGTGAAGCCGGTAAAGTTCTGTGCGTCGGACGCAGCGTTACGTGAGCTGGCTAGAAAACCGGCCGCGGCGAGGTTGGTTCTGGTTGTCTGGGTGGGAGCCATGATGATAAGTATACTCGGTAAAGTGTGAGTTCGAATATACTGTTAAGACCGTGTTCAACGGGTCGGACCGGAGGGGCTTAGCTTCAGCTCGTGCGCTGCGCTCTTTACCCGAGTACGTGCCCCTAATTTACAGGGGGTTTGGATATCGTCGGCCGAAGGGTATAGACGGGCCGGACGAGAGAGAGAAGACTACCCGAGACTTCGTCCGGGTAGAAACTAACAAGGTACAGACTACCCGAAGGTAGAGGCGGAGGTATTTAGCCTTAGGGATATAATCCCGAGGCTCGGAGGATCGGACTAGGGTAATAATCCCAAGAGCCGAGAGGACACGAGGTTTGAACAGAGTCTAAGTTAATATTCGAACTGAGGAAATACTACGGGTTACAAAGGGTTTATATACTGTAGTGTATCCGACGGGTTTCCGGCCGAAGCGCAGTCTTCGGATCAGAGGGCTATGTAGAAAATGTACTAACGGATATGAACTGCTGCGGACGATCGAGAATGGAGCCGGAGATTAAATGAAACAGGGGGGACAAGTTAAATGAAAGGAAAATGAATAGACTAACGGACGGATCAGAATGAACCCGGATATTAACTGTCAGAAGGATCCGGGCGTATAGGGGCATCAAGAAGCATATACAAATGGGGACACGGGGAAATGAATTCTAGAATGGAACCGAGAGAACGGACGGACCGGACCGGACGAGAAGCTTCAGGTACGGAATATGACACCCACCTGTCTATGTAATAAATCATTCACCTCACCCTCGGTCTACCCATATTGTTAAGACCGTGTTCAACGGGTCGGACCGGAGGGGCTTAGCTTCAGCTCGTGTGCTGCGCTCTTTACCCGAGTACGTGCCCCTAATTTACGGGGGGGGGGGGGGGGGGGTAGATATCATCGGCCGAGGGGTATGGATGGGCCGGACGAAAGAGGGAAGACTACCCGAAGGTAGAGGCGGAGGTATTTAGCCTTAGGGATATAATCCCGAGGCTCGGAGGATCGGACTAGGATAATAATCCTAAGAGCCGAGAGAACACGAGGATTGAACAGAGTCTAAGTTAATATTCAAACTCAGGAAATACTACAGGTTACAAAGGGTTTATATACTGTAGTGTATCCGACGGGTATCTGGCCGAAGCGCAGTCTGACTACCTTTGGCCCACCCATATACATCATAAATACTTTACAGCTCCCTCGGCCCACCCCTATATTATATACCCCATGTCATGACCAGTGTTTGGATGAGGTATTTATCAAATTTATCTTTATTCTCCATCTCAGAATTTCTGGTGAGCAGTTATGGGGAGGAAAAAATGACACCCGAAGTTGTTAGCAGGTAGCGACTCACGAACATGGCCCACCTGTCTATCTAATATTCCCTATGTCGGCCCACCTGTCTATCTAATAAATAATTCACCTCGCCCTCGGCCTACCCATATATCCAATATATGACTACTTTCGGCCCACCCGTATACATAATAAATACTTTACAGCTCCCTCGGCCCACCCGTATATCCAATAAATATTTCACCACTCCCTCGGCCCACCCGTCTAAAAAATGGTACCAATATGTCGGCCCACCCGTCTACAAAATAATCTTAATTCGTCGGCCCACCCATCTAATATGATATATATCTGGGCCCACCCGTCTATTTGATAACAAGCACCCTTGACATACCCGGCTATTTGATACCCATCTACATAATATCCCACTACCTTGGCCCATCCGTCTATTGAATATTCATGTCCATCGGCCCACTCATCTACTCTACATATTCCCTACATGGGCCCACCTGTCTCCATCGGGAATAATAACACGCCCGGCCCATCCATCATAATCGAGGACATACCCGGCTATTTGATACACATCTACCTTGGTAAACCCATCTACATAATATCCCACTACCTCAGCCCATCCGTCTATTGAATATTCATGTCCATCAGCCCACTCATCTACTCTACATATTCCCTACATGGGCCCACCCATCTCTATCGGGAATAATAACATGCCCGGCCCATCCGTCATAATTGAGGATATATCTAACTTCGGCCCATGGTCCGCTGGCCCGTATCATACGGGATATTATGCACGTCTGTTCACTCGTATAATACGGAGATATGTTACTGCAATATGTGTCAATAGTGTAGTATACGTAGTAAGGCAATGAAAATTGTGCGAGAAAAAAAATGCAGTATCGTGGAATTGATATTTCGTAGACTAGAAATCATAGCAAACAATGTATCTCTAAAACTCTATCCCTCGTCGTCAATGTATTACAGCAATAGATTAGACAATCTATTACTTTCCTGCTGTCTTCTTGATAGCTCTGCTGCCACCACGTGTGACACATTTGGCGGCTGGAGGAGGGGCCGCATCTGAGTCTATTGCGAGTTGAGCTTGCTGAATAGCAGTGTGACGTTTGTGAGCAGCTGCTGGCACTCTGCAGCCCTTGGATGTGGTGCTGTCCTGGAGTGACAGCTGGCTGAGTGTCAATGGTGGTGGAGGCAGAGGTGGCCCCTCCCTGACTAATGGACTTTGCAGTAAAATGATAGTTGGAGACGATGTTGACCATATTATCAGTATAACTCTCAAGAGGTGCAGAAACATAGGTAAGTTGTGAAGAAATAGGTGTCAATGACTGTCATGATGCGGAAATAGATGGTGTGGGAGCCAGAGTGGGAGTGGGAGCATATCGTGGTATGGAAACAGGAGCAGGTGGTGGTGCGAGAGCACGAGCAGGAGCGGGAGCGTGTTGTGGAATGCAAATGGGAGCAGGTGGTGGTGCAAGAGCAGGAGCTTCTGAATCTAACTGTTGCAGGAAGTCATCCTCTCAAGTGTGAGATTGAGAGACGGAGGATAGTGCAGCTGATGTGCTAGCTGGCTCTGAACTAGTCCCAAATACCTCCTTGTTGTAGTAGTCCATGATGCTGATTGCCCACGAGCTGCATTTGAATAATTGTTCGAGGTAAAAGTCAAAATCCCGCTGGTACTCAACCTTCGTGGCCGGTCCAGTCGCCATAAGTTCATGATTGTGTGACAATAAGAAACGCACCTGAGATTCAGAATGGATGAGTAAACATGAAGGCAAGTCTTTGAGTTAAAGAATGGTGCACTCACCAAGATCGCAGCGGCCACAATCAAACCTTCTGTCATGCACTGTGTGGCCCAGCGCTGGCCCCTGGCCTTTGGATGCCCCTTGGTCTTTCCAGAGAGCACAGCCTTCCCAAAGATTTCAACACAAATAATCTGCATGAACTGAATCTGTGCTCATATACCAATCAGACAGCAACCAACTTACTTTGACAAGGACGGGTGACTTGGGAAAGTCATCAGGAACAATTTCCCCGGGGTCCTTGAATAATATGGGTGCCAGACATGTATACTCTCCTTCTCCGTTCTTCTTGAGAAGCGCAAGGAGTTGCTTGTTTTCTTTCTTTTTAGAGGGCTTGTCAGTAAAAATGGTGGGATTGAGCTTCAAACTAGAGAAGATCAAACCGGCACAATCCTTGATGACGTGCAGGATGTTTGATCTTTCAGAGCTAACTGCGGTGTGAAACTAATAAAGCCCATGTAAACCATGGTACAACATATTGATGAATCTAACTTACCAATGGTCCAAACTGTGTGTAAGTTTCCATCGCCTTGTGCAGAGTCTTGGGTACACAGAGGTATAGCTCAGCCATGGCACCTTTGAGCTTCACATCAGGTGAGGACCAGCACGAATTGCTGTGTGGATCAATGTTTGGCTGTGGGGTTGTTGGAAAGAGGCGGTTTATAATCTAGAAGTAGTTGAGCATTGTGTACATCTTGCCTGCATGGCTGATGTCGCTGTCAATGGCAGATGTCTTCTTGAGCACTTGATTGTGCCTATGGGCAGGAATGGCAGCCTGGAGTGTAGCATATTCCTTCCTGAGAACCCGCAACTCAGACCGCACATTGGTGTACGCTTGTTGTGCTACTTTGAGAGCCTGTCAAATCAAGTGCACGAGTGAAAAGAGCGTAAGTACACTTACCTTACGAACTTCATGCATAGGTGCATCTGGCTGAGGAACTGCCAATATCATCCTCAGGCTCCTAAGATCGTTCCCTGTGTCAGAATCAGAGTCGCGCTCATCATTGTTAGACTCAGAGTCTGTGTCCTCTGCAGCATCAAGTGCCGCCATGAAATCATCGGAGTCTTCAGCTGGAGGCATGACTGTGGAATTGAGATACGAGCAAGGCTGAGTGAAGGAGAAAGTCAGATAAGACACAACACTTGCCTGAATCCTACGGTATATAAGGTAAAGGCCACCCAGCGCAGGTGTCGATGGGGCATGGTGGTCAGTTGTGTTGCAATGTGACTCTGCAGTGTATCTAGTTCAGCCTTGGCGATGTTGAGATGTAATTAAACCTGCAGGTAGTTTAGTAATACTGTCTATGCCGATGACCAACTTGAATAAAATTTAAACTCACCCTGATATTGGTGGGGTTTGGAATTGATAATTAGTAAAAACACTGTTACAAATATGTTGTCAGTAATATAGCTTAAGAAGGACAGTACTTTGAGTGGAAGGCATGAATTTGTTTATTACGTGCTATGCACATGGTAGGAGAACATTGAGAGCAAGAAAGAAGTTGAAGTGATGGCTTCCAGGTAGTGGTGATTACTGATAGTGTGCCCGCGTCTTCATGCACATAAACATATCACTGTCGATATGGTCGATGACAATGAATTCACCTTGATGTGTAGGATCGGGGTATAACATAGCACCGTGGATGAAAGAACGAAGTGGAATGAATATCAAACTTTCCCTTGGGACAGCTTTGATGCGAGTGAGCTGGAAATCACGATCTATCCGGCGAGGAGCCCCAATGACGCCAGCAGTCAATGGCTGAACTAGCGCCAACTCAAAGGAACTGACATCGGGTAGTTGACATTTGAACATTAGAATGAGCTGAATGAAAACAGATATGTCCTGCGTGAGCTGGATAAGCGCACAATCATAGTGCAGGTGCCCATGGAAGTGTGGGTTGCATCGAAGGTAGTTGGTTGTTTGTCGCCAGTCAACAACTGACTTGTAGTTCACCCTAAGATACTGATGTTCTTGAATCTGAAACGTGTAAATCAGTGTGAGACAACGAGTGAAACAATATCAATGCACCTGAAAATTGGCTGGTATAGTAACCCATCCTTACAGTTGGTATCTGTACCCAGGCAATGAAGTATTGATGAAATAAGAAAACTTGCGATGAAAGCCTCGAAACATGTGATTCCCTTGGCTGTGACTATTCTCGATGTCCTGGATTGATACAGGTGGCTGTGGTGAACCCAGCTTGACATGTCCCTCAAAAATGTTGGGTCTTGCTTCAGCTTCAGCTTCATCATCTGGCAAACTGCACTGTTCATCAAGTGTGCCCACATGCAGTCTCAACAGTTTGACTGCATATTTGTGCTGGTTGATATGCGGTATCTATGAAAATGATTCAGATATTAGTCCCTGCGTGAGTGATACATATAAGGCATCACAGAATGAAAACACACCTGGTCAGTGACATTCTTACCATTTGACTGGCGCTCATAGGCCTCTTTCAGCGTGCCATGAGGCTTTTCATTCAGATATGTGCTGTAATTGCACACTGCGCCCTTCATTTGGATGTCTCGGGTCACATGCTTCCAAAGGTGTGTTTTCAGAAAGTCCCAATTGAATTTTAGATCCTCGATCGGGGACATCAAAGCGCATTCAACATAGTCCTAGAATGGGTGATTTAAGATGTGATTATTGGTGTGATCGAAAAGCTTACCTTAAGCGCAGCATTGAAAACAAGTAGTTTGGCATCGAGCGCTGCCAGTGTGCTTGTTGTATGCACATTGAGACCAATGTTGCTATCCAATTGCAGATAGCTACCGATGAGACAAAGGAGCTGAAACCCTTCTGGGCTAGCCCTGTGGGTCAATATGTTCAATGCTGAATAAAAGGTTTGCTGTTGGTCAGTCATTAGTATAGAGGTTGAAATTATAAGTCCAAAGTCTCGCAATACCAACTTTAGATAGGTCTTGCATCTTGTTGCCATCGCTGAATGTGATGTGGATGATGGTTTCCACATGCCCAGATAAAGGGCATGTAGGCGGTCAAAGCTAATGGCTTCGTGAGGGTTGGAGTAGGCAATGAGCCAGAAGATATTCTAGTGAGAGATAAATAACAATCAGTATTTGTATTAGAAAGTATATGAAGAATAAAAAAGAAAGACAGAAAGAAAGGGTGTGCATGGGTAGGACCTGAGGAAAGGGCGGCATAATAGAGTTGCCAGCAAGCCCAAGTGTGCGAATGTGACATTGTGGTTGGTGGCCAAACTCGTCCTGCAATTGTGCAGCTGCAGCATACCGATCAAACAAATAGATGAGAGAAGCCAAAGAGGGCTGGTAACCATACCAGGTGCAGTGGCGCTTGTAGGGAGAAATGAGATATGAGGGGGGGGGGGGGGGGGGGGGAAACTGAGGAAATGGTGGTATAATTGGGTTGCCAGTGCGAATGTGATGTTGTGGCTGGTCATCCTGCGATAGTGGCCTGATACTGAGCAGCATACTGATCAAATGAATAGACGAGAGATGTCACAGAGGGCTAGGTGCAGTGGTGCTTGTAGGGAGTAATGAGATATGAAGGAGGGGGGGAAACTGAGGAAAGGGTGGTATAATAGGGTTGCCAGTGCGAATGTGGCATTGTGGTTGGTGGCCAGACTCATCCTGCGATCATGGCCTGATACCATGCAACATACTGTAACCGATCAAACGAATAGATGAGAGATGCCACAGAGGGCTGGTTAACCATGCCAGGTACAGCGGTGCTTGTAGGGAGTAATGAGATGTGAAGAGGGGGGGGGGGGGAAGAAACTGAGGAAAGGGTTTAATGGGGTTGCCAGCAAGCCCCAGTGTCCAAATGTGACACAGTAGTTAGTGGCCAGCTCCAGACTCGTCCACCCAATGAGTGAGCAGTGGCGCGAACCATTAGAATTGAGCTGAGTGAAACATGGAGAGGGGAGACAAGACAATAACTGAAATTGTAGCTTATCACAACAGCACATAATCCTAACACCTTGAGTAGTGCTTCACCCCAACCTTTGCTGATCTTGTAAATGTTGAGTGCTTTGATCACATCTTGCATTGATCTGAGCGCAAATGTCTTGGACAGATCGTGAAGCTCCTCAAGTGGCATGATGCACACAGGGCAAGAACATTTGCAATTTTGACTGCGGATAAGTGACATCATACATCTATGAATAAACTATCAGACCAGGCTCATGTATATTAGTACAGAGAACTTTAAAAGATACTGCTCTTTATAATCAGCAGAAAGGATCAGCAGAATGGGAAAAAGCCAGTGTGTAATCTTATCAAAGCATTGATGTGAATAACCAGTCTTCGAGTAATGCGCAACTATTTCCAAGAGTTTCTGGAATGACTTGTGCCATACAACATGCTTGAAGTTTACAAACCCCGGTTTGCCTTCCTCATCTGCATCTTTAGAGACCTGCAATCATTCCATCAGATTCACAATAGTAGTAACTAAAGTTTCGTAAGTGTTGATGTACGATGGGCAACCACCCTACAACACGACCACCACTGATGCCATCACTGTTCTGTATGGCTACCGGCAAGTTCACACATCGCACTACGACAGGATATGCCTTGACTGTGCCATGGGATGACAGTCTCGTTTTGTCTGCATACAAGATGAAACAAAATGGGGCCGCTTTGAGACCATGTGGAAGGCAAGACTGATATAATGATAGAAGGAAGAAAACTGATGTCAGTGCATGCAGCAGACCAGCAATACAGATTCAGATACAAAGTAAATTTACGTACTTGGACATCTCACCATTGATCACCTGTCCAGGGCTCATTGTAGAAACGCTCAAACTCTGTTCCATTATGCTTGTACACACATTGTGCATCCCACACAAAATGCGGAGCGAGCACTGGGGTATCTGGTAAATCGAGAGCCCACTCCCAAAGAGGGAGTGCGTGGGTCTCATACATTTGTTCTTCTCATTTATATGGGACAGTGATGGTGTGTTTTGTAAACTAGACATATTTATAATATCTTTTGTCAGATTTATTAGTGACCTACCGGTGTCACCTGATCAGTCACATGTTCCCAAGCCTTGCAGAGATCAGCATCATTCTTGAGCATCATCTGGGTCTCCCCTCTCGAGATGCAACTAATGAGAGCAAGGAGCCCATTGATCTGGGACTTGTTGAGTGCAGCATCCAGTGCGATTTCAGCGAACTCAAAATTGCCATGTGAAACGAAAGGACGCCAAGGCTCTTCATTAATGGGAAGCTGTTCTTCAGGATGGGTGTTAATGCCAAATTCATTGAATGCTTGATGGAGAGGCTCGCAATCAGCAGAAGGGTGGTATTCTGTTTTGAATTCCAGGGGCCGTTGAGCAGATATTGCAGGCAGAGGTTTGACAGAGCCTAATCGGCTATTAACTATGCGGAAAGATAAATCAGTTAACATAAATAAATAAATAAATAAATACCATGCTGACCTGGGCTATCGCCAATGGCACCCCCGAAGTTGATATTGCCCAAAGTTTCGAAATCAAGCGGAGGGTCTGAATCGACTACGATAATTGATGTTAGATTCAGAGATGCATGGGAACAAAAGTCAAAAGTCAGAAACACACCTGAAGGAACGATCAGTTCCTGATCTCCACTTGTGGAGGGAACATTAATATTGTTGATCAATCGAGATGACGGGCCAGCACTGGGATGCCTGATTCCCATATATGCCTGCCGGTGAGCTATTAGAACCTCTAATTGTCAGTGAAAATAAAAATTGAGTAGGAGAGAACTCACCTCTCCTTTGATCTTGCTCGTGTTCAAGAGCAAAGGCCTCTTGTTCCTTCTCAATGTCCATGTGCTTCTTGCAGCTGGTTTCATGCTTTTTGAAGCCCTGTGTCTAGAGTTTAAAAGTCCGGTTGGGTCCGGTCTTTTGCCTTATTTGGAGGCAACCGGACCAGGACCGGTTGCCTGATTCCCACAATATCAGGCAACCTTGGACTGGACCTCAAAAGACCGATATTTTCAGTCTCTTGCAGTCCTACAACCGGTTATACTCCTTCCCACGATTCCAACGGTCTAATTTTTGTAGTAAACGGTTAAGATCTGAGCAAGATATGAGCATTATAAAAAGGGTTCCCAAACTCCGCCCTGCATGTGAGTCAAATATGAAATGTCATTACTATGCTTAAGTTTCTTGACGAAATATGTGCTGCTAGTCAAGGCAATTGTATAGCTAGTCTTAACTTTTCAATAGGGTAAGATATAAGATTGATATAAGCTTAACAAAAAATCGTTATCAGGCTTGTCTTTGAAAAATAAAAGTTGTTATAAGGCTTAGGTGTCTTGACGAAATATGTGCTGCTAGTCAAGGCAACACTATAGCTAGTCTTATCTTGTCAATAGAGTAAGATATAAGCAAGATATAAGCTTGGCAAAAAATCGTTATCAGGCTCGTCTTTGAAAAATAAAAGTTGTTGTAAGGCTTAGGTGTCTCAATGGTAATTGTAGTCCTAGTCTAGGCAAGTCTATAGCTACTCATATCTTGTCAAGCACTCAAGTTTTGGGTACATTATGAGCCAATCGGTGATTTTGACTGATTTTGACTTGCCGTTCTAACACGTCTGATCTTTGTGCTAGTCTTGGAGCATGATAATCATCAAGAGTTATCTAAATTTGATGTTCCATACCATTTTTGAGGTCTACGAACACACTGGTAAAGGTTTTTAAGCTTGGAAATCAATCCCTGGTTCAGTGCCAACAAGCCTAAAAACATGCCCCACAGATTTATACGAGCCATTCTTAAAATGCTTGTAACTTTCCCAAATCTCAACCAATTTTGAAGATCAGACCACCAATAGAATCGCCTAAATGAGTACTACCCATATATAGGCAACCGGTCCCACAATGGACCGGTTGAGACCGGTTTTTTACCGGTCTTTCATTTTTTGCAAAGTTAGGCAACTGCAACTGGACTTTCCTGGATCTGAGGCAACTGGCAACTGAGGTCCGGTCTTTTTCGGTCCGGTTTCAGTCCGGTTGCAGTCTTTTTTTTGGTCCTGCAACCAGACTTTAAAACACTACCTGTGTCTGAAAATTTTTGTTGCAGTGTGGGCATTCATCAGCAAAAACTCGTATGACTACTTATGACTACAGGGTGCTATATAGTCGCTGTAGTACCTGTAGTGATATGTGTCAAGTTCCGCCTATATGCAGCTATATAGCCACGTGCCATGCTATATAGCGCTATAGTAGCCACCTGTAGCTGGTCGTAGCACGCTACAGGCTGCTACAGGGTGCAATGGCACGGTACTGTAGTTGGCTTTTACGAGCTACACACTACTACATTACATAGATGAAAATCTATGGTATTTAGTGGCAAAAACGACAAGAAAAAAAATTAGCATCTTATTGGTATACATGAAATAACAGCACGAATTGCAACTATGCTAAATATATCTAGTCCTCGTCCACAAAGTCAAGCTCCAATAGTGTGCAAGTGCTTTATGCACACTAGCCAGACCAGCGCCAGTATTTCAACTTCCTGGATGGAGGGTGAGAATCAAAGTAATTCACACGTGTAAAGACTCACTGTTTACCACTGTCGAGAAGAGCGCCAGTGATACTGAGATTGCCGAGGTATGCTTGAAATCACGAATCTTGATGTTGGGTGTAGAAGGAATGGACCTGGACCACAAACAGTTTGTTAACAGCAGGCTTAGTGTTGATGAGCAATGTCTCAACTCTATGCAGGATTAATAACTCACATTCTGTCGGTCAGCGATACTCGAGCTTGATGGAGGATCAAATACTCATGTTCTGTCAATGAATTAGCCGTCGACGGAGGACAATGAATACATCTTCGGTCAGCAAGGCTTGACATGTCCGCTGCGACGTGGTACAAGTTCAGGTTGTTGTTTTACTCTGAGTTTGAAATATTTGCGACTTGAACTTCAACATCACATGACCTGTGGGAATTAAATTTCGCCTTCGATTTCAACAAGTTCCTCCCGGCAGACTGTAACCAGTTCTGAAGGATGCCAATACTACATTTGTAGTTCTCGCCACCTGTGGTAGTGCTGCCGCGTCCGGTTCTCTGGCAAATTCTCTGAACGCCAAACCAAACCACAGCCCTGTTCTCCCTCCCTAGGGATCTGCACGGGTGGGTAACCTGTACCTTCAAAGATCGACAAGTCGAACGTGCGTGAAATTTCCTTGTTGGCGGTTCGACTTTTATCCCCCGTATCGTCAGGCTCATGCCTGACTTCTTCAATGTCAAGGAGCCCACCTAGAGCATCAACCCTGAACGCGCCGTTCAAGCCGCCATCCTTTCCATTGGTGACACTTCCGAGAAGACACAGGACCTCGTGCTTCTCGATGTCGCTTGGTATTGGGACCGCTGAGATTGATGTCACCTTCGACATCGACGCCAACGGTATCCTGAACGTGTCTGCTGAGTGGATCGAGAAGCTCGCTGACAGATTTGATGCTCCACCCTTTCGCACCTAAGTCACCTGCCCTGTCTTATTATGTAGACCTAAGTGATTAAACGAGTTCATTGATAGCGAGATTTTTGGTGTCTGTCATAAATAGTCTGTAGATGGTAGTGTTACGCAAGTGCAACCTGTAGCTGCCAGTTGTTACTTGTAGCACATGTGTACCCATAGCTGCACATGTGTACCCATAGCTGCATGTAGTGAAGCTTTGGGCTACATCAGGAAATTATGGTGTTCCTTATTGTTCCTTATTTGCTCCTTATTTGTCCTTATTCACCTTAATTCACACTTAAATCTTCCTTAGAATAAGGAGATCCATTGCCTTAAACTAAGGAGCTTTCCTCGAAACCTCCTTATTTTAATTTTAAAGGTGGTTTAAGGAGAATAAGGCAGTCGGAAAGTGTGAGGAGATCAAGAAAAATGATTACTTAATTTCACCACTTTATTTTCTGCCACTGACTCGGTTTGAACTCTCGACCATGCACTATCCAGCTGAGATCACCTGATTAGTTCACACAATTTTGAGCATCACTTACCACTAGACTAAATGACCTTGTATTTGTGAAGGCAGCAACTAATATATATGCCATATCTGTTGGACTTAGAATAAAATACGATACTTTATCGTCTAATACGATAGTCTACCATTAGGATTTTGATAAGGAGTGACTATGGTAGACCTTATGAATTTTTTCGAAGAAAATCAAAGTTATAGCCCTTGTCAAGGGTAGTCTTTCCATAGTCTCATGACATTTTTTGGTTAAGATCCTAATGAGTTATAAGCAAAATACTACAAAGTGGTGTGTTCAAGAAAGTTCAGGCACACAAGTAATATGACTGATGTTTGCTTATTAAGACTAAGAATACCAACAGGAATACCAATAGTAAAGAAAGACTTGATGAAAATTCGAGTTTTTGCTTATTAGGGACTAGGATTTTGATTAAGGACCATGATAAGGAATGACTAGGGTAGACCGTGGGAATCTTTCCGATGAAAATCAAAGTTGTAGCCCTTGTGAATGGTAGTCTTTCCATAGTCTCATGACATTTTTTAGTTAAGATCCTAATGAGTTATAAGCAAAATACTATGAAGTGGTGTGTTCAGGAAAGTTCAGGCACACAAGTAATATGACTGATGTTTCCTTAATTTTCCTTAACCAATTTGGACTTACTTAATTCTCCTTATTCTCCTTAGCCACCGACTTAATTCTACTTATTCTCCTTAGCCACCTTGGTAATTTTTTTAAGTAACTTAAGGAACAATAAGGAGCACCATGATTTGCTGATGCTAGTGTAGCGTGTGCCTGTTACAATAACATGCTTCGGACCGTACCCCCTATCTTTTCTCCTATCTTGTACTGCCTTATGACGTCCTATCATCTTCTTGTACAGCATCCTTGATCGCCGTCTTATCTCTTATCCCTTATCTTGTACCCTGTACCCTTACCATTGCCCTGGTAGTCCTGCCCTGAAGTAACCTTTACCTATAAAGTAGTCGATCACCTTGTCTTGTATTCTCTAACTTGAATCTACTCAGTATTCTGATAGACCTTCCTTGAGCAGGATCGCTCTCGTATTACTTCTTCACTTAAGACTCTTTGTCTTAAGTGTCTGATACTCGATCGATATCACTAGCCTTGTCTTTACTTGACGACTCTTGTCACCAAGTATTGACACCAACGACGATACACGAACCTTCGCATTATCTTTGTCTCTGTTTAGACTTAGTACGAAGCTCTTACCTGAGTCTACGCTTTCAGCGTAACAGTGCCTATATAGCGCTACAGTGACTATGAGTGCCTACACCAAGCTATATAGCTGCCACCAGGGCTATGGCAATATGGTTTTTTTCCTGATGTTGATGCTGCTGTGTGAGAGTTTGTACTGAGTGATTGTACTTTGACCTAGAAGTGCGAGAGGGCCCCATAACAATGTGATGGTATGATTCAAATCAATAAGATTGCGAGCAGCATTGTATTATGTGTATACAAGGTAGAGTTTATCATTACATAGGTGTTGCACTCTTGGGCGCTGTCCAGTTCTGTACAGTTCTGTACAGCGCATATTAGTTTACTGATGTTGAATTCAAGTCTTTCACTACTACAGTGTACGAAGCACTTTTCCAGCCTCTCGGAGTAGCCCGAACTTGAAAATGTATCTAGTCCTCGAGATTTGACCGCTTTGTACCGTAGAGTAGCGCAAATACAATCTTTTTACTTGTAGATTAAGGCTATCTCATTAGAATTTTGAAAATCAAGGTGTTGAAAAATTTTCCAACGAAATTTGAAACATGTTGCAAGAAATGGTATTACCGGGTAACTGAGCAGGTATACAATAGCAAGTATGAATCAGATGATCTACAGAAGCCGTCTGCTCGCAATTTGAGCATCCAGCGCGGTCAAAATATCCGTTGCAAGCCCAACACGACGGTGGGAGCGGTACTTCTTAACCGCGAAGGCTGCTTGTTGCGCGTCGAGTCCTTTACTGTTCAAACTTCAGCGTTGCACGATCACTCGACAGTAAACATACCGGTAAGCATCCATATAACGCCAAGCTTTGCGGAAAAAACGGCGAATGGTCAAAACATCGCACATGTCGAGACATTGCGGAACCAGTGTTTTCACGGTCGAGAATTTGCCATCAGCGACAATTCGATAGCCTGTGCCACGCGGGAATATCAATCAATCAAAATTGCAGCGGAAAACAAGAAGAAAACTTACGGTACTTGGCATATCCCCAAAGCATCTCAATGGGGTTGAGTTCGCAATGGAACTTCGGAAGAAACAGGCAAACGTGGCCACGGCTCTCGATGTAATGCTGGATGTAATGCTGGATGAGTGGCTTTTCGTTGACGAAATCATCTTGAAGTGAGAGCACACGGTACATGCAGCACCAATTGTCGTTCAAGTCTGTTTCTGGCTCGTCCTCCTCTGCCTGCAGCTCGCCTGTTTCGGGTGCTTCTTGTCCGAGTGCCTCCGCTAATGCGAGTCTCCGTTCTGCGTCCCTTTTTACCTGTGACTTCTGGCAGCGCTGACACTTCCCAACCACCTTCCCTTTGTGCCATTCCATCAGCGTGTCCCAAACAGATTGCCGTTCTTGAAGAACAGCTTTCATTCCCTTTGGTTTCCCAGCCAACTCGGGGTTGGGGTGTGTTGCCAGGTATACCATTTGTTGTGGCATTCCACGTGTGTCCGGTTGACCAGGTTTCGGAGGTGGATTGTTGAGGGGGATGATGGTATCACGTAGGTGGCTTTGCTTACCGCCACCTTTCATGTTCATGTTGTTCACGTTCAGTGCATTTGCAGCGAGACCTTCATGGGCAGAAGAGCAGTCGAAAACGAACACAGCAACCTTGTTCGGGTGCAAGAACTCGAAAATGTTGATGGCATCAACCATTTGGGTCTGAAGCTGAGGAAGATCCCAATTTGCGTCGTGGTTTTTTCCTGGATAGATAATTTTTCGGGCATCTGTGACCTTGAGTTGTTGTTCCGTCAGAAGAGTAGCCTGTTGTGCGAGTTGTTCTTTTGATAAAGCGAGTCGGCCCGTTGTTTCGCAAATGAAATCGGAAACATGGATCGCGCGACCATTCCCCTTCCTTTTCAAAGGCTGCTCATCACCGCAAAGCCAAGAGCGACGTTGGTGTTCATTTGTATGAAAAATTGACTCATCCTGGGTAACGAGGACATGCTCTTGCTCATCAGGGGTGAGGGATGGTGGGATGGGTACGAGAGTTTCATTGTCGTATTTGGCCATCAATCTGGCACAAGACATAGTTCAAGTAAGTGGCACGTACGACAGTCAGATCATGTTCAGTTACCTTTCGTAACTGGCGATCTTCTCAAGGAATATTTTCCGTGCCTCCACAACATCATCGCGTTCATGTCCATCATGGTATATGCCTTTCCGGACACTCTTGCAAGTGTATCCAAGTTTCTTCAGCCAGGTTTCCGCAGTACGTTCACTGATGTGGCTGTTCGGACCGGTTAAGCCAAGTGTGGGTGCAATGACTTCGTTAACATGACGGCACATGGCACTTGGCGTGATGGTGCCGAGCTTCTGCATGGCAAGATACCTCCGCACGTTGTGAACGACTGCCTCATTATCCAACAATGTGTATTGTCCACGGTGATTAAGTTTCTTTGACGGAGGAAGGCAGTGATGTCGCAGAAGGTAGAGCTCATTCCTGCGAATTTGACGTGCAAAATTTCCTCCCTCTCGTGCTCCAGTGCCCTTCTTTCCCTTACCCATCCGTCGTGCAATTGCAAGACTTGCACTCAAACACGGAGTTTTACACTTTGGATGACAGCGATACTGCGCTCGCAGTTTGACATATTGTGTCACTGCGGTAAGTTGAGTAATTATCTTCAGTGATTTCTTTGTTCGCAGGTTTTTAACCATCCGAAGGCAGGCATCCACGATCTTGAAAATGTCGGTATCGGGCGCAGTTTCAACATCATCTTGATCATCCTTTAGCCACTCTTGGGCCCCAGGCGCCAGTGGACTCTCGTGATAAACATCATTTGTGTCTTCTGATCCAAATGTCAGATCTGAATTTTCCATTTCCAGCTCATCGCCGTCATGAATGGCCTTAGCGTGGAATCAGCCTAATTAAAGCAGCAATATCAATTCATCGCTTACCTCAAGGTATTCATCTGGATCGAATTCTTCATTCCACGGTATAGATGTGATGTCATTCAGCTCGTCTTGGAGTAACGAAGCGCTGTGTTCCATCAGGTCAAAACCCATTTCCAAAGAATATTCAAGTGCTGGATCCTGCTGTATAGGCTCCACTTCCTCAGCGATGAACTGCTCCTTTTTGGACATGAGAGTCATATCTCTCTAATTAACTCGATGTAAGTCTCAGCAGTCATTTACGGTATGTCCGAACCTTCACAAAAAATGTGTCTATTGTCTTTGCTCCGCTAGCTGCTCGGTCCCATAAAGACTTCTTCCTCCATTGAGATGTCCGAGAGTTTCCCCGGTAAACAGCTGGCCTATTTATGGTTTTCTGCTTCTTTTGCTGTATGCCAGGCTTGATGGTAAGCATGGTTGAATTCCGTAGGTGTTCAGAGACATTCACCCGTGGTTCGCCATCAAACCCATCTTCCCCAGTTAAATTACTGCCCTTGGCTTGAAGATTTGCAGGTAAAAACATGCCATAGAGGTTCTGTACGGCAACAATGAACCCAGGTGTGTCATCTGCTTCAATCTCGCTCTCCCCACTAGAGCCCTCGTACTCCGAGTCTGACCCCTCTTCTGGTTGAGGTGATGGCAAAGAGCTAAATATAGGACAGTCGGCTCGTTGCTTCTTTGCTCGAGCAGCTTTCTTTGTCACAGGAGGCATATGAACGGTCTGGGGGAGATGAACAGGGTCTAGGGAGCATGGGGTAATTTTTTTTTCCGACGGGAAAATTTGAAACAAAATGGGAAATTTCGAAAAATTGCTTATTTTTGCTTGTTTCCTTACAGAATTTTCATTGGACATCGAAATTTGTACTATAGAGGTCCCTACGGAGATGGTATCCTAGTGCTTCGTACACTGCAGTACTGTCCGCACTGTGAGCTACTGTGCAAAACAATTGTCTGTGGGGAAATTTGACTAGCTAAAGATTCAAATTACTACAGACTTCAGTGTTTTCCGCTGGCAACTGGCTAGTTCTGTCTGTGATTGGAAGATTGTGCAAAGTATGTGTCTGTGTATCTATGTCCATTGTGGCGTCTGTCCGCACTGTGAGCTACTGTGCGAAAAAGTCTAAAATAGTAATGTCTGTGGGGAAATTTCTAGTTTGCTGATGCGAGCTGCACGCGCGTCCCCACCCATGGCGCCTTAGATTGATTCAACTTGGATAAACAAGTTTAACCCCGATTAATCCCGATGATCCCCCCTACAGCACTGAACAACCATGGACCGGGCAGGTGCAGGACTGTGTCCGAACCTGACTCATGTACCATTTCGTTACCAACGGCATCACCTCCCTCAGTTGACAGTCATCCCTCGTGCACAGAGTTAAGTGTATGTCGCATCCATGCCTACTTTACCGGACGTCTCCTCCGGCGCTCTTCGCTCTCTTGTTGTTTGCCAGTGGCTCGAAATCCAGACTTTCTGCCCGACCTACCTCCTGCAAACGCCGCAGAGCTTGCTTATGCTTCAACCTCCCTAATCCTCTCTTGGTCATGCCCCCGTCATTTGATCTTCCATCTGCGGTTGTGGCATCATCGACAACCACCTCAGACAAGAACTGGGTCCTGTCCTCATCCTCTGCTTCGACATTTTTTGGAAGTGCCAAGAGATCTGAGTACAAGTCCAGGGCTTTGAGATCAGCTTGAGCAGCTAAGATTCTCGTTATAGTTGAGTCTACAGTAGAAATGATACAAAGATTTACCGGGCAGGGTGCAGGAGTTAAGTGCCAAGGCCAATGGCGAAGGATGGCTTGCAGGGAACTGGTAAGAATAGCACTGTGAGTAGCCAGCCAATTGGGTAAAGGAGAAAGTAGGTAACATTGTCTGGTGTCCACCTTCGTACTTCGACCAAATTTGAGTCACTACCTTCACCTTTACTACTCCAGCTTCCTTGTGAAGACCAGTCAGCATCAAGTAAAACCCAAACAAACCCGTCGTCTTCCAGAGTGAAGTCAATGATAGGTTTATAAAATGGCTCGTGCTGTATACAAGGCTCAGAGTTGTCGTCCATCGAAAACCAGAAGATAGCAGTAGCTCTGTCGGATATCGTTAGCTGTCAAAATATGCGATATACAACACTTACCCGACTACACTGAACACGATTCTTGGCGCTAGTGAGGGTATAGATGCCACCCTGTGCACCACAAACACGGCCTCGCTTTGCTCTGTCGACGCTTCTCCGGGTCGTCCTTCAGGTATTGTAGATTTTTGGCTTTCTTCCGCGTCCCCGTCGTCAGCACTTTGTTTTTCTTGGCGTTTCCCTTTACTTTTTCTTCGTCCTCTGTTTCCTTCGGTGGGCTCTATATCCTCGTCTTCATTCTTCCAATCCCTTTTCTTTTTAGGCGCGTTTACCGCAATGAAGGGTTGAACGGCAGAAAAGACATCAATATTACGTAGTAGTTTCCCGCTCATCCAATCCCATAGTTTCAAGACGGAATCTCCGCCACCAGATATGAGCGTCTCTGGAGAGAATGAAGGAATATGAATTGCAGAAACGTATCTGAATCGTGTGGTATTAGCGTTCCCGGCTCAAGGAGAACTAGGCTTCGCACTTTTGGTGACCGAGGCAGTAGCTCTCGATCGTATATCCTTGTGGGTACCAGCTGACTCTGATATGTTCGTCCCTATCGGCGGTCACGATGTACTGCTCGTCGGCGGTCAGGAGAAATGAAGTCAGAAGAGAGGCGTGACCAAGAATGAGTTCCCCGCCAGAAGGATTTTCGTGAGATGCTAAAGCATCACGCGTATGTCCACTGGACGATCCATTTGACTCAGAGTGAGGGTACAGCTGATAACTAGGATATAACGAGTTATTGCGTGATGTTGCCCGATGTCAAACATTCCTACCGGAATATGTCACCGAACTTGTCTGCAACGAGTATGTCGTTGTTGTCCACAAAATTAATATATGTTGGCTTCTTCGGCAGCCCCCTGCGCTGCATTTAAAATAGCGAAAGGTTGGACCGTTAGATGTACGTACCTTGAACCGAGGAGTTTTAGACCATTAACTTCCCATGTCTTGAGCTTTTTGTCGTCCCCTGAAGTTGCGAGATACTTTCCGCAATTACTCAATGCGGCACAACGGATGGGCCCCGATGCGATTTGATCTTCCTCGCATCTCGCGGTAGAATGTAGGACATTGCCCGTGCTGAGCAGTAGTGAGTGTCGAAATACAAACAAGAAAGAAACCTGCTACTTAGTGTCAAGGACTTGTATGTGAGGTCCTGCGATGACGACGGATCGCTCTGATTGCCAAAATAAACGGGTGTAAGGGTATCGAGACATATCGAACGGTGAAGATTATCGGTCCAAGTAGGAGTATCCGAGTACCGACGGCGGCCCGACATGTACTTCAAATTTCTTCAACCATCACAGACTCCGACTCAACTACTAGCATCTTTCGTCTGCCTTACTGAAGATTGCGACTGCTTTTGAAGGCGCCGTCGTTGCGAATTATGCGTACCGCGATTCCAATTACTTCTCGTCCCTTGGACCTAGTTTACTTCGCCTTTTTTCTGGTGCGTCAAGTCGCTAGATTCAGAGCTAGTAGCATTTTACACACTTGTCGGAAACAGGTTCATATACCCGCAACTCTGCTCATTGACCTGCAAGCCCTGTATCCTTCTTCGTTGACACCGAATTTCATACGCGCTCTCCCGCACTTCTATGTGCAAATGTCGAACGACCCGTTGATTGGAAGCGTCTTGGGCATGTTGGGAGATAGCAAGCCTTTCATTTGGTTCAAGACCTTCCTTGCAGTAGAAGCGTACGATTGTCTCCGACTAAATATTGTTCTACATCCTAAACCTCATCCACCTAGTCTCTTTCAACTCCCTGTCTTTGTGCTCGGAGCACGGGGCCTATGGCGAGGTGAGACACCCCGTTATATCTGCTTGGAACGTGAATATCTGATGAGCAATCAGATTCGCGATCCGTCTATGTGCTTCTCCTCATCTACGCCGCATCTACCACTACCACAACTTTACCGTGCCTGTCTGTCTTGCTGACGACACCTACAACCAGTGCGCAGACCATAACTGACAAAGTAGTCTCTGTAACGACATTTCAACGCTTCCTGCTGCTATCGAGCTACATTCCATTCTTTGTGATACCCTTCATTATGACGGTCGATATGGCTTCCCGGCTATCAAACCTGATCACGATGGGGATAGACGCCGCTGATGACAAGAAGTCGTCTTAATGCCATCATGATGCAGCCCTTTGAAGGTTTCCTTTCAAAACAGAACCTTGTGTATTCTCTTTCCACTGACTTCGGTCCACCGCTTGGTAAATTGACGTGTGAATTTAGAACAAGTGCAGATTTTATTTGAACTTGATACAGTGGTCATTGAGAGGTCCCCCGGTCATATGTCTTTTGCTCGTGAGCGGCCGCTTTCACCTGTCGAAAGTTGGGGAAAGCACTGTTCAAGACATAAGCATCGAATTCGTCGGTTCGAAGTCGTGGTAAGTACCCATGTCTGGACAATTGAATGACCGAAGCCGAGTTGCCGATGGAGTTGTGTGGCTTATTGCCTATACAGTTTATCGAATATTTCTCACGATCCATCGCCGTCTATACTCAAGATATCGGGAGTCTCGTCTAGCACTTCCCCTCGTCAAGACTTCTGCTCCTCGATATGGTGGGTGCTATCACTCCGAACCATGTTTTTATGTTAACAACCATAACCCACATTCCAGACCAAACGCACACGCAAAGTTGGTGTTACCGGAAAATATGGCACTGTGCGTATGCTATTCTGTTGCAGGAGGACAGCTATCTCAGATGTGTTCATTGTAGCGTTATGGGGCTTCCCTGCGTAAGCAGGTGAAAAAGGTGCGTTATTCGCTCCAAGATCATGCCGTCTGCTGACCTGCGATCTTCAGATGGAAATCACTCAACACGCTCGGTACACCTGCACCTTCTGCGGCAAGGTCAGTGAATGATCTAATGGGCGTATGTGCGCATCCATTCTCATTCCATCACAGGACTCCGTAAAGCGTACTGCTGTTGGTATCTGGCATTGCAACTCTTGCAAAAAGACGATCGCTGGCGGTGCATGGACAGTATCGACAACTGCAGCTGCTACCGTACGGAGGTGAGTCGTCCCCATTCACATTGTTGGATGTCGAGTCTGACTATTTACCTAGCACCGTCCGTCGTCTACGGGAGTTGACGGAGGCATAGATAAAATCTCATGGATTCTTTTGCCATGCTTTTCTCGCTTTGTTACATATTTCTCGATCCAATGACTATAAGCCTCATGATGCACATTTTATCACCCTCAAACATGGATGAGAGCTTTGCCTCAAATCATTTCTGAGGATTGTTGAATACCGTGGACTAATCAATCTTGTAAACGGAGTTCAATTGGGGAGTTGTTATTGAAGCTTGAAGCTTGAAGAATCAAGAAATTGTATACATGTGCCGAAGTGATATGTACATCAACAAAAAATGATAATGAGATCACGTCAATGGACCGTCGTCTGAACCATCTATTTCGTCGTTGGGGCTTAAGCCCTCTTCCTCACCACTGTCATCCCCTTCTTCGTCGTCATCATCATCATCGCTTTCTTCCTCACTTTCATTGAACATGAGAGAAATATACTCATCCCCGAGCCGGGCATCCTCGACTGGGACATGCTGTGAACTCAAAACATTGTCAGAGCTAGTATCAGAACCAGTAATGACAGCGGAAGAAGTCGCAGCAGCAACACCCGAGGTCAATGAGGCTGTTGGCACTGGAGGCTTGCGGTTGCGGTTGGCGCGAATGACATGCGGAAGCTTGCATCCCTTTGTCGAGCAGATTCCTTTCTCAGCAAAGTCTGGGCACTCTCTGACATGTTGCATCTCGCAGTCGAGGCCCTTGGCGCAGTAACCAAGTACTGCGAAGTCGCGACACACGCCGCGTCGTTGTCCCACACGGACGTGCGGGAAAGGGCAGTTTTCTCGAGTGCATCGTCCGTTGTTGGCAAAATGCACGCATAGAGGCGTCCGTTCAGGGGTCGGGTCGTGTGAGAGGTTACAGGTTTCAACAGTGCTGGAGCAGTTGCCATGCAAAAAGCTCCAGCAGATGGCGATCTTGTTGGGGTCATGCTGATACATGCAAGTTAGACCGCGGCTGCAGGCACCTATTGCAGCACGAGCGTTGGGTGAATATAAATTTAGCAACGATTCTGTGAAAACAGGAGGATGGCCACGCACCTGTAGTTGTGAACCGGGGGCAGGGTTTGTCAAGGTATTTCATGCGCTTGTTCCTACGTCTAGTGGATGTCATCAGGTTGAATCTGTAGCAGAAACTTGATCGGTGGACGGACTGTTGAGAACCTCGAGTATTATCGAGAGTCATGTTTCGGTTTCTTGGCCGACGTTGACGAGCCCGCGATGAGACCTTGGGCTTGTATGCACGGCCAGCCGGGACCATGTGCCCTGTGGTTGTCCTGGAAAAATCTACTTGCTGAGGAATTGGCCGAAGTGGAGCCTTGGGTGGAGCAGATGGTGGCTTGGGCACTGTAATCAAACGGCACGCGGTTACAAAAAATAGAACTGCCCCGCAACCAAATATTGATCAATAAAAACACTTACAATCCTTGCGCACGAGAGATCTCGTTGATGATTCGAAAGTCACGCCATCGATAACAACGTCACGGGTAGACGAGGCCTGAGGTGGATGGGGTAACCTTGTTGGTGGGCGAATATACTTTGTTGCTGGTTTCTGATATTCGGAGGGTCTATAAGATGCTGGCGGTTTGTACTTTGGATTGAAATATGCGTTGCTCCTGGGGGCTGAGAAGGATCCCTGTGTGGATTTATGTTGATTGATGGCGCCTAAGTGGCTTGTTAGATATGAAATCCGATATAACAGAGCAAGATGACCTGTTAGTCGAGCGATTTCTTCCTTGAGCGCTGTGTCCGATGTCGAAGCCATGATGAATGTCGAAGAAGAAGTGTGTGTTGTTGGTCAGCACCAAATGATGAATCACCAAACACCACAACAAACATAAGTACATACAGGAAGTTCAAAGAGCAACCCTTTAGATCTGGAGCACGACAATGACTCGATACAAAAGGCCTAAACAGCAATATTGCAAGGTGCCATTGCCGCGGAGGAGGTCTTTATTTTTCTTGGGCCTGTTCGCTGCTACCTTGTGGCTCTGGATACCCAAACGTTCTAAACTGGATACGTCGGACAATGTCAACGATGCTCTGCGCACGCCAATGAACTTTTCTACACCACCCATCGGAAACAACTCTTTAACAGCGGTGTTACCAATTCTTTCAAATTCTTTCGAAGCTCTCGAAGTTTTGTTGTCCCCGTTTCTCGTTCCTTCCGACACCATTCAAGAAGTCATCTTGATCTGTCCACAAATAATCCTTACAGATGCGCGGCGGGTACTCAAGAAGATCCTATCACACAGTGACACCGTTGACCACCCCAATCTTTCGCTGCTACCCTATGCGAGTTCTTCCTTCTACAATAGCACACTTATAAGTGCTGTGTCTCGAGTTAGAACGGAATGGGTTCTTGTTCTCGATAACCATGGTTTACAAGGCCTCGGCAGTGGACAGCGAGCTTATCTACTCAGTCCACTATTCATTTCCCTACCAGTCGGACCTCATGGCTTCCTCCGATTTCCCGCCAATGCTAGCCGTATACTTGCGATCAGCGATCTCGAGCCTGCTGATTACCTCATCCCTCCCTTCGTGGCACCGGCCCATCTTTTCCCTCGCATTTTTTCACATCTCGCCGATTCTGATCCTTGGGTAGCTTTTGGCGTGCACGTTGCGAAGACCCATCTGCAGATGATAGGAGGGTTGGTTCTTCCATCCGACATCAGCATCCTCAATTGTTGCGAACAAAATTCTCTCCTTTCGTCCATCGAAAATACTCAGGTAGAGCACAACCCAAAAGCGATTCTATCAGCGGACGACGACGATCGTACGCCGATACAGCCAGCATCAGCTTCTGGTCATCTCGTTCTGGTCGTTCCTCATTTAGAAGATCTCCATGCTTTCATGCCTGTTGCCTGCAGACTCCAAGCCGTTGGTCATACTGTTTTGGCCTTACTGTACCAGGCGTCATCAAGCGATGTCATGTATTGTTCTTCTGAAGACTGCGCTCTCCAGTGTTCAACGCTTTCTCACACCACTCCGACCTTCGATGCTTGGCTAGGGTCTCTGGATGCCTCGCCCGATGTTGTCTTCGCTTTGGATGTTCAAGATTTGTTGTCTATCACTCTCACCATTGTTCTTCTATACGAGCCCTACCGTAAAACCACGTTAATTCGATTGCCCCGAGCTGACATACCGTACTCCGATTGGATTGGCTCGCTCACCCTTCGTGAACTTCGCAGTCAGTTATGGGCATCATTTTTTAATATGATATTATCTAACTGGGAGCAGACTGGAACGTACCCGAAATCACCATTAGCGTCATAACCGATCATAGACCTTACTCTTTGCAACGGCTGCTGATGTCCTTGGCCCGTGCTCGGTACTTTGGAGAAAGAATCGGACTGCGTATAAATCTCGAACAAACTGCCGACCTCGAAACCTTGAGAGTCCTGCAAGACTTCGAATGGCGTCACGGCGACGTCTTTGTCCACTACAGGGTCATACATGGTGGTCTCCTCCCTGCCGTCGTCGAGTCATGGTACCCAAATTCCAACCACTCTTATGGTTTGCTATTAGAAGATGACATCGAGGTGTCTCCCTTGTTCTTTGCGTGGATCAAGATGACTGTCTTAAGATACCGGTAAGTTAACCACGAATTTCAGCAAAATTTCCCATGATCAACAAATTCCTTGGAGGTACGGTGAACCCGAAAACGTCTCGCCATCCGTATTTGGCATCAGTCTTTACCAGCAGAAAATGATAGAACTCAGACCAGAAGGCCGGAGATCATTCGACGCTAGGGCGCTTTTCACCACCGATGGCACCATGAACCCTAGTACACCTTATTTGTCCCAGATACCCTGCAGCTGGGGTGCGGTCTACTTCCCAGAGCATTGGCGCGAGTTTCACGACTACCTCTCCATCCGCCTCTCCGAGTACTCTATGAAGATACACGACATTGTCGTCCCCGACATCCGTTCCAACAGGTGGGTCAAGTCGTGGAAGAAATACTTCATCGAGCTCGTCTATCTTCGTGGCTATGTCATGCTCTATCCGAACTACGCCAACTTCACATCGCTGTCGACTAATCACCTCGAGATCGGCTCGCATGTCAAAGACCAGCCAGAGGATGAATACCTCCGCAAAAAAGCGTTGTTCATGCTTCCCTTGATGCCATTGACGCATGCCTCAGTGCCTTCTTCTCCCAGCCTGCTTGACTTGCCAGAACAGAAACTCCCTTCCTTACTTTCCTTGCCTGTTCTGGATCTCATGGGAGGTCTTTCCTCGGCATCAGACCTGTTGGAACGAGGCGCCAAGCGTCGGATGGAGCTTACTGGCTGTAGTGCTACTGTCTCTCTGACCTATGACGCCCGTGAGCTGATGTGTCTTCAGGAGTTCGCTTGATTATCGAGCATTCGGTAGTAATTATTCAATGCGACTTACACTGGTCTTTTCCATTGTCTGGCCACAAAATGAAAATCTATCCTGTAAAAACAATAGCTATGCAGTAATATCAAAGCGACGTTTCAACATAATATGCTGCAGCAAACACATAAATCGATTCAATCTAAGGTAATTAAGCAAACGAACAGCCCATTTTGCTTGCATGAGTGACAAGCCACGAGTAATTTTATCTTTCTAAGGACGCGAGTAATGATAGTGATACATGATGTTGTCCGAACCACAACCAGAATCATACTGATATTTGCGAACTGTCCAGCCCAAGCGCATGGAGGAAGAGATTGACATTAGCAAGCTTCGTCTGTCGCTCCTCCTCATCTGCTACCCAGCCCTTGCTGACACTTGTCACGATATCCAGTACTTTTTCGCGTAGGCTGGTGACGAGAATAGATTGTTGCTCGGGAGAGGCGTGAAGTGCCAGTGCGGCAAGGAATTGCCAAACGGGCTGGTCAAGGATGTCCGTGGGTGGGAGGGGAGCCGCTACGGGGAGGGGTTGGGCAACAAGACGAGTTGAGGGAAATAAGAGCACGAAATGGGGCATCAAAAGTTGGAATAGATGATCAAACATGGTTTGCCTGCGAACGATCCTATATTAGAGTAGACCGTTTTTTCCAAACTGCAAAATTGCATACCACTGTTGAGCTTCCGCAGGCGTTGGTATTTCTGAGGACTCTTGCGCGCTACTCATGCCCTGTTTGACAATCTCAACTCGGCTCAAGAACAACGTTAACATGGCGATGCCAGGCTGAGTACGATGGATAAGTAACTCCGTGCAAGGTGAGACAAAATGCTCGTACCCGAGTCTGAGCAGAGATCACAATGTTGGTGCGGTCCAAGAGTAATCCAAGCAGCCCAGTGATGACCCTCAGCTCAGCTTTCGCTACCACAGGCAAGATACTCTGTAGAACACTTCCCAGAAACGCTTGGGTCTGTCGCTCGACGTCCTGACGTTTGGGAGTTTCCTCCAGTGAGTCGAGAAGAGGGGCATGCTTGACAACATCAAGCTGAGAGAAGCAGGCGACCAAAAGCGTAAGTAGCGTGAGCATCCTAGGCGGCGCAATGTGACGGCTGAGCCGCGGCAGAATCTTTTTCCCCTTGACTGGCGTAAGTAGAGAGACAAATGGGTGGGGATCACTGAGATTATACATCAAAAAAAAACGAAACAGTTTTAAAGCATACCGTAACCCACCTCGTTTCAAGAGGCAACATGACCTTCAAATTCATCCATATTTGCTCGACAAGATCATTGTATGTCGTTGACCTGAAGAACTATCAGTGCTGTTTCCCGATAAGAAGTTGACGAAATACCATGCGACAAAAGTTTCCTCGTCTTCCTCGTCTTCCTCTAGAGGCTGATCTCGCCTGAGTTGCTCAATATTCAGGACAAGATCATAAAGCCCTTCCAACACAACAAGTATTTGGCGTTGGGTGAGTGGGTCCTTGCGCACCACGGCGTCGCTCTAGATACAACACATAAAACGTTAATGTTAGAACGCAGGCATTGAAACGCACTCCAGCAGCTTGTCCGAGCGCCTCGCGACCGAGTTTCGCAGCCTCTTGTGCGGCACCGTTTCCATCTTCTTTGGATATGTGAGGATGGGTACCGGACATAGTAGGAGTCGCTGAAGATGCATCGACCTGCAAAAGTTGTCGCGGTGCTGCCTTGTAACTACGGCCAGATGTTTTACCAAGAGCGCCCTGGAGACTGTGTAATGCTTTCGAAGCGCTGAGCACCAGAAAGATAGATAAAGCTCATGGAAGACGTACAGTGCAATCCCTTTTCCTTCTCCCTAAGCCGCGCGTTGTTGACGATGCGTTCGACCTGGGCTTCCATCTTTTGCATCGCACTCTGCCTTCTGCCACTGCCCTTTTGTGCCAGTCCGAGACCGACGCCGCCACTGGAGCCAAATTTGATCACGCGCTCATCCTGTGACTGGAGTCCTAATCGTGAACGAAGGATAGCACCATAAACCTGAGCGTAGAAGTCTTCGGCGTAGGGATCCTGTGTAACGAGCTGCGAGACTTGGATACGAGTAATAAAATCCTTATCAGATTGAGTCATCAGATCATTATAGCGAGACTGCAAATCATCATGAGCGTGAGTTAAGTGGGCGGATTTGAGGGCATCACCATGTGTGCGATCTTGGCAGCCTTGCGACGGCGCCTCTCCTCCATCCGCTCGGTTTCCATGATCTTACGCATGGCCTCAACCCGCAATGCTTCTTGTTCAGCCTGACTGATGCCCTGCATATCGCGCATAAACTCGACTTGCGCCATCTCTGACAAAAGCCTCTGTTGCAGCTGGATGCTCTGGGGCATGTATTGAGTGTTTTGCTGATTGAACAGTGCATACTGAGAGTCAGTGGCAGGAGAGTGCGTGCGACGTTGCGTGTCTGCGTAAGGAGACTGTCTGCGCGCCAGCAAATTCGGCTGCTGCTGCTGCAACTGGGATAGTTGCTGGGCGCGAAGCTGCCGTTCGAGTTCTTCCATGCGGAGGCGATCTTGAAGCTCCTTCAACCGCTCCTGCTGCTGACGTTCCTGTTCTTGTTGGAGGAGGAGTATTTGCTGCTGGTGTTGGTGCTGCTGATTGAAGCGAGGGGATGGCGCGAGATGAGAAACTACTCGCGGAGTAGACATTCGGGCTTGCTGTTGCAAGCGAAGCTGCTGTTCTTGCTCCACACGAGCTCGCATGCGGTCTGCAAGCAAATGTTCCTGTTGGAGCCTCTGATGGTCTTGCCGTTCAAGTTCTTGCATGCGGAACTCTTCTTGCCTACGTAACTCTTCTTGTCTGCGGAGTTCTTCCTCTCTTTGCAACTCTTGTTGCAGCTGGACTTGCAGAAGCATCTCTTCTTGCTGTTTGCGCTTCTGCTGAGCAGCCCGCATTTCAGCCTCAATCTCCTGTAGAGTACGAACGCCCGTTTGGGTGATACCGTGAGAGATGGGCTGTTGTTGACTGAGAGGCCGGTGGTCCGCGTATGCATTGAGCGCTGGGGACCTCGAAGGCGGGTACGGAGACTTCATCAAATTGGAGGGTGCACGCTGATGACCTGCAGCACGGCTTAGCATGGAGAACGGCGACTTGTCGTCCCATATTGACTCGAGGGATTTTGGAGCTGGAGAAAGCCCTGTGACGGAAAACGATGAGAACCGAAACAGATTGGGTGTATCTGAACACATACCTCGATCACGGGACTTCGACGCAGGTTCAATCACAGGTGTCCGCTCTCTGAAAGGCTCTGCAGCAGGAGTGAACCTGCCACGTGTACTTCCTATGGGCGTAGGGAGAGTTTGACTCGCAAAATCAAAGTCTTTGCCTGGTAGAGCAGACATTATTGTCACTCCTTTGCCCTTGCCAATGATGATTGCATCTCACCGACAGCACCTGTCGCACCAAAGGTCTCGTCGTTCAGTTCATCGCCGCCTTCAAGGAGTGCATCTCCTAGCCCGTCATAGCTCTCTTCACCCCAGGTGTAGACCGCAAGGTCCTCGGTTTCCTGGAGGCCTCCTTCCGAAAATTTCTTCTTTTCTTGTTCTAAATTGCTACTTTCGAACCCAAAGAAAGACATAAGAAAGAGAGGAGAACTCTCAGCGAGCTGATGAGTCTGATTGCGAAAGTTGGAATCAAGACTTACAAGCCCATCTCCCCGCAACAAACATGACCATACACGAGACTTACACCAGAACCGCCAAAATTCCCAACGTAAATTTGTGCGCTTCTCTAACGCTTCTCAGATCAGTGACAGTGTAAAGTTTGATGCGCTTCTTTTCAACTACAAATATTTCCTACAAAAAAAATTGTCAAACGTATTCTCGTAGTCATTTACATGACCCCATTCCATGAACCTCTTCCAAAAAGTCTAACAACGTGCTGGCGCTCCAGGCTTGAGTATTACATGAATCGGCACAATGCTGTCCATCTTTATTTGTCAGCTCGGGGATGCCTGCCCAAGGGTCACTCTGGATATGATGTTTAGGGGTGAGCAAAATCTTATGAAGATGGTGGAGGGTCTGAGTTGTATCCTGCAACCAGTGTCCGTTAGCTCGCATAGGTTGGGACCGTCTGTGAAAATCTGCACTGACCTCTTTGCCTGCACCAAATCGCGTGTCGAAGTAGAGGTAAGCGCGGAGGAAATATCCAAGCGGCCAACCCCACTCAGGGCCCTTCAGTGCAAGCACGCCACTTAGACACGTATTATGACACAATGCATCACTCAAACTTACATTATGATAGTTCAGTCCCTTTGCAACAGACCGGTCCGTAGTGTCATTAGAGTTGTCATATTGAGACCGATATTGCATGTCACTGGGGTCCAAGGTTTTCATGCCAAGCGGGCTTCGTAAGATGTTGTCAGCGAGGCGGAGTGCATGCAAAGCATGTTGAGCATCGAACAGCTCTGGCGCTACAGTCATAGCGATCGGGAAATTTGGTCTGAACTGGTAATCGGACCATTCCCGGCCTGAACCAGAACCGTACACATCCTTGTAGATACCCCTTCTATTGATGATAGCAGGATTCACATCATAGCGCGAGTCATCGTCGACGTCTGTTTAAGAATAAGAATGCCGTATGACAACGAAAATGACAGTTTTACTCAGGGGAACATAATAACATCTTTCGAAGGACTCTTGTATGATGTCACTCCAAGCCTTGTAGGTGATAAAGGCATCCTGCCCATTAACTTCAATATAAATGAACATTTTAGTGCATTATATAACAAATCAGTAAAAAAAGTCTCACTCGTCGCTTCAACGCCCTTGTATGGGAAACTTCCAATGCTCGACAGCGTATCGAGCCATCGCAGCGTACTTTTCAGCAAACCGGTGATCTCAACCGGCGCGCCGTCTCTCGGTGTCCCGGGAATCCCCTTAGTGCCCGCCTTCTCAGATTCGCCCATCTTATCCATCCAAGTCCCACAATTGTGTTGATTCCCCCCGAAAATAAACCCCGTTTCCCAGTCGACTCGAATATCTATGTTGAAGCCCTCGTCCTTCATCTGCATGTCAATGTCGGGGCCAGCGTTATGCTCGCGGAATGCGATTCCACTTGCGTGACGCTGAAGTATTTCTTGGATGATCTCCGCAAGAGTGCTCGTGTATGCGTACGCGCGCGGATCATCCCATGCGACCCAGGTGTCATCTACAGGGAATCTACGCTTAACCGGCTCCGATAGGATCGACAGACCATCAGGCGCGCTGGCCACATAATCTTGAATGTTTTGTAACATCCACCACGGTGAATCCCTCGAATTATACCTAAGAAGGGCATCAGATAATGAAAACGAAAATGATTTCGTATCTTGATTCGTACCGTGGTTTCTTGACGGAGTCCAGCAAATTAGGGATCAGTCCATGCTTCAAAGTCGACGCAAAAGCGAGTATGTGTTTTCTGGCGTCCTCGAAATTGCCCGTGGTCAAAAACAGCCCCCTTAAAGAGATGAAGACGTCACGACCCCAACAACGTGCCCACCCTGTGGTGAAATGCGGCAGTCCAGCTGCCAGCGATGGGGTGGATTTGGCCGGATCAAGGGATGCGGATTGTACCCTTCCATGCATCTGAATGGCGCACATCGCGAGACTCTGCGTGAAATCGTGCCCTGCGGACACGAACTCAGAGCATTGTTCGATCGCTGCACGGCGAGCGGCTTTGTATGCAGTAGATATCAATATAGCGAAGTACTTTGGACGCAAATAAGAAGGAATAGAGGCTTTGATGCGCTCTATCCGCTCTTTGAACCACTGCGCCGGCTGCACAAGTTTCGGGAACTGAATTGTTTGCCTGGCGAGAATTTTTCAGCTACACCAGAGGCAAATAAGTAAATGAGCACCTACTTGTGCATTCTTGAACAAATGTAGTCGAGTGCCCAAAGCCCTTGCCTGATATTTTCGCACAGTGGATGTCCAAGATCGTTGTACCTCATGATGTGCCGAAGAGGATGCATCCATCCCTCCAGCCCACAATAAGTCAGCTTACCAAAGCCGGGAACATCATAGACACCAATATCGCCACTGGTTGCATCCCTTTCTTCAACATCCGCGCGATATAATACAACGTTCAAATCAACGAGGTCAAGGTCGCCAAAGGCTTTGTCTGCATCCGAGGCACAGAAGGTGTCCAACTCATCGTCCAGGTTTTGAACCTCAACTTCAAAAATGAGAATACTTCCGGGCGGGAAGTATTCTGGAACTGTAATCCTGCAGAACGGTGCATCATCATGCGATATCTGCGGGACGGAAATATCGGGCATTTCGACCAGCTTCCCAGGAAGCCCCCGGATTGTGTCAGAGTCATACGGCGTTTCGTATGACGAAAACTCTGTCGAAGCGCCATATACGAATCTAGCTCTGGTGCGCACCAAATCTACAGTGTTCACTATTCATCGAAAACTAGTTAGGGTGAGACGAATACATCATACTGTAGCACGTACCGATGCCGCGGTCTTTCGAGCCCTTTGAGAACGCAGTGTGGGCAATGAGCAGATAACCCTTCTGGGATGTTGGATGCATCCGCTGAACGAGAATATACTGTTTGAATTTGAGCATCCGCACGAAGCAAGCCCAATCATATACTTACATTGCCCTCTTGCCAGTAATGGCCCTCCTCGAACCCACCAAGAACCATTTCCCGATGCAAGCCATTGAGCAATCTTTTTGCCCTTCCAATGCCCGAGTTTTCGCCAAGTCGGGTTAGCTCATATTGCCGCTTCTCTTCAACCAAATTCAGTAGCTTCGGATACAGATCGTCAAAACCTTTCACCGAAGCAACTGCACAGTAACCAAATGTCACAATGCCAGCGACGGATAGTGCATGCTCGGCAGAACGCTTGTCAAGATAAGACTCGTTGTCATGCGTGAGATCGTACATGAGCGCATGAGGCACGGAGCCGTTTAGAGGGCTAATGATGCATGGACGCGTTGGTCCCTTTCCGAAGGGAGGATCGAGTTGTTCCAGGCTTTTCAAGCATGCGCTGTCCATAGATCCTATAAGGGGTACATCAATATCCACTACGCTCCACGATCACCTTTGCGACTCACCAAGCGGTTTTCCAAGCCCGAATCGATACATAACTCTCGAGAACTCCTTTGGATCCCAGGCATTACCTGCTTCCCTAACCAGACTGTTGATTCCTAACCTCTGCACGAATACCAGATCCATCTCCTCGCTGCCCGTAAAGAGCTCGGCACAAACGTAAAGATTTGGATTAATGACACGTGCCGCATCGAGCATTGCAACACCAACATGCGACGGCGTCGAGTGGCAATTATCGATACGAAAACCATCGAATGTGGCTGCGAGCATCTTCACGTATGACATTATATGTCCCCAAAGCCATGGATTATCAGTCGGCCCCGACCCGTATCGAAGCTTCACGCAATCACCCCATACAATGACCTCGCGCCGGAGGTAAGCCTTTGAGGGTGGGAGGGCAAAATTCTGAAGTGGGTCCGCATCCCATATCCAGCCGTTATTGGCGACGCTATATTTCACCGGGTCAAATGGACCAGGCGGCATTAAACGAGTGAAGTATGGCTCCACGAGAGGACAACTACTCCCAAAATTAGTGTGTGTATAGTCGAGATAGAGTTTCGTTGCTTACCTCGCTGAAATCTCACCAAGCTTTGGACCATTCTCCTCCAGCCGAGTATACTTCAGGCGACTCTTAACGTGATCTAGGGCAATTTTTGTGTCCTTTTCCCACTCCTCGTAGAGGGGAACATTGATCGCGTCAACCACGCGACCCCAAGTTTCCACCAGGGTATCGACATCGTATGCGATGTTTACACACGCTGCTTGGATAAGTCCTGCTGCCATCTCGCCGTCTGAGCGAGCGCCATAGCGTGAACCTAGTTCGTCGAGACCTGCAACAATAGATGAGGTCTTAACAACTTTGGCCAGTGCAATTATAGATTTTCCAGCCACGTCGGGGCCACTCCATGGTACAATTTTCCCATTCTTTATCGCACCTTTCACCACTTCTTTCTCCCGCTCAACATCAAGGACATAATACTGCCACATGTCGCGCGCCTTGATGGACTTGGCTAGTCCAGTCATGAGCACGTCAATATCTGCTTCGGATTGAACTTGTGTAGGGAGGCCCTTCGATGCAACAGATGAAGAAAATTCCAGGATCGCGGTATCGAGTTCCAAAGCGGGAGTAAGATGCGGGGTATTCGCTGGGCTGTACCCTGGCAATGTGTTAGACTGCGACTTCCAGTACCGTGTTCCTGCTACTTACCAGCCTCTGGGTGATCGACGAGCCAGGGGCTGTCGCTAGCAGTGTGATTTAACACGACATCTGTTAAGTTAAGTAGACCGTATTCTTCTTTTGCCACGCGCAGAATCTCCTCGACCTGAGCGTCGATAGTACCTGGGTCGACACTGCCCATAAAGATCGAGGGATCATAGCGTTTCTGGTCCTTGATGGAATATGGACTGTCACTCGAGCCCCGTTCTTGTAGTGGTGTCCAATGTAACATGGTATAACCACGATCGCCTGCCTCTGCGAAGTGTTCTCGCCAGTTGGAAATTGGGCCCATCCATTTCGAGACAACAGTGAGTATAGCCAGACCGTCAAGAGGTAAGTATACAGTTTCTGGTGAAAGAACTGCGCCGCCCTGAGCAGGAGTCAGTGGCTTCAGATCTGACGAAAGAATCGGGGATCGCGCTTTGGTGCGCAAGATTGGATCTATATTGAAGTAACCTTCTCTCCCTTTAGCACGTTCTCCAGGAACTTCACCGTCGTACTCGACCCAATACTTGAATGCTCCCGCATGAGAGATGGGCAAATCCACTTGAATAGGTTTCGAGAAGTTACTAGGAAGCCTATACGACGTCTAAAATCAGCATGTCTTGAATACGTATGCGAGACTCACTCGCGCTCAACAAATTTGTTCCGTTCGAACACGCCGCCATCCAAAGGAAAATTAGTCTTGAACACGCCATTCTTTGAAGCTGGTGTGCCTGCGTCAAGAGAGACACGCAAGATATATGGCGTATATGCTGGCGGAAGGCGGATATACTACGTAATTTCAACTTGGTTGCGATGGATTAGAGCGACACCAGTTGCACTCACAGATCGGTCTTTGTTGGGACCACCATCGGGATCCAATCTCAGCTCGTAGACGCATATCGGCCGCTCATCTGCGCTCCGTTCACTGAGAAAATATTCCTTTCCTTCATCTGCTGGTGTCTTTGGCGTCATTGGATCGCCATCGAGCGCTTGGACTCCGTGGAATGCGATGTTTGTACTTGAATCTGTCTGATTTAGATGTGGAAGAGATGGGACTTGATTCTGTGTCACTCTATCGAGTTCATCCGCTGCATTCGCCATAACACTGAGGGAGCTGGTAAGTAATACAAGGAATACGGTGGAAATGGCGCGGAGCGGAGCTTGATAGACCTAGTATATGATGTTTTCATGGCAAGTTGTGAGAGTGACGTCAAGACCTGGGCCCGGCCGCCAAAATGGGAAGGCTTCCCCTTGTTACACGACACACGATATTGATAATGTCTAGACCCTACTCTGTACTCTAGCTTCACAGCCGCGTTTCAAGTCGTTTCGATGTTCCAGAGAATCATTCTGAAGTATCTTCGTATCCCCCCAATGTCTCGAACAATCGCTCCAATCGTTCCATCTGGCCTCACAATGACAACTTTCAACTGTCCCTTCTTTGCCTTATATGCATCATAAGCATGCCCTCGCGTATCAATTACCACTCCATCGACTCCATAGCGATTTGAATCGCTTGATCCTTCTGGAAGTAACAGAAGAGAATGGAGGATGCCCCTTGGAAGCCTTTCCAATTCGGTCCGAATGGGCCCGGCCTGCATAGAATCATTGGCGAAGACGAGGGCTGTGTGACAATGCGATTTAAACACATCAAACAGCCTCAATTTTGGGTCGTGTAATGATCCAAGGGGTCGCAGTCCAGGCGCATCGGGTGCCCGATCGCCTGATCGTAGAGTCTCAGCTTTGAAGTCCCCATAAGGATTCGCTTCAACCTGTCCCGACTGATCTTCATCGAGGGTGATGCGGCTGCCTCTGTAGTTCACGCCGAGTTGAAAGTACTCGTGGCCCCGCTGCCAGCTTGTGCCTTGACATTCCCTGTCTGTTTCGATATTTTTGTCAAGCAGGAATGTCGTCAATTTCAACATCTCGGCGATTACGGGGAGGCGTTCTTCGGTGTAGGTTTCAAGCAAGGATGGGGGAGAGAATCCTTTAACCACGAGAGCAAGCTTCCATCCAAGGTTGAGCTAGAAACACAAAGTTCGTCAGAGTGGGCACAGACCGATGTATGGAACATACAGAATCCTGGACACTGGAGTTGGCTCCCTGTGAAGAATATCAGAACTCTCTTCAAAGCCAGCTAAGAACTTGGATGCACCTGTCCGCCAGTGGGGCTATGGACGCTGCGAGATAAAAAGGGTGATCAGCTGAATATGATAATGACAAAATGGCTACTGACTGTGCTGCATCTACGAATGGACGATATTAGTGGATTGGTGAAACCCGCGGTACCCATACGCACCTCCAACAATGAATACTCTTCCATCCCCAAACTTATTAGCCATCCGAATATTTGGTCTGCATCACAGTCGTTCAGATGTAAACTTGCTTTGAAAAAGAGCTCGTACCTAAACTCGGACACCCAGTGTACTCTCTCAAATGTCAGATCGTCCCTCTCTGTCACAGTTTGCATCCATTCGAAGAGGGCGTCATTGTCAGTAGCAAGTACTTTTGCGTTGATTCCTCGGCCACTTGCAAATAGTACAAATCCACCCTCGCCCAAGTCCTTCGTTGCTCGGAGGGCGACGCTATTGACTTTCATAGTCAGCAGGGCTAATAGTCTACAAGCACATGATGCTCACAGATCTGAGCCCATCGTTCCCCATATATGCCAATGCTAATAAACTCGGTCAGTAGTATCACAGTAATCCCAAAGATTCTCTTACATCCTCATCCAAACCCCCTACCTTAACGTCACCAACCAGCATCGCTGATTCATCTCGTGTCTCCCCTAAAAACGTTACTCCGAGGTTCTTTCGTACGACACCTAAGGGACAAACGTTAAGACATATCAGTACCATGAGCATGTTAATCACCCCTCGCGCCGTCCGCTCCAATTAGCCATTCTACATTTATAACCTCTTCGGGGTGGCCAGGATCAGAAACCTTTCCGATCCGTGCTTCAACATGTGTCGAGTACTGTTGGAAGGAACGGAGCTCGGTTCCGAGCTCCACAAAACAGGAGTACTTCGCAAGATGTTCTCGTAAATGTCCCTCCATGATATCTTGACCAAGAAAAGCGTAGTTAATCTGATAAACACTGAATCAACCCGTCATAATCGTTTATTAAAGCCAACTTACATATGGCCGTGAGGGTGTTGCCTCATAGGACGGAAACATGGGTAGGGTTTGCAATGGTTCCTTTCCTCCCACATGGTATGTCCGAAGCGGGAGGATTGGCTGCTTGTCCCTGCCAATCTCATTTACTCCAAGGAAATGGTACACTTCCATGCCACGAGGCTGCAACTTGTGATTGGAGGAAATTCAAAGCAAAGCGCAAAATTGACGCACTGCGATCCCTGCGCCCCGCTGTCCTTGTCTATGCTCGACATTTCTTTCGATAATTCTCACCGGTATACCATTTTGAAGGAGCGTCAAGGCAACAGTAAGACCAGAAAGACCGGCCCCAACCTCAAAGGTAGAGGATCAGCCAGGAGTACGTAAGATTCGCGAGCAAACTCACGACGAGGACTGGAGGCAAGCTGTCCATGCTGAAAGTCAATGACTCGATACGACGGGTCCTCCACTAGCTGTCCGATATCACAGGCTCACCATTTATATAGAGTTATCAGTCGGCGGGCGGCTCATCTCACGAGACCCTGTGAGAGGAAGCTGGAGGTGTTTGGTGAAATGAAAGATGCTGAAGGGAACGAGACGTTATAAAAAAGCACCTGCCCTGGCGACTACACACAATGACGACATGAGCCTTCTCCTACTGTCTCACCGGAAGAAACTTGAATTCCTTCCTTGCGCCAAAAAAAAACCGATGTCAGAAAGAATCACTAACGTCCAAATTCTAATAGATCCTTGATTACGAGTCCACTGTGAATACAACGAACGTATAAGCAGGAAGATGCCGCGGTGCTTCTGCTGAACGACGCAAATACAACGTAATGCTGGGGGAATAAAGCAGTAGTACTATATGGTAAAATGGTCCGATGGGTGAATGACTTATCCCAAGAATATCCTGAACGTGATGGGTCTTAGATGGCTGAGACCAATGTCAGGGTTACAAGCTCAGGGAGATGTAAAAGCAATTTAGCGAATGGAAGGCGAAAGCGCGAAATTGGTAAAACTTAATTATGTCGTCAGTGAAAGAGCGTGTATCGACCAAAGAGACCTGCACCCACATTAACCACCCAGAAATCATTTTCGGCGTTGCTGTTGCCACACTGCTAGGGGGACATCTTCCTCCTCGCCCCGCTCTGTGCGGGGCGGAAGTGGAGGTTCTGCATGTGCTCTTGGTCTTCTGTTGTGTGGCGTTGCCATGACAGCATGCGCACTGGTCACCTTCCTGGTCTTCCCATCTGCGGGGAGGGGCGAAGGAGTAGCGCCCGCAGTCGCCGTCGCAGATAATGAGCGTGTTGTGCTCCGTGTGGCTTGGACACGGTTAGGGACGGATGATACATTGGCAGAGTATCTGTTATTATTTTGCGCTGGTGGAGACCGAGAACGGCGTGCAGGAGCTTGCTGTGGAGTGATAGCAATACCTGGACCATGATTAGGAGGGGGTGATGGAGTTAATCGTGTGCGCGACAGGGGCGGAGCTCCCGAAGTGGATGACGAAGCCCATGGTTCAGCGGGCTGGTTGGTGTCAGGTGGAAATTGTTGTTGATCTACTGCCCCAGGCCTCGAGTATCCAGGGTACACATAACTTGTCGATGGCGGCTGGACAATCTGAGGCGCATGCACTGGCGGACTCGACTGTCGCTGCACCCTTGGATCACCACCAGGCGGCGTCGGAGATGGGGAACCATATCCGTAGCTGGATCCATTGTATTGCTGCTCCATTTCCCGATGCTGCATCTCGTACTGAGGACCCTTGATTGGCATTTCAGCGACCCTTCGAGCTCCTTGCGATCCGCTGGGTGGCTTTGTAAGTGCGCCTCTCCTTTGTGACTCCTTTTTCTGTGGTTGCTGCTGCTGCTGCTGCTGAAGTTGAAGCTCTCTTTCGCGCTCCGTCACCCTCAGCCTCTCAAGCCGCTCATTCTCGACCCTCTGCCTCTCTTCCGCTTCTTGACGTTCACTCTCCCTCTCTACTTGTTCATTATCAGGATTGGACGCGGTCGGGGCGGTAGCCGCTGGCTGATTTTGCGCCGCGGGAGTCGCCGCAGGGTTCTGCGTCTTGTTGATGACACCTAGATACCAGAACATCAGATTGCTGATGAGAACCTGCTCGTACAGTGGCCTTCGGGGATTTGCCAGCTTGATATGACTTAATCTATAGATTGCGCGTTCCACATGGATAGGGTATCGAGCATACGTGCCCTGCCCGCCGGGCAGTTGTGGCGATGGCGAGGGAACATACTGTTTTGAGGATTTTGACTGGCCGAGCAAGGCAGTAGCAGCCTCTCGCCCAGACCCGTATGTATGCGGCTGAGAGGCCTGCTCGTCAGCCTTCTTCTTACTGCTGAACAAGGACCCGAAGAACCCGCCCTCCTTCTCCTTTTCCACCCGTTGCACTTCCTTCTCACGTTCCCTATCCTTGCCGTTCTTCTTCCCACCTTTGTCGCTGCCCCATTTGAATAGCCCCTTTCTGTCCTTCTCCTTCTTCGGCACAGGACTTGGGATCTTCTGGGGGAGGCCAGATGCCGCTATAGCCTCGGTAGATGATGCTAAGGTGGGGGCATCAGGGGACGGCGTTCGAGACGACTCCTCAGAAGGGGCGCTCAGAAGTCTCTGGGGTTGAGGATGATGCAAAACTAGCGCATTAGTAGACGCGTCCATGTTCGGTTCGGTTTGGGCTGGTAGAAGCTCGTCATGTGCTAGGGAAAGTGACAATAACGGGGGGTTGGAGTTGAGCGATGAGGTCGAAGGGGCTTCACCATCAGGTACATCACAAAGGTATGCTTCGAGGATGAGTGTTTCATCTATGAACACGTCAGTTTGCGAAGTATGCCCATCACTTGTCATGCTTTCGTTAGAAAGTGCGCGAGGTCGTCTACCTGTTTCCGTGACATCACCGTGATCACTTGAAGAAACGTGATCACTGGAAGACAGGTCACTGGAGGTGCGCGGTTCTGCTTGCGTGGCAGCACGAGGCCTGCGGCCGGGCCCAAACCGATGACCACCGCCATCACCAGGCAAGGTGGCCTTGCGGATCTTGGTGCGCGCAGCTCGACGAAGAATTAGGCCGGGAGGAGGAACGATGATAGGTGCATCAGCCTCATCTGGCATGTCAGAAATATCGTCCATCTTGTCCATGGCTACAGACAAGGGCCTTGAGCGGATGCTAAGGATGACCGGAAGTTATTCTGCATACTGACCTGAAGGAGATACATTAAGGCTTAAACTTCGCCTGAGCACGTTCCTAAGTTTTGTAGGATCGTCACTCTTGGACGCCTCTTCTGCCAGTGCTTCTAGCCTTTGTAAGTCGCTGATAGTCAGCTGTGGCGTATTTGCGAGGGGTGTGCGATTGGGGCGCGAAGGGACAATCTTCTCATCCTCGTCCTCGACCTGGTCATTTTCTGATGGTTTATACTGCCTGCTGAGCATTGAACGCTTGCGTCCCAAGCCTGTGGAAGGGACGCTCAAAGAACTTGATCGAACAAGTCCAGCGGCTCCATCTGGGGGTGGAGTACGGGCATGTTCCTTGAGAAAGGCGCTAAACTGGCCCGGATCGATTTCGGGATGAAGACGAGCTGGGAGCCAAAAAAGATGAAAAGGATCGTCTAAGCCCGCGCTTCGCTCCTCTGAGCTTGAGCTGTCTTCGTGAGAGCCGCTGCTGGTGTCACCATCTGGTAACTGCTGAGGCGGAGTGGCAGACCAATAGCTGGATGTTGGTGATGTCGGAGACGATGGATTCGGAAGATCAGGGTCGAGAATGAGAGCGCCTGGTCCACCTTGTGCTGTAGAACGCCGCCTAATGTCTCGCAAAGCCTCGACCTCGCGCTGAATCTCCAACTGCGAAGGCTGCATGCCTGGGAGAAGCGGGCGTCAAGAAGAAAAGAGTGTCAGTAAGATCGCGTGGTCGTCGTGAAAAGGTATTTGAACGTTGAGGAGGTTGATAATGGTGGCCAGTACTAGTGAGAAGACTGGCCAAAGTTGCCTTGCGGTGGTATAAATTTAACGCTTGCTAAAGCTCTCCTTGCAAGCGTTTCTTGATCAACCGAACCGGCGCGGCAACTACGGCATGCCATCAAACTGAGTTCAAACTGGCTCGGATGCGTTCCAAGTCTACAAATGTCCTACTGGTAATAACTACATTCAGAACAAACCAAGTTACAAATGAAGCCTGGTCTCCTCAAAGGGTAGGTTAGGTGGCACAGTGAGGACTGCCTGCCTGAACGTTGTTCAACCAAGATAAGAAAAGGACCTGAAGCAAATCCGCATGCACTCGGACCCGACGGCCGTCGAACGGATGAGAAATTTGCATCACCGCCATGCTACTTATCGGTTCACCGCCCATCCGACTGTGAATTCTGTACAGCAGCGGCTTCACGGCGCAGCTCCTGGATAACAGCCTGCATGGGTGTTTATTAGCTACCTTTAGATGACTCGGACATCAATCAGCATACTGCAAGGGCCTCTGGGTTGACGCCACTCTCTATCATACCCACGCATGTCGCAAGTGTGTCCTTATCAAGTTGCGTGTTAAGCAGCTGCGAGATCTCATAGAGGGCTGAGAACCGCATTCATGAGGCCGCAATACGGCGCATGTGCAACATCGATAACGCACTGTCAAGGGTCTGCTGAGCAGCACTAATTCTGTCTGCCTCTTTAGACGACATCAAGCCAACGCCTGTTTGAAGAGTATTTAGATAAACTGCCATGAGCGGATGAGAAATTTTGACTTACGAGCCTCCTAGATGAAGTTTAACTGAGGGAGGCACTTCCAAGTGACAACAGTCCCAGAAAGGAGATAAATATTATTATTCTCTCAGTTTCGCGGAAAGCCACCACATAGTACCCTGCTTCCGAAGCTTCAAGGATGGCTCCCTCAAAAGCACCCAAAAGCACCTCGAGGCCAAAGAAAGAAAAAGTTTTTCACCCAGACTCACGCAAGGCCGGCCAGCTGAGCCGCGTCCAGCTGCGAAAAGCAAAACTAGCGGACGCAGCATCAAAGCGAACAAAGAAGCAATCTGCACAAGGTGTGTACCCCATGTTTTATTGATGTCATGCATATTCTCATGCCGCAGGTGACCCCCAGCCGATGTATACGGATTTTTCTACCATGCTATACCTCCAGAAGGCATGCTCTCCCTCGAAGAGCTGCATGCTATCATTAGCAACGTGTGGTTAACACGCCACGACGATGAGCTCGAGCAGGAGAGAGCTGCTCGCCGCAAGGGTCGACCGAAAAGTACTAAAGAGCTCAAGCTGGAGGAGATCAAGCTCCGTGAATCAGAACAATACCGCACAGGGATGGGTAAGATCGAGTCATCATTCTCCCTGGTTGCTTCTGATGGTACTGCACAGATGTGCCAGATCTTACACATGAAGCTACCGTTGATCTATTCCGCAAATGGGATCAAAAGGAAATTGCTTACATCCAACTCCTACGTTTCATCCGAATCAACAGTGTAGATTCTACGTCTGCAGTAGTATCAAAACAAGGGGAACACCATTCCCTCAAAGAATCAGTTCCTCCGCAAGCAATCGATGAAGCTATGGTCACTGATCGTGACGAGGCACTCCTCATTGAACCACCATCGCGGTTCGCAAGTACGATGATGATGATGGATGGTCCACTCTCATAGCCAAGGCACAAATTTGAATACCAGTGTTGGCAGTATCTACCATAAATAATGTACATGTCATACAGATCGTCCAAGCAATCTAATCGGCGTACACCAACCTCTCGCTAAACTCGTACCCTCCCATCTCGGTTTCTGTGGGGCTGAAAAGTGGACTATTTGGCGCCATCAACATTCGCGGAATGTCCAGCTCCCAGTTCCTTCTCAGCCTGTAATAAATCGCCTGGAAGCTTGACGACGCGCCCCTCTCCTGTATCAAGTGTAGTACGACCTGATATCCAGCAGTGATTTGCACGGGCGTCGGCCTCTGCACCTCTACCCGAAACCGCACCGACTTCAGCGCTGGCAAAATTCCAGACGGATCCCTCGTCTCATCCATTTTGCATTTGAGTACTCCTGCATTTTCCGCATGCGTAAGCACCACGCGGACGCCCATGTTCACCAGCATTCGGCGGCACTCCTCGCGTGTTGTGAACCCATCATGCGTAGACAGAAGCTGGTACGTTACCGGCTTGAACCTAAAAACACTGTCAAGCCAACGCCGCCGCGGTGTCGAGGGAAGCGTGAATGAGCTGTCAGAAAATGCTGGTGAGACGGCGGCCGGGGTGTCGCCGCCCTTCTTGCGTAGCTTGTTGTGTGGTGGCTCGATGATTTGCACACGCAACGCAGGGCGTCTGTCACCATCGTTGCTCCGCAGAGATGACTTCTTGATGATTCCGGGTCCAGTGACCCCAAGAGATAGGTTCTCCTTGTCGTCCTCCCCGAACTGGCTGTGTCGTTCGTGCCTCATATCTGCATTGTATATGATCTCCCGAGGCGATGAATAGTTTCTAGTCTGTGCAGCTTTTCCTTTGTGAAGATTGCCGAATTCCATATTGACGGGTGTGGGTGGAGCTGAGGAGTTGCCAATGCCAAGATGGGGTGTGCCTGCGGTGCGCGCCTCCATCGCATTGAGGTGCTCCACGATTTGCTGGAAGAAATACTGCATCTTATCATCCTTGAGCTCCGGCACTTCAATCGCGGGCAAATTCGTAGAACCGAGCATTGGTGATAATGGGGATGTAAGAGATGTGATATATGATGATAAGGGAGAGCGGAGATCAGCCTCTGGACGTGGCGGTGTCGGCGAACAAAAGGTTATACGAGGAGCGCCCAGCTGTACGTAGTCGCTGTCATCCTTGTGCGGAGGGAGTGTGCGACCAGCTGCCCTACGTGGGGTCGGAGGGGCTGCGCGAGGAGGAAGAAATGAAGGCGCACGTGCCAGATGGGGTATTTGAGATGAGATCCTTGCCATGCCCTGAGGGTCATTCCTAATCGATTTCTTCTTGCGTGTCTTCCTGTGCGCTACCTCCTCGTCCTCATCGTAATCTTCTAGGTGTTTGTCCCGATATTCTGTGAGCAGTCGGTAGACGCCTTTCTGCCAGTTTGGCTCGGAGCTCTTGAGGCTAGCTTTGATGTCTTCCTCGGACGTACCGTGCCAAAGCGTGCGAAGATTCGCAAGAATATCTTGATCAATTTCTTCAAGAGTAGAGAGAGGTCTTGCAATATCATTAAGCCTCGGTGTGCTCGCGTCCACAGGCTTTGGCTTTTGGGAAAGGTAGAATGGGTGTGTGAGAATTTCAGGGATCGTGATGCGTTTTACAACATCCTTCTGCAGCATCTTCGTGATAAGATCCTTGGCCAAGGGATCGATGCCGGCTGGCATGTCAAACTTTCCTGACTTGACTTTATCCAGCAGTGTCGGTAGGTCTTCGTCATCGAAAGGAAGGCGTCCCACAAGCAAGGCAAATAGAATTACACCGCAAGACCAGATATCAGAAGCGCGTCCGTTGTACTCTTTCCCCATGATAACCTCCGGGGCCGCATAATGAGGGCTTCCACACGCCGTCTGGAGTAATCCGTTTTTGGAGCTTGCCTGCCAAGCTGCCATGCCAAAGTCTGCGACCTTGATATTCTTGTTTTGATCCATGAGAAGGTTCTCAGGCTTTAGGTCTCGATGCGCGATGTTGAGTCGATGACAATAGTCGATTGCAGAGATGATTTGCTGGAAATAGCCCAATGTTTCGAAGGTGGATAGCCGCCCCTTATTGCACAGATAATCGAAGAGCTCGCCACCCTCCACATACTCTAGGATCAGATAGAGCTCGCTGGATGTCTCCCATACATCATAGAGGCGCATTATGTTAGGATGGTCGATGAGCTTCATGATTACGATTTCGCGCTCGATGCTGAGAAGCATGTGTTCCGCGGAGTCGGCGAGCTTGGTGATAGAGTTCATGAGGGCGTTTTTGGACACGATCTTTACGGCGGCGTATTGCCCTGTTTTTGAATGTCGTGCGATCCTCACGCGTCCTGTTTGAAGTCAGTGAAAGCGCATAGTCTTTGCAGCAACCCAAATAGATACCTGAGCTTCCCTTGCCAATAGTTCTGCCAACTTTCCATAGTCCAATCATCTTTGGGTCATCCTCGCTACGATTCCGCCTCGGAAGCCTTGGATATTCGTCGTCGTCCATAGCGGTCAGTAAAAGGAAGGAGGGGCTGACAGGATCTGGGCGCCGCCGAGTCTCGGAGCCGAGTGCAAAAGTAACCAAATAGGACCAAATATGTGACGCTTGCTCGAAGGGTAATGCTTGAGTAATCGGCACAAGGTAAGAAGAGTCTTCCCACAACGCAATAGCCAGGTAAAAGTCTGGGTTGATTGGAAAAGAACTAGGGCTTCAGTACAAGGGTATACTACTTAAGTAGGTATTTAGTATGAAGCCCGTGATAAACAAATCATATGTAAGAAAACAACAATCACAAGTCAAAATGGTATACGCGCTTCTCCGCTGTCATAAGCGCTCATCCGCTGTTCAGCTGATTTCGTCATCGTTATTTGTCAGCTTCGCCACATACTCCCCTCCAAGGGCGTTGCACGCCCTTCAAGCAACTTTCTTCTTCTTTTCAGTAGCACGTGCGGAGGGTCCCGTTCCCGCCATCAATATCCATTCCGTG